CCTTGACAGAAGACGACTTGGAAAGATGGTTAAGGGAATAACTTTAGTGGTAGAAATACATATACATAGAAAAAAAATTATCCCTGGTGCAAAAAAAAAGACAAATTGTACAGGTAATAGTATAAATATATATTGTCAAATCATGTTCGAAACAGTTATAAATAACCTTTCATTTTCCCAATGAACTAAAACAAACAAATCAGTGAAGAAAATAGCATCATTATGAAAAAAATGTAATAAAGAGTGGAAAAACTTTGCAAACTGAGCTTTCTTCTGACCCTTCATATATTACATAGTTTCAATTGAAAATCTGTTCTAGTTTCAGAAAAATTTAAGTATCAATGGTTATATCAAAACAGTGTCTAAGCCTAAATGGAGCATAACTTGTGTCATTATTCAATGGAATTGTAGAATTTTCGTCATCTGAGCTTGCTTGTGACCATACATATAAATTTTAAGTTTCAAGTAAATATCTGTTCTGTTGTAAGAATTATTATATTAAATAAATTTAAAGACACAAAAATGGACTAAACTTTGTTAAGATACAATACAAAGTAACCCCCCCCCCCCCCCAACTTTTTTAGTTATGAAACTTGACCTGCATGTCTTTCTTGCAACACTTTATATTTGAATATTCAAATGATTACCTGTTCTAGTTTAAGAAATATTCAAGAACATGTTAAAATTAAAGAACATTTTCTAAGTCAATTTTTGACCCAGTTGAATTGAACATTTGAGTCAAGTTTAAAGAAAATCCTTCCATTAGTATAGAATTTATAGAGCAGACACGGCATCCTGTCTAGTATTGATTGTATGTAAATTCAAAGACTTAAAAAGGGGCAAAACTTTGTCAAAATGCAATACAGAGTTATGAAACTTGACCTGCATATTTAACTTGTGACATCTCAAATATCTTTCAAGTTTCAAGTAAATACCTGTGATAGTTTCAGAAATATTCAAGTACATGTTAAAATTTAAGAATATTTTTCTAAGTCAATTTTTGACCTTCTAGTGTGACCTTGACTTTAAGCCGGGAAAAGGGTAACATAGGCTCTGCACATGACCTTGTTGATGTGAACATTTGAGCCAAGATTGAAAAAAATCTTTCAATTAGGGTAGGACTTACAGAGCAGACATGACATACTGTCATATAATTATTTGATTGTTTGATATTTGACCTTCAACTGTGACTTTGACCTTGAGCTCACACATGAGCAACATGGGTTATACACATCCCCTTGTTGAGGTGAACATTTGACCCAAGTTTGACGAAAATCCTTCAATTGGAATAGGATAAAGAGAGCGGACACCACAATGGAGACGGTCAGACCGACTGAAGCGACACAGCGAATCCATTATAGCCCGCCCCCACATCTTTTTTGGTGGGAGTATAATAAAGAAATTCAAAATTGAAAATATCTTTTATTTACAAATCGTGATGGTAAGCCTTCGTTTTGAAATTAAATGTTAGTTACTTTTTATCTGAATATACATTCTTACTAACTGGGACCTAAAAGCCCATTACTTAAGGTCCCAGGCGCTATACAAGGACGCATTCAAACAAATTTATATAATAGCCATTCTGGGTCATATAACGTGTCAGAGGTATATATAACCTGGAATACGGATATTATTGTCTTCTCATTTAATAACTTAAAAATGTACTAAAATAAATATTCAAATTACTCTTGAGTTCATAATATATATGTTAATCAAATAAATAACTATAATGTATAAAATCCACAAGGTCAAACTGGTGCAAACTGAAAAATAACAAAGAATAAATAACTAAAAATTTGGATAATTTAAAACTGTATAAAGCTATAAAATCTGCTGCAAAAAAAGTTCTAATTTAATGAAATAAATAAGGAAGTAAATTGCCTTAAAAGTCAATGGTGCATAGTTTTACACCAAATCTTTGCTGAATAGATAAAACCCTACTTTCAATGGCATAATACTTTTTTGTTCCAGAACATATAATTCTGTTTACATACAATATGTTCAAGTGTGGTAATAACAGAGACATTCTACATTACTACTCTGTCGAGAATCCACAATAAAATTATGGAAGCAAAACAGTTCTGCTGTTTGTAAATTTATTGCAAACATTTCATAAGATACTAGTATAATAGTTTTTTATTCCTTTCAAAAGAATTGCATTTTGTTTTTACACACACACGTAAAATCATAGTATCATAAATAGTATGATCATGAACTAAAACTAAACAGGAAATAGTGAAAAAACAGGTTTTCTGCCAATAATTTACAACAAGAAGGAAAACTTTCTGTTAAATCATAACCACATATAGTGCACTTGATAATCTATTAAAATTTGATTGATATCCCTCGTGAAGTGTTTCTGTGCTTGAAGGAGATTGCTAACATTTTAGCCACGTCACAACAAAACCAATATGGTGGGTTTGCGACCAGCATGGATCAAGACCAGTCTGCACATCCGCGCAGTCTGATCAGGATCCATGCTGTTTGCTTACAAACCCTATTACAAATAGAGAAACTGATAGCGAACAGCATGGATCCTGATCAGAATGCGCGGATGCGCAGGCTGGTCTGGATGCATGCTGGTCGCAATCCCATTATGTTGGTTTTGTCATGACGCGGCTAATTTATGGTTCTCTCAGCAAACATTCACAAATCCTATAATTTAGACAAGAAACATGGCAATGCCATGAAACCAGGTTTTCAATTATCACCATTGTTGATAAATATGTTGTATTTGAAATACAAATACAAGCAACAAACAATGTAACTATGTGCAATGTTAAACATGAATAATGTAAGAGGAATTGCCACAGAGGAAGTGTTCACTATAATTATATTCTGTATAAGGAAAAAAAACAAAGGGCCATAATAAAATAAAAAATTATTCAATCACAAAACCCCAACAATATGCGCCAGGGCACTGGATGACAAAGCTACTGTTAAAGTTTGAACAAAATCCGTTGAGAAATGTAGGTGTTCAACACAGAAGAATTTTTTCACTATAAATTCTGTATAAGGAAAAAAAACAAAGGGCCATAATTAGGTCAAATATTATCCAATCACAAAACACCAATAATGTGCGCCACTGGGCACTTAATAACAAAGCTGCTGTGAAAGTTTGGTCAAAATCTGTTGAGAAATGTAGGAGAAGTTGCGCATGGTAAAAATTGTTCACTATATAATCTGTATAAGGAAAAAAACAAAGGGCCATAATTAGGTCAAATATTATACAATCACAAAACCCTGACAATATGCCCCAAAGCACTTGATGACAAAGCCTCTGTGAAAGTTTGGTCAAATTCCGTTGAGAAATGAAGGAGGAGTTGTGCACAGAAATTTTTTTCACTCTATATCCTATATTGGGAAAAAAAACAAAGGGCCATAATTAGGTCAAATATTATCCAATCACAAAACCCTGACAATATACTCCAGGGCACTTGAGTACAAAGCCTCTGTGAAAGTTTGGTCAAAATCCATTGAGAAATGTAGGAACAGTTGGGCACAGAAGAAATTATTCACTATATATTCTATATAAGGAAAAAAACAAAGGGCCATAATTAGGTCAAATATTATCCAATCACAAAACACCGACAATATGCGCCAGGTCATTTGATGACAAAGCTTCTGTGAAAGTTTGGTCAAAATCCGTTGAAAAATGTAGGAGGAGTTGCGCACAGAAGAAATTGTTTACGCCCGCCCGTCCGCCCGCCGACATACCTAAATCTAATAACCAGTTTTTTCCTTCGGAAAACCTGGTTAAAAACCTGATTTTAAAAAATAAGTGACGATGCATTTAGATATTTTGCTAAAGGAAACTCCAACATTTTTTTAAATTTTTTTTTGGGGGAAGTTGGGGGGGGGTTTACGTCACACCGACACAGTACAGTTCATTCGGCGACGTTCCAGCTTTACTGGAGGAGAAATACCTCAGGTGCCCTTCTGTGCATTATTTCAGACACGAATGGGTACCTGAGTAGAACCACCAACGTTCAGTAAGCTAGCAATATTTATTATCATTTAATGTTATAACATAGCAATTGTGATGGAACTGATTCTCTTTTTTACACAAAGTGAACAAGGTGTTCAATATACATAGCTGTTAAATAAATGCATTCAAAAGTTTTACTCAATGTAAGATAGCTGTTTATCATATCACAAGTTAGAGAAGTTTTTACTAAGAATATCCCATCTGTCACTTGTATTGAACTCGGCTGTATTTTACTAGGCCAAGATTTCATAGGGGCGTGGAAGCCTCAAGTCTTGTCAGGCCAAGATTTCATAGGGGCGTGGAAGCCTCAAGTCTTGTCAGGCCAAGATTTCATAGGGGCGTGGAAGCCTCAAGACTTGTCAGGCCGAGATTTTGTAAGGCGTGGAAGCCTCAAGTCTTGTCAGGCCGAGATTTTGTAAGGCGTGGAAGCCTCAAGTCTTGTCAGGCCGAGATTCTGTAAGGCGTGGAAGCCTCAAGTCTTGTCAGGCCGAGATTTTGTAAGGCGTTGGAAGCCTCAAGTCTTGTCAGGCCGAGATTTTGTACGGCGTGGAAGCCTCAAGTCTTGTCAGGCCGAGATTCTGTAAGGCGTGGAAGCCTCAAGTCTTGTCAGGCCGAGATTATGTAAGGCGTGGAAGCCTCAAGTCTTGTCAGGCCGATATTCTGTAAGGCGTGGAAGCCTCAAGTCTTGTCAGGCCTAGATTCTGTAAGGCGTGGAAGCCTCAAGTCTTGTCAGGCCGAGATTCTGTAAAGGGTGGAAGCCTCAAGTCTTACCAGGCCGAGATTTTGTGAGACGTGGAAGCCTCAAGTATTGTCAGGCCGAGAGTTTGTAAGGCGTGGAAGCTTCGTCAGGATGACAAGTTCTTGGTCAGTTCTAGTAAAATCCACAAGAGCCAAATTCAAGTCTTGTCAGGCCGAGAGTTTGTAAGGCGTGAAAGCCTCGTCAGGATGACAAGTTCTTGGTCAGTTCTAGTAAAATCCACAAGAGCCAAATATCAATTAATATAGATCAAGATACTTCTTCAATGAACCCTTTATTATAATATCATCGCCTTAGTGTAGTAATGGATTAATTCTTATCAAATTTTATAAAGATGCCAATATATCGCTGTATATTTAAGTATATGTATTAACTGTAATATGCTATTTATGAAACATACTCGGGATCATATTTTTATACAATACAGAGTCAAATCGTGATGTATATGTGCATGTTATACATGCATCAAAATAACATAATAATGAAAACATTATATAATATTACCCAATATTTACAACTATCTTAATGTAAAATAACATGATAAATATTACAATATTACGTCTACATATGTATATTGCATTTGTAATGACTAGTGCGTTAAAGCGGCCTTCGGATTTTCTAAAGGTTTGATATAATTGTCAAATTATAAGAAATAAGATGGAAATGAAAATTGCCGTCAATGAAATACATATTAAACAATAAGGAAACCCCTCGATAACTCAAATCTTGGTGTTTTCTTTTCTTTTAAGACCCCATTCTTATCTACCAGTCCACGCTCTATATATAAAATAAGTAAAGCGGACGATTCGTTTCCCAATCTTCTTTTAATAGAAATGAACGTCATTGGCACGCTAAAATAGCTCTCGGGACACAGCTTTGAAGGGGTCTTTAGAGTGATATAATGCACTTTTTAAAAAATAGAATTACTGAAATAATTAGTTTGAAACAATACATTATTGTTTTTTTTCCATAAAAAAAAAGCTGAAGACCGCTTTAATGATTTATATAACATGCTTAAATATGTGACTGCAATCCAAAAAGGCAGTATCATCTTTGTAACTTATGTGCATCTATACACCTGGAGAGAAAATATAAATCAGGAGCCCCTTACAAAAATTTGACTTAAAATAAGATCACATTTGGCTGATGTTACTACATAAACAATGATGGCCAGGTGATTAATTATGATAAGTTCTCTGCTTATATAATGAATTAAAATGGTGAACTATGTCATACAAGAATAATGGGAAGAATAAATTAATTAACACATCAAACAAAAGAAATGCAACATTTTTTTTTAGGGCTGGTTATAAATCAAATATAGCCATTTTACATTTAGCCCTTGAATAATGGTTAGATATAACAACACACAGAGGATATACTGAATGAGTGTAGGTTCAATACTGAATTTATTGAATGAGTTTATTAAAAATTATGTTATGCAAGCCAGCCTCTGGCGAGCATATTATTTTATTCAACAAGTTTAATAAATTCAGTAATGAACCCACACGAATATGATATTCTATTTATCACATACCCAAAATAAAGACTGTTTAAAGTGTAAAAAAATAATGTTTTCATTGTTTGTTTGTTTGTTTGTTTCATTTTACGCCTTTTTCCAACAGTATTTCAGTCATATAGGCGGGTAGTTTCCTAACCATCGTTCCTGGAGAGTGACACCAGTACTAGACTACCTTCCTCCGTGCTAAACTACCAATGCATCTCCCGGTGATGGAACCCACACCAGAGAGGTAACTGGATTAGAAGTCATCGACTCTATCCCCTCGACCACGGAGGCAGTATGTTTTCATTGACGTGCCAATAATGTAACGCTTACATTTTGCATGACTTAACGCTATGTTTGTATCCTTTTTAATTTTCATTGACATGCCAATAATGTTACGCTTACATTCAGCGTGTCTTAACACTATGTTTGTATAAGGCAAATGACTTCATGTCAAAATATAAGCATGGCCGTGCAATACAATTTTTACAGAGTCACAAAAAAGCAGCATGGGTATGCCATAAATCATTTATTACACAAATGAATATCTTTTATATCAAATAATAAATAAATATCAGACAATTGTAACAAATCCAAAATTTTCAATCAATACTCCATATGTGAACAAACTTAAAGAAAGGATCAGTGCCGGTATAAATTTCTGCCAAAAAAATATTGAAGACAAAAACCCAACATTGAAAAACCTGATTAATTATTCGAAGACTGATGACACAAAGCAAGGCATCACTTAGTATTTCACTTATGCAAGATTTTATACAAACTTATATAAGTAATTACTGTAAATAAAATAAAATACTTTATCATGGAAGACTGCATGAAAAAATGTTTATCATTAAAATGGTCTATTTAAAAAACAAGTCTTGCACATGCACAGTTAACTTAAAACTTGATTTATTAAATTTGACATGTGATCTTGGCAATCTAGTAAACATTTAACATGACCTTTGCAATATTTTTAACCTTAAACATGACCTTGGCAATTTATTTAACCTCAAACCTGACCTACAAAATCTATTTAACCTTAAACATGACCTTAGCAATATCATAACCTTGGCAATCTTTTAAACCTTTAACATGATCTTGGTGATCTATTTAACCTTAAAAGTGACCTTTGCAATCTATTTAACCTTAATCAGGACCTTGGCAATATATTAAACCCTAAACATGACCATTGCAATATATTTAACTTCAAACGTTATCTTGGCGATCTATTAAACCTTAAACATGACCTTGGTAATATATTAAATCTTAGGCGTGACCTTGGCAATCTATGAAACCTTGAACGTGACCTTGGCAATCTATTAAACCTTAAAAATGAACTTGCTAAGCTATTAAACCTTAAACGTGACCTTGGCAATCTATAAAACCTTGAGCATGATCTTGGAAATCTATTTAACCTTCAACATGACCTTGGCAATATATTTAACATGACCTTGGTAATCTATTAAACCTTAAACATGACCTTGGCAATCTATTACACCTAAACATGACTCTGGCATACTATTTAACCTAAAACATGACCTTAAAAATCTATTAAACCTTCAACGTGACCTTGGCAATCTATAAATCCTTAAGCAAGATCTTGGAAATCTATTTAACCTTCAACATGACCTTGGCAATATATTTTACATTAAACATGACCTTGGCAATCTATTTAACATTAAATGTGACCACTGCAATATATCAAACGTCAAACTTTACCTTGGTGATCTATTTAACTTTAAACATGACCTTGGAAATATATTTAACCATAAGCATGACCTTGGCAATATATTTAACATTTAACGTGACCTTTGCAATCAATTAAACCTTAAACATGACCTTAGCAATATATTAAACCTTAAGCATGACCTCGGAAATGTATTTAACCTTACGCTGGACTTTGGGAAAATATTTAACATAAAAATTTGCTAAGTAAACCTTGAACTTGACCATGAAAATAAATTTTAACATTTAACATGACCTTAACAATATACTAAACCTCAAATTTAATCTTTGCAATGTATTAAACATAAAACGTGAGCTTAGTAATAAATAAAACCTTTAAATTGACCATTGCAATATATAAAGCTTTGACTATAGAAATATGAATAACCATACATGTATGCTTGACCTTTGAATTTATTTAACCTTACACTTGACTTTGACAATAAAATAAACCTTGACATTGGCAATATATTTAATCTTAAACTTTACCTTGTCAATATAATAAATGATGATCTTGGCAATATCTTAAAACATAAACTTACCTTTTGCAAAGATTTTCAAAACAAGGTCTTTATTTACTCATACATTATACTTTTTAAGTCATCTCATCATAAAATGGAAGCCATGTTATATATAATATAACATTGACATACAAAAGTGCTCAATTATTATTGTGACAGGAATTATAAACTGTAGCTTAGGAAACAGATTTCCGCCAACTCCTTGATGGTGTAAAGTAATAAATTCTTCAACAGTTACAATAACATTAAACTTTAAAAATAAAAAAAGATATATATTAAACATTATTATGTTCAAAATGATTTATATATAAATAAATAAATATGTAATAAGAGACATAAATTTAAAACAAGAGGGCCATGATGGCCCTGAAGTCGCTCACCTGTACATAGGCACCCGGAGCAGGGCCAGTTTTAATTCCAGGGCTTTTATTTGTACAAACTTAGTAGACACCCATTAGAAGATGTTTCATGCTACATATCTAAGCTCTAGATCTTTGAGATTTTTAAAAGAAGATGTTAAGTTTTAACTACACACATATAATGAAAAACAATGACCCCCCCCCCCCCCCCCCCCGGCAGGTCCAATTTTTACCCCAGGGTTTTTATTGAACATACTTGGTAGACACTCAATGGCTCAATGGTGTTTCATGATAAGTATCTAAACTCTAGCTCTTTAGGTTTCTTAAAAGAAGATTTTTAAGTTTTGGCTATACACATATATGGAAAATCAATGTCCCCCTGCACGTGGCCAATTTTGACCCCAGGGCTCTTAATTGAACAATCTTGGTAGACAACTATTAGAAGATGTTTCATGCTAAACATCTAAGCTCTAGCTCGTTGGGTTTTTTAAAAGAAGATTTTTTAAGTTTTAACTATACTCATATAGTTAAAAACAATGACACCCCTAGGGCGGGTCCAGTTTTGACCCCAGGGCTTTTATTTGAACAAACTTTGTAGACACTTACTAGAAGATGTTTCATGCTTAAGATCTAAACTCTAGCTATTTGGGTTTATTCAAAGAAGATTTTTAAGTATTTGCTATACACATATGAGGAAAATCAATGTCCCCCGGGATGGGCCAATTTTGACCCAAGGGCTTTTATTTTAACAAACTTTGTAGACACTCACTAGAAGATGTTTCATGCTTAGTATCTAAACTCTAGCTAATGGGTTTTTTCAAAAAAGACTTTTTAAGTTTTTGCTATACACATATAAGGAAAATCAATGCCCCCTGGGGCGGGACCAATTTTGACCCCAGGGCTCTAATTTGAACAAACTTGGTAGACAACCATTAGAACTTAAAAGAAGATTTTTTAAGTTTTTACTATATGCATATAAGGAAAATCAATGACCCCCTGGGGCAGGGCCAATTTTGACCCAAGTTCTTTTATTTGAACAAACTTGGTAGACACTTACTAAAAGATGTTTCATGTCAAATATCTAAGCTCTAGCTCTTTTGGTTTTTTAAAAGAAGATATCTAAAGTTTTTTCTTTCAGTTGCCATGGCAACCAGAGTTCTGCATGGAATTACATTCTTTGAACAAATTTTAAAGGTGACCACCAAAGGAACATTCCTGTAAAGTTTGGATGAAATTGACAGAGTGGTTTATGAGGAGATGTCATTCAAAGTAACAGTTTACGGACGCCGGACAGATGGATGTCGGATGGAAGCCGGATGAAAAGCGATCACAAAAGCTCACCCTGTCACCTTGTGACAGGTGAGCTAAAAAAAATAAAGAACCTTAAAGTTTTGGCCTTGTGTTAATATACAAACATATTCTAGAAATCATGTAACTTTTTTTAAAATTAGGGATGTCACGGTTAGAAAAAAATGCAAACTGTTTAAAGTGTTCAAACGGTGAAGTAATAACTGTTAAATGCTTAACCGACCGTACTAATAATCCGTAGATTTTCAACATTAACTTTGTTCATATTATGTTGTACTCAAAAATGATAACCATACATATCCGAATATGGAGTAGCTGTTTTCCGCAAGGGTTGTCCTCTAGTCAATCAGCTAGAAAAAAATACTTTGAAGAGTACAACGAAAATACAAACAATCGTCATATCGTGTCATTAAAGAACTTAAGTTATATTTAGAATCAATTTCAAACTTTTCCGCCCCTTAGTCAAATACTAACCTCAGTTACGGGTTACTGACTTTTCTAACTGGTTTTCTGTTAAAAACCAACCATACAAGTTTATACGTGACACCTCTATTTAAAATTCCAATGACAACTGGTAAAACTACATTTATTATACAAATTATCAATTAATTATTAATTAATTATCATATCAAAATAAAACAATTTAACAAAAAAAATAATATACACACATATTATCAAATCTGGAATCAAAGTAACAGTGTTAACACTGAATTAGTAACATAATAATTAAATAATGAATTAATAAACAATCATAGAATTTTTTTTAAAAAGAAAAATAAGAAAAATTCCCTCAAAATATTTAAGTACCTGTAATGTCACAATACTGTGTCCAGTGTATAACTATGGTACATGGAATATAAATTATATATCGCTGTTTACTCACAGGAATTACAAACAGTTTGTTAATTAATTACGCCTCACTCAACCAACTAAGCCAAATTATCACATGTTTTATAACTATCCTTCAAGATCAAAATGTTTGCAACTATCCTTCATGGTCTATTAGATAACTACATGTATTATCAATTAGTATAAATAAATTATAAACTCTGATTATCATAAAACATTCCTAAAATGCTGCAATATCAACCACCCTAGCCAAATTATCACATGTTTATAACTATCCTTCAAGATCAAAATGTTCACAACTATCCTTCATGGTCTATGAAATAACTAGCCATCCCTAAAATCACATGTTTGCAACAATCAACAATCAAGAGTGATTTCCCCTTATAATATCACAAGAGTGATACAAGAGTGATTTCCCCTTATATTATTACACAAGAGTGATTTCCCCTTGTAATAGAATAATAGCATATACTCTCATGCTTACATGTAGCAATCAATTCATGTTTTATAAACAACTATCAATAATCATAAAATGTTCAAGACTATCCTTAATGTATAATGAATAATGAAATCAGAAATGTTAAGACACCGTTCTTCATGGTCTAGTAAGCATCGCTTCTCTTCCCAACAATTGAATATCTTATGTCAACAACTATTCTTTAAAGTTTTCCACATTGTTACATTATTTATTCATGGTCAAAATATTATCAAATTTGCGCTGTTGTCAAACTGGTCAAACTCAGAACAAGTTTGTAGTACACATTAAATAATTGAATTTTAGAACTATCCTTCTTGGTCTGATACAGACGCATGCGAATGTTTAAAGAACTGTCCTTTATAATACCACACAAGAGTGATTTCCCCTTATAAAAGCACACAAGTCTGATTTCCCCTTATATCATTCTTGTGTGAGTTCCCCTTATGATATCATGCAATAGTGATTTCCCTTATAATATTACACACAAGTGATTTTCCCTTTGTAATAGAATAATAGCATATACTCTCATGTTTACATGAAGAGAACATGATAACACAGTATTAAATCATCACAAGTTTCTCACAGTGACTGTTTTGGAATGGTACATGTAAAGTAAACTGAGCACTATTGTAAAGTCACCACATATGATGCTATTTCCATGGGTTCCAAGTCCAGTAACTCTGTTGTGTCTAACTCATGTTCCTCGTACATTAAGGTCAAGGACACCTGTTGAGCGACATTTGTCAATATGTCGTTAAACATCCCTGCCAGTACAACCTGTTCAAGATGAAACAAAATCTTTATATTATTTCATTTTTTTAATACATATTTAGTACCATAAAACTTTATCTTATGTATCTTACATGTCAATAATCATAAAGTATTCACATCCTCTCAGCTTCCATAAAAACATGAATATCTAAACTTTGCATATATAGCACCAGCTAGAGCCATGCCAGAATGAACAAATTTGCATATATAGCACCGTAGTATCACCTATGGCATTGGTAAAATAATCTAATTTGCATATATAGCACAACCTTCATATATTTCAGAATGACGTAATTTGCATAATTATGTAGCACAACCTTCATTCATGGCAGAATTACCTAATTTGCATATGTACAAATGTAGCACCACCTACAGTCATTGTAAAATGACCTTATTTGCATATTAGCACCACCTTAAACCATGGCAGAATTACCTTATTTGCATATGTAGCACCACCTAAAGCCATGGCAGAATGACCTCTATCCATCAGAGGGATCTGATATCAATATTTTTATACTTACTAAACAAAATATACCTTTAACTTATCTTTTATCTTCTAGTTTAATTCCTTGAAGTACTTATGGAAGATCATTTTGGGGAATATGTAACCTAGTTTAATAAAGCCTTTATTATTATTATCATTATTAATTCAGTCTTGGCTCAGAGCTCGAAAAAATCTCAAAATGAAACTATCGAGACTTACCTCCCCTGACGCTCCTTTACACATCAATCCTTTATTAGGGAAGCCACAATCTATACCCAGTCTGTGAAAAAACATGGCTGCCGTACTCTTAGGAACCAGCCTATCTGGTCCGTCGTCCGGATTTTGCATAGTTCGTAAATTTAATAAATGTACATCACACGGCAGCTCGCTGTGCATAGGTGAGAAATTTGAGAGTTTAGGGAATGACGAGGAACGTTTCTGATGAGCTGGTATCACTAATACCGGGTGGATCAACTGTAACGATGTCTGGTGACCGAGTAACGACGGAAACGTGGTTGCTCGCTCTTTATTCTGAAATTAAATAAAAAATAAAAAAAAAATTATATTTTTTTTTTTACTTTTGTATTTCCTTCTTTTGTAATGTTTAAATTATTATGATATTAATTAGGGGGTGATCAAAAATATTTCATCTTGTGAACACCAAAAATTAATATTTATCTCATGGTTGCGCCACTTTGAACCACAACATATGGCAGATATTATTAACCCTATACAAAAGGAACAAAATCAAATTTCTAAAATACCCACATAAAGTAACTAGAACAATCGCTGAATGCGATTCATACCCCCACCAATGTCCTTGACAGAAGACAACTTGGAAAGGTGGTTAAGGGAATAACTTAAGTGACACAAATACATAAAAAGAAATTATCTCTGGTGAAAAAAAGACTAATTGTACAGGTAATAGTAAAAATATCTATTATCAAATCATGTTCGAAACAGTTACAAATAACCTTTCATTTTCCCAATATACTAACTTTTTATAAGTCAATTTTTGACCTTCAAGTGTGGCCTTGACCTTCAGCTGGCACAAGGGTAAGATGGGTTCTGCACATCGCCCAATTGGAGTGAACATTTGAGTAAAGTTTGAAGAAAATTCTTCCATTAGTATAGAATTTATAAGCTGACACAACATATTGTCTAGTATTGATTGTATGTAAATTTTAAAGACTTAAAAAGGGGCATAACTTTGTCAAAAAATCCAATACAGAGTTATGAAACTTGACCTGCATATCGTAATTGTGACACCTCATATATCTTTTAAGTTTCAAGCAAATACCTATGCTAGTTTCCGAAATATTCAAGAACTGTTTTAATCTAAGAACATTTTCTAAGTCAATTTTTGACCTTCAAGTCTGACCTTGACCTTTAGCCTGCACAAAGGTGACATGGATTCTGCACATAACCTTGTTTAGGTGAAACATTTGAGAAAAGTTTGAAGAAAATTCTTCCATTAGTATAGGATTTATAGAGCGGTACAAAACATATTGTCTAATATGCGATTGTATGTAAATTTGAAGATTAAAAAGGGGCATAACTTTGTTAAAATGCAATACAGAGTTATGAAACTTGACCAGCATATCTTAATTGTGACACTTCATTTATATTTTAAGTTTCAAGCAAATACCTTTCCTAGATTCAGAAATATTCAGATATATGTTAAAATTAAAGAACATTTTCTAAGTCAATTTTTGACCTTCAATTGTGACCTTGACCTTAAGCCTGCAAAAGAGTGACATGGGTTTTGCACATAGCCTTGTTGAGGTGAACATTTGAGCCAAGTTTGAAGAAAATCTTTCAATAAGTGTAGGACTTACAGAGCGGACACAACATACTGTGTAATATTTGATTGTTTGATATTTGACCTTTAATTGTGACCTTGACTTTGAGCTGACACATGGGCAACATGGGTTCTGCACATCCCATTGTTGAAATGAACATTTGAGCCAAGTTTGAAGAAAATCTTTCAATTAGTGTAGGACTTACAGAGCGGACACGACATATTGTCTAATATTTGATTGTTTGATATTTGACCTTCAATTGTGACCTTGACCTTAAAATGACACATGGGCAACATGAGTTCTGCACATCCCCTTGTTGAGGTGAACATTTTAGCCAAGTTTGAAGAAAATCTTTCAATTATTGTAGGACCTACAGAGCGGACACGACATACTGTCTAATATATGATTGTGTTTGATATTTGACCTTCAATTGTGACCTTGACCTTGAGCTGACACATGGGCAACATGGGTTCTGCACATCCCCTTGCTGAGGTGAACATTTGAGCCAAGTTTGAAGAAAATCCTTCAAGTGGAATAGGAGTTATAGAGCGGACACGAAAATGGAGACGGACGGACCGACCGACCGACCGACGCGACAAAGCGAATCCATTATAGCCCCCCCCACATTTTGTGGTGGGGGTATAATAATCTAGACTTACATAAGTGCCTTTATGTCTGTTCTCAAGTAAAAGTTTAAATCTACTTGGAGTTTGTTTACTATCTGTAACTCCCTGACCAAGACCTCGACTATCATCTTGGTTTAACATACGATCCAAAAATACATCCATTATACCTGAAAGATATAAATAAGTCCATCATATACACACATATAGACAGTCTACTCCACTTATAACAAGATCTGTTCACTTGTAACAAGATTGGTTCACTTGTAACAAGATCTGTTCCCTAGTAACAAGATCGCTTCACTTATAACAAGATCGGTTCACTTTTAACAAAATTGGTTCACTTGTAACAAGATCTGTTCACTTGTAAAAGATCTGTTCATTTATAACAAGATCTGTTTACTTATAACAAGATTGGTTCACTTGTAACAAGATCAGTTTACTTATAACAAGATTGGTTCACTAATAACAAGATTTGTTCACTAATAACAAGATGGGTTCACTTATAACAAGATGGGTTCACTTATAACAAGATCGGTTCATTTGTAACAAGATCGATTTTAACGAGACTGTACACTGTGTCTATAAAATGGTATGACAATGCATAAATTCGGACGAGATGTAAATATCCATCATTAAGCTTTTCCTCATAATTTTACAGAATATGCATGTCTATGAAAAATATTACTTTTGAGTGAACACTGTTCTTAATTTCTGTTGGGTGAAATATATGATAGATTCAATATGTATACATCGCTTTCACTATTGAATTTATGATATTATTCTCATATTCTCACTGAAGCTTTAAAATTCAGTACATAAAATAGTTGTTTTTTTTTTTTTAATTAAAATCTAAAAAAAGGTACACATAGACATTTTGTTAAACCTTTGTTGATATTTTACATGGTTAAAAATTTGAAAAATAAAAAAAAATTTAAAAAGCATAAAATTAATTACAAAATCTGTTATTATCTTTTACTTAATTTACAGTTAGAAAAAAAATAAAAAGAAAATTAGAGATAAAATACAAAATCTGTGAGAATATCTTTTTAAGTTTTAGTGTGAGACACATAACTAAAATCAGAATGAATAGGATTAAAAATAATTTACTGTTACCATTTGTTCTCCGAGTCACATAAGTACCTCTTGGGGTTTGTACAGACAGACAGACGGACAAAGTGGCGATTATATGCTCACTTTTTTGGGATTATAAAAAATCTATGAGAATAGTTTACTTAATTTTAGTGTTGATAAACCACAAAAATAAGAGAAAAGAATAACAAAGTCTGAACATTGTACTTAGTTTTTGTGTTAAAAAAAAACAAATAAAACTAGAACTATCACTAAATGTGATTAATACCCCCACAAGACTACTTCGGAAAAGAGGATGTTACTAGTAACAGAATACCTTGTAAAAGAATTGAAATATAGAGTTATGGTTGTGGGCAATTAAAGATAGTTGTGGTTCTTGTATGTTGCATTTCCTTTCAATGTGGTTGGCCATTGATGAAGTTTTATTGAATTACTCTGTATAAGTCCAGAAAGACAAGGAAAAGGAACAAAGGGCAATAACTCTATAAATACTGAAGATGGAGTTATAGTTCTTATGCACTGCACTTCCTCTTATTGTGCTTGACCATTGTATGAAGTTGTTTTGAATTCCAACCAGTACATTTTAAGTTATGCTCCGGACAAGGAAAAGTATCAAAGGGCAGTAACTCTGTATTTTGTCAAAATGGAGTTATGGTTCTTGTGCAATGCACTTCCTTTTAATGTCCTTGACAACTGTATGAAGTTGTATTGAATTACAAACAATAGTTTTCAAGTTATGCTCTGGACAAGGAAATGTAACAAAGGGCAATAACTCTGTAATTAGTCAAGATGGAGTTATGGTTCTTGTGCACTGCACTTCCTCTCAATGTGCTTGACCATTGTATAAAGTTATATTGAATACAAACTTTTAAAGTCTTCAAGTTATAGTTCGGACAAAAGAAAGCAATGGAAAAATAACAAAGGGCAATAACTCTGTAGTTACTTTAGATAGAGTTATGGTTCTTGTGCACTGCACTTCCCCTTATTGTGCTTGACAATTGTATGAAGTTGTTTCGAGTTTCAACCAGTAGTTTTCAAGTTTCAACCAGTAGTTTTCAAGTTATGCTCCTGACAAGGAAAAGTAACAAAGGGCAATAACTCTGTAATTAGTCAAAATGGAGTTATGGTTCTTGTGCATGGCACTTCCCCTTATTGTGCTTGGCCATTGTATGAAGTTGTTTTGAATTCCAACCAGTAGTTATCAAGTTATGCTCTGGACAAGGAAATGTAACAAAGGGCAGTAACTCTGTAATTAGTCAAAATAGAGTTATGGTTCTTATGCACTGCACTTCCTCTCAATGTGTTTGACCATTGTATAAAGTTATATTGAATTCCAACAATTAGTCTTCAAGTTATAGTCCGGACAAAAGAAAGCAATGGAAAAATAACAAAGGGCAATAACTTTGTAATTACCTTAGATAGAGTTATGGTTCTTGTGCACTACACTTCCCCTTATTGTGCTTGACAATTGTATGAAGTTGTTTCGAGTTTCAACCAGTAGTTTTCAAGTTATGCTCCGAACAATGAAAAGTAACAAAGGGCAATAACTCTGTAATTAGTCAAGATGGAGTTATGGTTCTTGTGCACTGCACTTCCTCTCAATGTGCTTGACCATTGTATGAAGTTATATTGAATTCCAACCATTAGTCTTCAAGTTATGCTCCGGACAAGGAAAATGCAACGGACCGCTGGACCGACCGACCGACCACCGGGTGACTCCTATATACCCCCCCAAACTTCGTTTTTGGGGGTATAAAAACACAAAAATTAGAGAACAAGAGGGCCATGATGGCCCTGAAGTCGCTCACCTGTATATAGCCCCCCCCCCCCCCACCCGGAGCGAGGCCAGTTTAAACCCCAGGGCTTTAATGTAGACACCCATTAGAAGATGATTCATGCTAAACATCTAAAGTCTAGCTCGTTGGGTTTTTTAAAAGAAGATTTTTTAAGTTTTTTCTTTACACATATATTTAAAAACAATGACACCCCTGGGGCAGGGCCAGTTTTGACCCCAGGGCTTTTATTTGAATAATCTTTGTAGACACTAACTAGAAGATATTTCATGCTTAATATCTACACTCTAGCTATTTGGGTTTTTTCAAAGAAGATTTTTAAGTTTTTAAATACACATATAATGAAAATCAATGTCCCCAGGGGCGGGGCCAATTTTGACCCCAGGGCTCTTATTTGAACAAACTTGGTAGACATCCATAAGAACATGTTTCATGCTAAATATCTTAGCTCTAGCTCTTTGGGTTCTTTAAAGGAAGATTTTTAAGTTTTTTACTATATTCATATAGGGAAAATCAATGACCCCCTGGGGCGGGGCCAATTTTGACCCCAGGGCTCTTATTTGAACAAACTTGGTAGACATCCATTAGAACATGTTTCATGCTAAATATCTTAGCTCTAGCTCTTTGGGTTCTTTAAAAGAAGATTTTTAAGTTTTTACTATATGCATATAGAAAAATTTCAATGACCCCCTGGGGCGGGGCCAATTTTGACCCCAGGGTTTTTATTTGAAAAAACTTGGTAGACACACATTAGACGATGTTTCATGCTTAATATCTTAGCTCTAGCTCTTTGGGTTCTTTAAAACAAGATTTTTAAATTTTTGTTATATACATATAGGGAAAATCAATGACCCCCTGGGGCGGGGCAAATTTTGACCCCAGGGCTTTTATTTGAACAAACTTGGTAGACACTTACTAGAAGATGTTTCACACCAAATATCTAAGATCTAGCTCTTTTGGTTTTTTAGAAGAAGATATTTAAAAGTTTTTTCTTGTGGTTGCCATGGCAACCAGAGTTCTGCATGGAATTAAATTCTTTGAACAATTTTCAAAGGTGACCACCAAAGGAACATTCCTGTGAAGTTTGGAAATGAAATTGGCTTAGTGGTTTATGAGGAGATGTCATTTAAAGTAAAAGTTTACGGACGACGGACAGACAGACGGACTGATGCCATACTAAAAGCGATCACAAAAGCTCACCCTGTCTAAAAGGAGTTACAAAATCTGTGACAATATTTAATTTAGTTTTAGTGTTTAAAAACCAAGGTAATTAAGGAAAAGAATAACAAAATCTGTATGGAAATTATACCTGGTTTAAGATTTGAAAAACCGAGAGAGTTTGCAGACAATATACTAAATCTGTGTTTGTCATCCTCAATAAAAGCCATCGTTGGCATTGGATATACATTGCCTTGTAATGTTAGCTTGTCATATGTTGTATGTTTCTGCATCTATAAATAACAAATTATATATATGTTAACATGATTAAAGGGACTCCACTGAGGTTAATAAGCCTAAAAACATAAAATTTCAATTTTTCACATAGATCAACACGAGCTACATGTATTACAACAGAAATATAAATAAAATATAACTAAGAAACATACAGGAAATTCATTGAAAATTGTATGTTTGTGATATTCTCTGTCCGATTCGAGTGAAAGCATTTAAACGCTTTTCAATTTTGTGTCATTTTTCACTATTATAATTATTATTTTGGAAAAACGGAACAAGCTAATGATCTGAAATTTTGCACATAAGTTATTAGTACAGATCTACATCAAATAGTGTAATAATCTCAAAAAAAATATTTTCAGTCCCGTCATGTCAAAAAACCTCAGTGGAGTCCCTTTAATATATGTTAACATGATTAAAAGGACTCCACTGAGGTTTGATGACATTACGGGACTAGAAATATTTTTTCGAAAGTAATATTACATCTGATGTAGGTCTATAGACCAATAACTTGCGTGCAAAATTTTCAGATCATTTGCTCGCTTGTTTTTCAAGAATGATTTTTCTAATTGTTGTTATCCTTTTCCCTCAAAATGTGCTAAGAATAGCACAAAAATTTGAATTGCACTTCATTTCTGAAAATCTTTCTTAATTATCTTTTGTTTATTTTTCTGCTTTAAGAGTCCCAGCTGATCTGTGTAAACAAGAGCGATCAGTAATCACATGTGTCGCCTCATGATGGCCAATTTTATGTTGGGACAAATTTTGTGACAGATGGACAGACAGACGGACAGTGCACAACTAGACTTGGTACTGATTATTCCTGTAAAGTTTGGATAAAATTGCCCCAGTAGTTTATGAGGAGTAGTGCGGACAAGCTTTTGCGTATCTGGCAACACACAAAAAAAACCACCTTTTTATCAAAGGGCCATAACTTGGCCAAAAATCATTCAACCGGAAAACCCGTGCAATATGCGCAAGGACTTGAGCTACAGATCAATTCTGTAAAGTTTCATTGAAATTGCATTAGTGGTATAAGAGAAGTAGTCCGGACAAACTTTAAAAATAAAAATTATTAAAGGGCCATAACTCAGACAAAAATCATTGAACCGGAAAATGCTGACAATATGCACAACTAGACTTGGTACTGATCATTCCTGTAAAGTTTGGATGAAATTGCACCAGTAGTTTATGAGGAGTAGTCCGGACAAGCTTTTGTGTATCTGGCAACACACAGAAAAAGAAACCTTTTTATCAAAGGGCCATAACTCGGCCAAAAATCATTCAACCGGAAAACCCGTGCAATATGCGCAAGGACTTGAGCTACAGATCAATCCTGTAAAGTTTCATTGAAATTGCATAAGTGGTATAAGAGAAGTAGTCCGGACAAACTTTAAAATTAAAAATTATTAAAGGGCCATAACTCTGACAAAAATCATTGAACCGGAAAATGCTGACAATATGCACAACTAGACTTGGTACTGATCATTCCTGTAAAGTTTGGATGAAATTGCACCAGTAGTTTATGAGGAGTAGTCCGGACAAGTTTTGTGACGGACGCACGGACAGACAGACAGACGGACAGACAGACGACGGAGAAGTGATCCCTATATGTCGCCACTACTCCGTAGAGGCGACACAAAAATCAAATTTGACTTTTAGGCATTTTGACCTCAGTGGAGTTTCCATAATCTCTATACATGTATTTTACCTTTTCATCAATCTGTTTTAGTTTAAAGTCACATCAAAATGTGGTGGCTTGGCCAAGTGGTTAAAGCAAACATGCCTCTAGAGAAGCCAAAATATTTCAAGAAAATCAAACTTGAGACATGTGCAAAGATTTTAAGAAAAGTAAAATGATTCAAGATTCAATTAATACTTAACATGGTATGTGCGATTAATGAGTGATTTAACAGTCATTATCACCATATTTCAACTTCAGTACTAACAAAAAAAGGGCTATCTTTGCTTAGATTGACATCTTTTTGGTAATTTACGTGGACTAATGGTATATATTTATATGTTTATATAGATCTGACTGTACCCACACTGACTAATTATTCCAACACAAGCATTATAACAGGATGAAAGTGCATTTCCTTATCCAAAAATAGGGCAGATAATTTGTATTTCTTTCTTTTCCAAAAACAGGGAAAATAATTTGAATCTTTTTTACAAAAAGAGGAGATAATCTTACCATGAACCCATTTAAGTCAGTGTAGAATTCACCATCATTGTTTTGTACATCGGTGTGAATCCTGACAGCTATCTCTACATTCCGCTCTGATGTTATATCCACGATATTCTGCATATCAAGTGATATTCCATCAATACCTACATAATAATATATCAAGTGATATTACATCTATACCTACAAAATAACCTATCAAGTGATATTTACCTACAAAATAACATACCAAGTGATATTCCACCTATGCCTAGATAATAACATATCAAGTGATATTCTATGTATGCCTAGATAATAACATATCAAGTGATATTCTATGTATGCCTGGATAATAACATATCAAGTGATATAAACATGGATAACAACATATCAAGTGATATTCTATCCATACCTGGATAGTAACATGTGAAGTGATACTCCATCTTTACCTGGATAATAACATATCAAGTGATATTCCATATATATATATAGACAATAACATATCAAGTGATATTTACCTAGATAATAACATATCAAGTAATATAAACATGGATAATAACATATCAAGTGATATTCTATCCATGTATACCTAGATAATAACATATCAAATGATATTCCATCTATACCTAGATAATAACATATCAAATGATATTCCATCTATACCTAGATAATAACATATCAAGAGAGCCAAAGATTTATTTTGTTGCTGAAAGATGCTGCTCTAAAAAATGTTATCCAATCCCAACCTGGGCTTCCTCAAAAAGGTTACTATATACCAAGTTTGATTACAATCACTCATTCCAAACTTTAGTTATTGTCTGGAAACCACTATGAGGATGGACGGACACACCTATGGACAAGCTGACTCCTAACTTTGTCTGTGGAGAGTATAAAACAACAACATAAATCCATTTACCTGATGAGTTATAAAGTCGTACAACGTGAGTGACTAACTCAAAGTAAACACGAACTTCTGATGCTATAGGACCCTGTATAATGTTCACAACTGGAGGACTTTTACCAGAATACGTCTGAAAAAGATAACAGATGTTGATTTTACTACTTTTTACTGGTAATTAAAAAAAATATGTGAAAAGGAAAAACAACTTTCGTAAGAAAATAAGCAAAGAAAACAATTTAATGAATATCAAGTTGTAGCAATTATATTTTTTTTTTTTTTTTTTTTTTGAGTTTTACATACAGACACAGTAGAGTATATGCCATGAATTCTTGTGACTTTCTAGCTTTACTGGTGGAGGAAGACCTCAGGTTCCACTCTGTACTGGTGGAGGAAGACCTCAGGTTCCACTCTGTACTGTGAGGGAGACCTCAGGTTCCACTCTGTACTGTGAGGGAGACCTCAGGCTCCACTCTGTACTGGTGGAGGAAGACCTCAGGTACCACTCTGTACTGGTGGAGGAAGACCTCAGGTTCCACTCTGTACTGGTGGAGGAAGACCTCAGGCTCCACTCTGTACTGGTTAAGGAAAACTTCAGGTACCACTCTGTACTGGTGGAGGAAGACCTCAGGTTCCACTCTGTACTGATGAGGGAAGCCTCAGGTGTCACTCTACTGGTGGAGGAAGACCTCAGGTTCCACTCTATACTGGTTAAGGAAAACCTCAGGTTCCACTCTGTACTGGTGGAGGAAGACCTCAGGTTCCACTCTGTACTGGTGGATGAAGACCTCAGGTTCCACTCTATACTGGTTAAGGAAAACCTCAGGTTTCACTCTGTACTGGTAAAGGAAAACCTCAGGTTCCACTCTGTACTGGTGGAAGAGACCTCAGGTTCCACTCTGTACTGATGGAGGGAAGCCTCAGGTGTCACTCTGTGCAATATTTCAGGCACAAATGGGCACCTGTGTGGAAACCACCGCGTTCCTGATGCTAGTTGGACAGCTAATTCACATGAAAGAATCTGAAAACACTTGTGCAGCTCAAGTATACAGTTGTGAGAGGAAAGTGGTTTGTAGTCAACAACTTTTTATCACATAAACTGCGGCGCAAGAGTATAATAAAGCCATTTAATAACAAGAGCTGTCCGTAAGACAGCGCGCTCGACTTTTTTATTGCTTGCCAATAAAAAAAGTTTTTGCAGTAAAAGGCAATACAAGAATCTCTGTATTTTTAAAGTGAACTAGTTGTTTGATACCCTTGAATATTACAGCAATGTTTATATGACATAATTTATGGTAAAGTGAACAAGTGGATAGGAATGAATTTTTTTAGATTTTTTAAGTTTTTTAGTGCTTGCCTATAATACAAAACATTGACAGTTAAGGGCCATAATTCAAATAAAATCTTTGACAGAATTACCTTCTCCTGGACATGTTTGGGAATCATGATTGTAAACAAGTATTCCAACTTTCAAATTAATATCTCAAACAGTTCAGTCAAAAAGTGGACTGGTACTAAAAACTTAACCAAGATTCTAAGTCGATAAAAGGCCTTAATTTTTAAAACAAATCCTTGACAGAGTTACCTTCTCTTGCGTACAGATGGGGGTAATGATGTGAAATAGCATTAAAAGTTTCAAAGCAATATCTCAAAGGGTTAAGGCAATAAGTGGATTTTACCCATATTCAATGTATTTTCTAAGTCAAAAAGGGGCATAATTCTGTCAAAAACCTTGACAGAGTTATGTCCTCTTGTCTGTTGATGAAGGTCGTGATGGTAAACAAGTATGGTCAGTTTCAAAGCAATACCTCCAATGGTTTTGAAATAAAGTGAGGTGGTACAAAAAACTTAACCAAGCTCAATACACTTTCTAAGTCAAAAAAGGGCCATAATTCTGTCAAAAACCTTGACAGAGTTATGTACTCTTGTCTGTAGATGGAGGTTATGATGGTGAACAAGTATGGTAAGTTTCAAAGCCATACTTGTAATACTTCTGAAATAAAGTGGGGTGGTACGAAAAACTTAACCAAGGTGTGACGCCGACGCCGACGCCGGGGCGAGTAGGATAGCTCCCCTTTTCATAGAAAAGTCGAGCTAAAAACGATATTACACTAGTGTAGTAACACTTTGATGTGACGTCATTTGCGCTATATAGAAACATAGCGTTAAAGTGCGCTTATGTTAGCGTTACACTAAAGGCGCTTCATTGAAAAATTACTCATTTTAACAGTTAACTATTCTTATTTTATATATGTGATAAATAGAATATTATATTTGTGTACATTCAATACTAAATTTATTGAACTCGTTGAATAAAACAATATTATGCTCGCCAGAGGCTCACATAATATGATTTTATTCAACTTGTTCAATAAATTTAATATTAAACTACACTCATTTAATATCCTCTATATATTGAATAAGACAGGATATATCTTACAACACATGTTCGGTTTTTTTTTTTAATCATTTTTGGGGTTTTAATGTCACGTAAAGGAAAGTCAATAAATAAATATTTGTTCAGCAACAACAGGGTTATTTTGAATCACACAAAGTGGTGATAATTTACCTCACTGCACTTTCCAAATTTAGCCAAGGATATGAATTTTGAGCTGGAAGTAGGTCACTTTTTGAAGGTCAATAAAAACTTAAATTTACAGTTACTAAAGACAATATGAAAAGGTTAGGAGGCCCTGATAAGAGCCGTTGTTGCCCAGCCAAAATCTAGTTCACTATATGACATTAATGACACATTATTGCTAAGAGACAAATAAATTTTTACTTTTTAAGAAAGGGATAACATGAATTTTATTATATTTAAATGATAGTGTTACAGAATGGTATGTGCTTATTACCGGAAGAAAGCAGCAATAAATGTGAAATAATTTGTCATGAAAGTAGCAAAATGTAAACAAAGTGGTATTTGGACTTCCATACAAAACACTTATCAATTATAACAGTAATCATTGCCAAAAAGCAACAGATGAAAAACATTATTCAGGTAATAGTCGATTACGTAACTTTTTGGATACTTTAAAAGTACATCAAAATTTAAAAGCTTTTGAGAAATAAAACTAAAAGCATTTCCGAGGCATATTGGACCTTTAAAACACCAAAAAACTTTTTTTTTTAAATATCTGGAGGTGTGCTGTTGCCTTGTACACAAAACCAAAGAAATTTTCAACCCACCTTAGCCTGTCCGTCAGGTAAGAACAGGTAGGCGCCACTTCTATCGCCGCTGTGTGGTTTCGTTCCGTACGTAACAAACTCTAGCCGTGTATTATGTTCTACACCATTCTCCTTAGTGACAACTGACTGATAAAATATAAAAATAGACAATTGTTTTAAAATCATTCTGGAAATTGTTAATAATTATCTGCTACACAAACATTTCAATCTTTAATGTTTGACGGGTTAAACCCCTCTTTTTTCAAGGAGTTTCTGTTTATTTTTATAAATCAGAGTTTTCTGAAAGTGTCTTATTTGAATAAAAGAATGAATAAACTATGTATGGGAAGCTGTGTTCCATATTAAAGAAGGTCCTTTCTTGTAAAAACCTGCCAATTTGTTGGTTTTTTTTACTGAATGTGACCACCTACATGTATACTGATTTGAATTTTAAACATAACTTAACATATTTACTATGTATAAAGTCAAAAACATGTTTATTAAATATTAACAAAGAGACTGTGTTGCAAAAAAACATTTTCTAATGATCAAATTTGAGCATAGTATAACACATAGTTTAATCAATATATGAGCCGCGCCATGACAAAACCAACATAATGGGTTTGCGACCAGCATGAATCCAGACCAGCCTGCATATCCGCTGTTCGCTATCAGTTTCTCTACTTGCTATAGGGTTTGTAAGCGAACAGCATGGATCCTGATCAGACTGCGCGAATGCGCTGGTCTGGATCCATGCTGGTCACAAACCCATTATGTTGGTTTTGTCATGACGCGGCTCATATAAGCTGATATAAAAATCATAACTCACCTTTAATAATCCGTTAGATCCTGAGAAAGTTGCCTTGAGGTATGGATTCTCCAGTGTAATATCTGAACCTACAGCTTTAGCTATAGAAAATGGATGCCTGCAAACAATGGGAAAAGAACAATGGGAAAATATCTCGTATAATAATACTTTTCATCACATATCGCTTTTGTGACTCCCTGAAAATGGTATTGCATGACTGATAATATATTTTGATGTGATGTCATTTGAGTTATACAAACATAGTGTAAAGACGCACTGAATGTTAGCGTTACACTAACAGCAGGGCAATGCAAAATGATTCTTTTTCACTTTAAACAGTCTTTATTCTGGGTATGTGATAAAAAGAATAATAATTATATTTGTGTAGGTTCATAACTGAATTTACTGAACTCTTTGAATGATATAATATTATGCTAGCCAGAGGCCCGCATAATATAATTTTATTCAACTTGTTCAATAAATTCAGTATTGAACCTACACTCATTCAATATCCTCTTTACATGTATACTGTTAGTTTCTTTAATTTTCTGTTTGTTTATTTTTAACACAGATTTTAACATATCTTTCAGTCATATCTCGGAGACTGATCCACCTATCCAGCCTTCCTGAATAACTAACCAGTAATAACCAATTTCTCTGTAAGTGACCGACTACTAATCACACCAAAAGACAATTAAGACTCTTTGTCCTTGATCTATTGTTATACTAACAATATAACTACCCCCCCCCCCCCACCTTATCTGATGCAGCGTATCAACTAACTCCCTTAGATCTAAACCCCTGCATCTTCAGATAATACCCTGTTATAGATAAATACCGCCTCACCCTAAAATCAACCCCTGAATAACTTAATATGTGATGCTCTCCCTTTTGTTTGTTTAGGTTTCTACGTCACACCGACACAGTATAGGTCATTTGGCGACGTTCCAGCTTTACTGGTGGAGGAAAACCTCAGGTGCCCTTCCGTGCATTATTTCAGGCACGAACAGGCACCTGAGTAGAACTACCGACGTTCCGTAAGCTAGCTGGATAGTTTCCTCACATGAAAGAATCCAAAGTATCTGATGGGGTTTGAACCCACAGCAGTGAGGGGCAAGTGGTTTGAACTCAACGACCTTAACCACTCGGCACAGACGCCCCTCTCTCCCTTTTGAGCCAAGGGAAGTATAATCATATACTGTAATGAAAGCTGATTTCCTTGATCAAAGTCATGATACTAATTTGGAAATATTAAACCATTTAAAGAGCTAGAATGAGCAGTTTGACCAACTACCTGTGACTTAAAGTAATTACCTCTAATAACTTCAAGCATCAAAACATTTTTAAATGATAAAATAAATATATATATACGTACGACTGTAATATTGTTGAACTGTCCGAGTTAAACACAAGTACAGAAACGGGAACATTTTTCGGGTTAGAGTTGGCTGGAACACGCTGAACTGTATATTTTACAATACCAAGCGCTGGTATTGTGAGCCTGAACGATACCTACATCAAATTTAAATAATTTGTTAAAATAAAATACTTGTAAAATAACAAAAACTACTTAAGTATTTCTATGATATTTTTACTATCATTAAATAAACCTTAGAATGTATCCAGTGTTGATTATTTGTTCCACTTGTATCATTTTTTCTTAGTATTTTTATTACAGTTCAAAATAACTTATTTAGATTCAATTTAAAAAAAATGCTTGAAGCTTTTTAAAATTAGTTTCAAGTCACGTTCCTGGAACTAATCAGTACTGGAGGCATACAAGGCATTATAGTCGTGACTCGTGACCCCCGTTATTCATGGTGACACTGGTATCTCTTGATTTTGTACAGCCTGTTTCCTAGAATGTAGTTTTCAATATAAGTGGCAGGCAAACCAAATAATATTTAATTACTTTGTTATTTCATTTAGGGCCTTTTTCCCTTCTATAGCAGATGCTGTTTAAAGGCGGCTTCCCCAAAGAAAAACTCTTTAAAATCATGCAGTTTTCCCAAAAAATTGAATTTACAACTAGTTTTTTTTTTTCCCTTACAATTTTCCCCAAAAATCAGGGGTGGGGCTGCTTCCCCAACCTGTGAAGAAAAAAAACCTGTTTTGATTTTAAAGAATGTGTTAAATATCTCTCAAATTATTGATTTATTTACCTTGAATTTTGATTTCGATATTTTATCTGCTTCGTCCCAGAATGGTTCCACCTGACTCAGCACAACTGATCCCTCCGTATCCATGACAACAACGTCGGCACAACTCACGTAAATCTTTACTACTTGTTCCCGGCTCTGAGCCAAAGAATTGTAGAACATCACGGGTCTAAAATTCAACAAATGATCAAATCATTAAATATTTTGAAGATTCATCATATACTGAACAGTTACTTTTAAAGGCCAATTTACCATAAAACATGCTATTTTTTTATTTTTGAAAAGCTTTTTACAATGTCTATAAAATACTCACTGACAATAATGATAAAGCTGCTTGAACTGTTGTTACGTTTGTGTTTTTGGCAATTAGTAATGTTACAGTCATAAAGTACATGTATTTTCTATGGAAGTTATAATACCATTTCAAATGACAACAATAATTCCAATATTTACCTTGGTGAAGTATCAGATTCCTCCCCTAGATCAATCACAGATTTCACAGGTAATGCATCATGTGTTTCCCTGCTCTCATCCTACAAATATATAGATTATGTATCTCGCAGTTACCAACAACATCAGATTCTATATACAGTACTTTAATTCTTGGTTTGTTGTCACGCACAACACCTTATACTATCAACATAATTATTTTTAATCTTACAGACCTTTCACTATAGACAGAGTTTCTTTAATGTGTAACCATAACAAAAAAATATTAAAAATTTATTAGTAATTCAGTATAACTGGTCTTAAGACCACCTCAGAATAAAGACCTCCCCGGAAATTAAGATCACACTGGGAATTAAGACCACTGCAAGAATTAAGACCAACCCAAGAATAATGACCACTCCAGGAATTAAGACCACTCCAGGAATTAAGATCACCCCAGGAATTAAGACCACCTGAGAATTAAGACCAACCCAGTAATTAAGACCACTCCAGGAATAAAAGCCATCTCCAGAAGAAAGAACATCCTGGGAATTAAGACCACATTGGGAATCAAGACCACCCCAGGAATTAAGACCATTCCAGGAATCAAGACCATCCCAGGAATTAAGACCACCCTGGTTTTATTACATGTTACAGTAGGTAAAACTTACAACATTAAACCAGGGAGCATTCTCGTTATAACTGTACTCAGTTTTGGTATCCATGGAGATGTATGTGGCACATTCTTTTATTATCAGCTTACAATCTCGTAATGACTTCAACAATCTAAAATATATAATTCATAGATCTATAATACAGAGAACAGTTTTATAACATAACACAATGTTGTCTTTGTTGTACATGTGTTGTTATGTTTTTTATCATATCATTTCATTTATCATATCTCATATAATTCATCATTTCTCTTAAAACATCTCATATCATATCTCAAATCATATCATTTCACTTGTATATCATATATCATATCTCATATCATATCTCATATCATATCATTTCTCATATTATTATCACATATCCTTTATCATATCTCATATCATTCATCATATCTCATTTCATATTTCACATCATTTATCATATCTCTTATCATCTATCATAGCATTTATGATAGCTCATATTTTCTCTTATATCATTTATCATATTTCATCATCTTTCATATTCTTTATCATATCTCATAGTATCTATCACATAATTTATCATATGTAATATCATCTCTCGTATCATCTCACATATCATTTCTCATTTCATATCTCACATATCATATCTCATACACCTATCGTATATCATGTACATAAAAACCTCATATTACATTACTGTAATATACAATACCTGTTTCCATAATCAACAACAACAAAATCTTTAGCAGTGCCTGTAATACCATCATGATGCTGGAACAACCCAAGATTTCTACGTGCCTGTATTAACTTGTCCATAAACACAGTCTGTGGAAAATTTGAGTGACTTTTACGCCTAGCCGTTGCTGTTGCCATGGAAAACAAAATCTCTGCAGCTCTGAATATATACAAAAATAATAAGAGGATATTTTTTCATTTGAGTGAAATATGGTATATATATTTTCATGAAACATGAAAGTATGTGGCATTTTATCATGTTGTGTGAAAATATATACCCTATTTAACGAAAAACAAACAAGAACTGTCGGAGGACAGTAACGCTCAACTATTCGAAAAGTTGTCACAAGGGTGTTTCATTAAATATAATAATCCTTACCTTTATGAATACATAAAATTGTCCGAAAAGGTACAAACCCTTCAGTAGTAATGGAGATGCCAGCTTACAAGCAAAAATTTACCTAGAATTTCTAAGACGAAAAAGGGGCATAATTATGCATAAAGCAAATTAGAGTAATGGGACTTGTGCCAATCATCTTAGATAATCACAGAGAACAAGTGTGTGGAGTTTAAATTCATTCCCTTCAGTAGTAATGGAGATACCAGCTTACAAGCAAAAACTTAACCAAGAATTTCTAAGTCGAAAAAGGGGCATAATAATGTAAAAAAGCAAATCAGAGTTATGGGACTTGTGCCAATCATCTTAGATAATCACAGAGAACAAGTGTGTGAAGTTTCAATCCATTCCCTTCAGTAGTTATGGATATACCAGCTTACATGCAAAAACTTAACCACAGGGACGCCAACACCGACAAATGGGTGACTGCATTAGCTTGATTATCCTGCGAATAGTCGAGCTAAAAATACCTTTTTATTTGGTTTATACAGAATTTATTTTAGTTTAATTGTGTAGGAAGCTATAAGCTTATAGACACACCTTCAAATCTGTTCCTGGAACCAACCAGTCCTGAGCAATGAGTGTAAAGTTTCTTGCTCAAGGAAAGAACGACTTGCCCATATGATGTGATATTCAATGGCCAATGGCTGAGCAAACAGAAGTTATACAAAGTTTATACTCATCATTACGGTGAAACTTCTATTCTATTATAGTAAAGTAATGATATTTTAATCGAGCAATATGACATAAAGAACAAAACACAAGTTTTTTATTAAGATCCATATAAAGATCCTGTATGTTGTAAATGAAGTTGTATACCACACTTTAGTGAAATTATGTAAATGTATATAATTATGTTTATAAACAGTTTTCAAACATCAAAGAATATGTAAACAAGGTATGTTTGTAAAATATGTATGCCCCCTATCGGCAGCCAATTAGTCATGTGATCAGGTTGTTATGCATGACTTCCGACCCAGTGAACAAAAAATTAATAAGGGTTATCTACTGGTCATGACTAGTCACAAGGTAATAATTATTGTGACACTATAGGTTGTGTGCAGCAATTTAAGTTATTACAAATCTTACCAAATAAAATATGCATAGATTTCATGAATCATGTAGGCCTCATTAATGACAGCCAAGTTGTTATATTACATAAGACCTTCAAATGTGTTTACCAAAAGCATTTTTAGTTTAATATAAAAATATCAACCAAGGCAACTTGACTTGTTGAGTAATTGGCCAGAAACCATCTTAAAGTACAAGGTCAATTTGACACTGATCCCTTGACCCCAAAATCAATAGGGGTCATCTACTGGTCATGACCAATCACCATACCAAGTTTGAAGTTCCTTGGTCTAAGGGTTCTTTAGTTATTGATCAGAAACCGTTTTTACCTTCAAGGTCAATGTGACCTTGACCTATGACCCCTTGACCCCAAAATCAATAGGGGTCATCTGCTGGTCACGACCAATCATCATACAAAGTTACAAGTTCCTAGGCCTAAGCGTTTTTAGTTAATTGATCGGAAACCGTTTTTTCCAACAAGGTCAATGTGACCTTGGCCTTTGACCCATTGACCCCAAAATCAATAGGGGTCATCTACTGATCATGACCAATCACCATACCAAGTTTGAAGTTCCTAGGCTTAAGGGTTCTTTAGTTATTGATCGGAAACCATTTTTGCTTACAAGGTCAATGTGACCTTCACCTTTGACCACTTTACCCCAAAATCAATAGGGGTCATCTACTGATCATGACCAATCACCATACCAAGTTTGAAGTTCCTAGGCCTAAGGGTTGTTTAATCATCACTAGGAAACCATTTGGTCTACGGACCGATGGACCGACAAGTGCAAAGCAATATACCCCCTCTTCTTCGAAGTGGGGGCATAATAATCTATTTATTATAGTAAAATTAGGTAACATATTTATAAATAATGCTTTTTGGAACTTACAAAATTGATAAACCTTAATCTGAGCATCAAATTCATAAACCATAAAAAATTGTGTTATAAAATCTTTAATAATCTATTATGTATGGTCACTGAATATTTTTAAATTTGGAAAATCCTATTCAGCAAGTGAATATGATACTACACCCAGTGAACATGATTTTATAAACAGTTCTGTTTGATTACTGTTTAGACCTATGAGATTGCAGCTAATATTGCTTTCCATAACTCTGTCTAGGATTTTCTGGAAAATCTATTTTTAGACTGGGAAAATCCAATGAGCTCTATATACCTTATATTGCTTTCCATAACTCTGTCGAGGTTTTTCTGGAAAATCTATTTTTAGATTGGGAAAATCCAATGAGCTATATATACCTTATATTGCTTTCCATAACTCTGTTGAGGTTTTTCTGGAAAATCTATTTTTAGATTGGGAAAATCCAATGAGCTATATATACCTTATATTGCTTTCCATAACTCTGTCAAGGTTTTTCTGGAATGGTCGTGACGTGAAATATCCGCTCCAATAGTGATCATCCTTGTCAGCATACGTATAAAAATCTCCCGACAAAGTTTTCATCGGACCTGGTTTTTCTCCCGGCTTCACATCAAATTCCTTGTATATTGAATTAAAGTAATCGGACAGGGTACCAAACTGAGCCTGTAATACAATACAATATTTTTTTTTCCAAATTTTTTTCTCCAAGAATAATAAAACCACAAGAGAAGGAAGGTGTGAAGCCAATAAGATAAATATAAAGTAACATATTTAAGTTGTGATAAAACAATATCACCTGCTGGAGCTAAGAAACACAGAGACTCCAGAAATTCAAACCTACATAGTCCCCTCTTACGATCATGCAGGTATAAATGGTGGCTGAAATTTTGATAATGCCTCAACCCTTTAAAACAAACCCTCAGCCTCAAGGGGAGTGGACTGCAATGCTGATGCCTTCAACCTTTATGGCAATCCCTCAGCCACGAGGGGGAATAACCTTTATGTAACCTTACCTGTACTCCAAGCTCAGGGTGGGAATTGATATATTCAAACAGTTTCTCGTAGTTGTTGTACTGGAGATCCCATTCATCCGGTTTGTCGTACCTGAAATCATCTCCTAATGGTGCAAACACCGAGTTACTGCGGTACAATGTTGCCTTCTTCTTCCATTGGTCAATAATCGTCTTGGCTCTATTATACATAAATAACGTAAAAATAAACAGTTAAAGTCATAATTGATGAAAATTTAAAATAAAAATCTCGAAAAAAGAAGATCTCTAGGAGGAATAGAATTAATAGTTGCAGACTCGGTTTGATTTGATCAAGTCTGTTCATGGCATCAATATGGAAGTTGCAGACTCTGTTTGATTTGATTGAGTCTGTTCATGGCATGAAGATGTAAATTGCAGACTTGGTTTGATTTGATTGAGTCTGTTCATGGCATCAAGATGGAAATTGCAGACTTGGTTTGATTTGATTGAGTCTATTCATGGCATCAAGATGTAAATTGCAGACTTGGTTTGATTTGATTGAGTCTGTTCATGGCATCAAGATGGAAATTGCAGACTCGGTTTGTATGAGTCTGTCAATGAGAGATAAAGAAATGTGAAACATATCTCATGCCCAGTAACACCTGCTGAAATGCCTCAGAAATATTACCAATTTTATTTTTCAAAAACTTTTAATTTTTGATATTATGTTACAGTTTTCAAAATAATACTCATTTGAGATATAGATGGACTAGCTTTTATAACTAAAGCTCTGTTGACACTCTGTATGATTATAATGAATCAGTATTTTGCATGGAAGTCAAAATACTACTTTGTGTACATTTTGCTACAATCAGCGCTTCTTTTTTCAGTTCTTTAACATCTAACATGCCCTTAATCCATGATTCAAACACTATTAAACACATGTTTAACATTTCGAAAAAATTCTTAAAATACTGATTTCTAAGGTACATTAAAGGGACTCACCTGAAGTATTTTGACATGATGGGACTGGATAAAAAAAATCCTAATAAATATACATTTTGATGTAGGTTTAGACTACTAATCTTTGGGAGAAATTTCAGATCATTTGCAAACTTCATTTTCTCCAGAATAATTATTCAAATTGTAAAAAATAACCTAAAATGAAAAGCTTTTCAACGTTTTTCACTCAAATCGGGCTAAGAAAAGCATAAAAATATGATTTTTAATTCATTTCAAAAAATATTTCTTAACAATCTTTGCATATATTTCTGTTTAAAGTGCCCCAGCTCATTTATGTAAGAAATTCAAATGTTATGTTTTTAGGCTTTTAAACCTCGGTGGAATCCCTTTAAGTAAAGATAGAACAGTTCAAGTCAGGAATAATATAACTTTTATTTTGCAGAATAAACTAACATACCTTTCAGCAACATTTACATTGCTAATTTCTTGTGGCGGAATTTTCCAGGGACAGGAATAGGAACTACCAGGTAGCCGTCGGAAATCAAACTGGCAGCAAATGGCAGGCTCGGGACCGCAAGTGTGGGGAACGTCGTACGAGTAGAATGGCATCATGTGACACAACATGTCCGTGTTTCCATGGTGATCTGTGAAATTAACAAAGCATACGGTCAAATAAAACATAAGTCACACAACAGTATAAGATATATATATTGTAATATTTTTACAATCAATTATATAATCTAATGTTTAAATTTTAAGTTATATCAACAATGCTGAGGTCATACCGGTATTGCAACTCTCCAGCTTTTACACAGGTGAAGGAAGACTTTATCCCTCTACATTCTTTTTTAGAGTTCTTTTTCTTTTTTTGTTGGGTTGAACGTCGCCCCAACACAATTCAGTTCATATGGCAACTTTATAGCTTTGCATGTGGAGGAAGACCTCAGGTGCCCCTCTGTACTTTACTTCAGGCACAAGCAAGCACCTTAGTAGAACCACAAATGTTCTGTGAACTAGCTGGATAACTTCCTCACATGTAGAATCTGAAGACACTTGCACCACTCTAACTTACAGCAGTAAAATGCAAGTGGTTTGACGACCTCAGCCACAGACCCCTACCTCTTCATTCATTACTGCAAGCACAAGATGACACTTGACCTTCTGTAGCTTACACGTTTTAATGGATAAAAACTCCACTGACTCCCGAAATTTTCCTTTCCAAAAAGCATATATTTATCCCCTATTACAAATAGAATCTAATTTTTTTTTTTTTTGGAATCATTTAAATGCAGACTGAGACAAACAGGGTATTACTGTTGTTTAATGATTAAAATGGACTGCTTTTAACAATTTCTCCATTTTCATCTCTCAAATGGCCCTGTCATTTTCCTGGATAACTAACGAATATTTCTGCAAGTGACTGACTAAATTGTAGAAACATCTCTACAGAAACCTATGTTACTAACCAATTTATCTGTAACTGACCAATAAATTGTTGAATTTTTCTACAGAAACCTACATTTAAGCTATAAATTCACAGACTATCAGGAAAAGAAGGGACTGTTTCTCTTGTTTTTAAATAAACAACAACAGATAAGTAAAGGTTATCCCTACCCCATGTTTGTCTCCACATGAACTCAAGGTTTTTATTTTTGGCGAGATATTTTTTGACAGCATAGTGTACCCTCTGTATAAGCATATTATTTAGACCGGACCTCCGTAACAAGTACGCCATCGTCGGTGTGTGTCCAAACGGATCGATAGCCCAGCCCGCTGACGGCTTCACCCCTAAAATATATACAATACTGAATGTTTGTAACGTCAATTTTCATTGGACGATCACATGTGTCCTGACATTGCAATAATGTATAGGTATCTAACACACAAACTTTTTATTTTCCTTTTATTTTTATCGTCACCATATAGATAATCAGACTTTGTGTCATTTGTAAATTTATAAAATTCAAATTTTTTTCTGAAAAAAAAAATATGTTGAAAGCTACGGAAAATGTTTATTTTATTGAATTGATTATATCTATTGTTCAACACACTGAAAACGATTTTGTTTTAAATATTGTAAAATTAATGAATAAAATCAATGTTCATTTAAGAGTTTATTTAAACTAAAGATATACTATGCTCATCTTTGAGTTAAATATTTTTATTGCAGAAGTTTATTGAAATCTATAAAATTCTAATTGAACATGTCTTATCTAACTAAAAGAATGTACAAACTATTTACCATATTACAGGTCAAGTGAAGCTGTTCCTTTCTTTAAAAAACTGCCAGTTTTTTAATGGCACTATACATTCTTAGTGTGTTCACATACAGTGTAGTATTTAAAACATTATATATCTACTTTGTGTGAAGTCAAATCATGTTTATGTTATATTTATAAAAAAAAAAAGATTGTGTACCAAGTATCAATATTTTCAAATGTACCAATTATTAATATATTCAAATGTACCAATTATTATTATATTCAAATGTACCAATTATTAATATATTCAAATGTACCAATTTGAATTATTAATATTTTCAAATGTCAAATTAAACATAGCAAATCTTTAAAATATTATCATTCTTTAAAATAAAATCAATCAAAAGGCTATTTCAATCATAACTTTAAACAAGGATATTTGATACAGTACAATATCATTGAATGATTACATCATTACTTAAAGGGACTCCACTGATTGTTCTTTTGACACGACAAGACTGGCAATAATTTTTTCGAGATTAATGTTCCATTTGATGTAGGTCTAGAACAATAACTTGTGTGCAAAATTTTAAATTAATCGCTCACTCCATTTTTCCAGAATAAATATTCTTACTGTGAAAAAAACCCAAAATTGAAACATTCAAATTAAGCTAAGAATAGCACAAAAATATGGTTTACAATTTATTAGTTGCATAATTATCTTTCTATTTAAAGTGCTTTGGTTTATCTATGTGAGAAATTCAAATTTTATATTTTCAGGCTTTTTGACCTCAGTGGAGTTCCTTTAAACTGTACAGCCATGTATTTTACTAGCTAGCAGTCAATCAGAATCAAATCTAAATGTAAATCTTATTAAAAAGAACATACCCAAAGTGCCGTCAAGCCACTGATGACCTTCTAAGAGTTGATCGAGCATCGCAAAGTAATGTGTATTGGCCTCATCGTTCATGACCCAGCCTCCTGTAATAATCTCTAGCCTACCATCGTCTATCAACCTGTATAACAAACAGTTATCTCATTAGTGTGTTTATCACATATTGTAAACAGTTACCTAATTAATTTGTTTACCACACACCCGTGCCACTTTTACGACTCCGTAAAAATGGTATTAAAATGGTTGTGCATATATTTTGATGTGACATGCATAAATTTTGATGTGACATCATTTTTGTTATACAAACAGAGCGTTAAGATTATACTATAGGCGTGTCAATGAAAAAAATGGTTCCATTCCACTTCAAATTGTCTTTATTTTTGGTATGTGATAAATAGAATATAAACTATGTGTAAGTTTAATAATATGTCACAGATTGAAATTATATGGTAATGGCAGCCGTGGCTTTCCATAGTTTTATTTAAGCGCAAACATCGTGCACGCGCGTTTTTATTCGTTTTCAGTCGTTTTTATTGGTGGCCAGTGTGCCCATAATTATGGTACCTATACAGAGTTCATATCCTATGGAGATTGTCTGTATTGATTATCTATCATTAGAGAAATCTAGTGGTGGATATGAAAATATCCTAGTTACTACTGACCATTTTACTAGGTACGCCCAGGCCATACCGACCAGAAACCAAACAGCCCACACAACAGCAAGAGTGTTGTTTGAGAACTTCTTCTGTCACTACTCTTTTCCGGCAAGACTACACAGTGATCAGGGCCGTAACTTTGAAAGTAAGGTTATACAGGAGCTGTGTAGGATTGCAGGGGTGGAGAAGTCTCGAACAACACCCTATCATGCTATGGGTAATGGACGAACCGAGCGTTTTAACTCGACGTTACTCGGTATGCTTGGTACTCTGGACTCGGAGGGTAAGAGCAATTGGAAGGACTTTGTCAAGCCTTTTGTTCATGCCTGTAATGCAACCAAACATGAGTCTACTGGCTACTCTCCGCATTATTTGATGTTTGGATGGCACCCACGCCTAGCCATTGATGCATTCTTGGGCATCGGAGCATCAACAGAAAGTCGAAGTCCAGAGAGTCCTATGTTGACAAGTTGAAGAAGAGGATGGAGTTTAAGGACAGAAGGGAACAGACTATAGGAGTTGTACCAGAGCAAGAGTCAGACTCAGACTGCAGCACAGGAAGTGAAACTCCTAGATACATTCCTCCACATAGAAGACCAGCATCCAAGCCCCGTGTACTAAGACCGATGCAGCCAACCAATTATACACATGTTGTTTGTGAGGATCAGTTGTCATCTACTGGTGGAGAGATGTCATCATTTTCACAGAATTTAGAGTCTCAACATGTTTCTCCAATTTACACATTTTAGAGATAATTATTCTGTTGATAATCTAAATTCTGTTATTTCAGATGGTAACCAATCTAGTAGTTCCCATAATAATATTTCATCAAATACATGTAGTAATTTAAAATACTAATGTTTCTAATGGTAACAATTTTTATCTTGTTACAGATGACCCCAGTATTGTTAGAAGGTCATCAAGGGTTAGAAAACCACCAGATAGGTATGGTGAGTGGGTTAGACCCCATCACAGCAAATGTTGATTTTCAAAATCATGACATTTTGTATCCTCAATCTTTTGCAGATCAGGGGAGAATGTCACATAATAGATATGACTTTTGATTTTCCATATAAATAATTGAAATATTGTATTTCAGTTTTGATTTATATGTGTTTTGTTTACTGAACTTAATTTCTGTGTTTTACATTACAGAATAGTTATAAAGTTTCAGGTTTAAACATGAAATCTATATCAGAAATAATTATTATTTCTGTGTGTGCAATTTACATTTCAGATTTTGGAGAGAGTACAAGTTTACAAATGAAATATGTATATTGTATTTCGAAATGTTTAAGGAAATGCCTTTGTTTTAATTATTCATATTGAATGCATTTCTTTTTGATATCTTATCTGAATTTTGTGTCTGAAAATGTTATATTTATCTTTTCAGAAAATATGGTGCAGTACCTTTAATGTTGACAAATTTAGTGTTGTACCTTTAACATGCTAAATGTCAATATGTGCCTTTAATGTACCATTACTCTTGGAGTCATGTATATATCTATTTCAGTATACATTAATGAGATAGAGTATGTTTCTAAATGTGTTTTATTATAGGTTGATGCAAAATGGAAAATGATTGTTGATATTTTCATTTTCAGCAAATGATTGTTGATATTTTAATTTTCAGCAGATGTATTATTTTCGCAATTGTTTATTGATTAGAAACTTTTCAGATGTTCAGAATCTTAACTTCAGTAATTGTTTTGGAAAATTTTGCCTTAAAATTTAAAATTAATTTCAGTTTAATTATTAAATAAATATTGCTGAAATTTACTTGAATTTACTTAAATAGGTTAGGTAGTATTAATTTAAATGTATTTTAACTTGTTGATAGATTCTGTAAATTAATTAATGTAGGAAAATGTCAGGAGCCATTTTCTCCTACCAGGGGAGAATGTCACAGATTGAAATTATATGGTAATGGCAGCCGTGGCTTTCCATAGTTTTATTTAAGCGGAAACATCGTGCACGCGCGTTTTTATTCGGTTTCGTTTAGTTTTTATCGTATAAGTTTAACTTCCGGTATTGAATCGGTGAAAATCGACAATTTCCGTCAATGATGTACATTGTCGATCTCACCCGTGCAATATCGTGAACACTGGTCACTCTTTCTTTCTTGTAACTTATCCAATTGTTGTGTTTGTTATGTATGATTCTATGTGAGAGAGATATCCATTGGTTCTTTTAAATAGTTTTTACTTCTGCGCACTGTTTGCTTATCCTGTCCCACTCACTCTTTACAGTCATCTCTTATGAGTCAGACATAGTAAAAACTTAACATTTATACATAGATCTACATTTACTTTACCTATTTCAATTTATATTGAAATAGTTTAATTACAGACGCTGTGGTAAGAATAGTATTAATATTAGAATATTAATTGTATTTCTTATGTATTTTCTTATTCCGCGTCGATTGTGTATATATTGTTATTTCATTGTATTTTGTTTTTCTATGTATTGTATTTGTAAGATGTATAATTATTTTATTATATTTTTAGACCATTTTTATTTGGAATCATTAAAACATCGAACCTACGCCCAGAGTTTGTTTCTTTCTACAAGAAATATTTGACCCTGTGACAAATAAATTTATAGAACTCTATTTGAATAATATAATATAATGTTTGACAGAAGCTCTCACACTAAATTTTATTCAACTCTTTCAATAAATTCAGTATTAAACTTACACTCATTCAATATTCTATATTTAGAACATATTGTAAACAGTAATCTTGTTTATTATTATGGTTTGTACAGAATTTATTTTAGTTTGATTGTGTAGGAAACTATAAACTTATAGACACACTTTCAAGTCCATTCCTGGAACCAACCAGTACTGAACAATGTGTAAAGTTTCTTGCAAAAGGAAACAACAGCTTGTCTCTGACAGGGTTTTAAACCATCACGGCTTGCGATCCATAGATTACTTGTCTAAAGTGTTAACCACTAAGCCATGCTGTCACTTAAGTGTATGTACATTGTACATTGTATTTTTATTGTGCATTAAACTCATACTAAACACTGTAATGTTCATATTGCCATTTATCAGCTTTACTAGTAAAGGATAACCTTAGACATCCTTTAGTGTATAAAATAAAATATTGCCATCATTTGTTTCCTGTCCCCCTACCCACCTACCTACAAATAGTCAATGCCTCTAAAACATTTTTATTGCCAAACAAAGCAAGTTTGTTTTTTTTAAAGACATGATGGATACAGAGTCTGTCAATGAGAACTTTGACACTTTGGTTCTAAATTTTGATTTTCTAATATTGGAAAACTGAAAATGTACAAGAAGCACTTGGACAAACCACCAACCTTCCTTATACCAGCTTAATTGTTATAGCATACTCACACAAATTGATCCAAAGTCCATGGTGGGATTCAAACCTACTAAATGCGCCACTTAAACCACTTAGTTATAGATACCAAGATTTTCATATAAATCCATCTAACTTTTTCATACAGAAGTTAAGTCATAGAGTCAGCAAACAAAAGTGACAGGAACCGAAATACTTACTTATTAATATTTCCAACTTACTTTTTCACTCTTTTCTTTTTATCTAGGTTTATTTCATTCCACCACATATGAAAGAATGATATTTCAGCATACATGAACTTCATGTTGGGGTATTGTTCCAGTTTGGCCAGCATGTTATCAAATATGTGTTTTGTCTGGTCCTGATAATACCTCTCATATGTCTTCACCCAGCCTGTATTATACAATATTACACTTATCTCAGTCTATATCATAGAATATTACACTTTACCCAGTCTATATTATACAATATTACACTTTACCCAGCCTTTATTATATAATATTACACTTTACCCAGCCTGTATTACACAATATTACACTTTACCCAGCCTATATTATACAATATTACATTTTATCCAGCCTTTATTATATAATATTACACTTTACCCAGCCTTTATTATACAATATTACACTTAACCCAGCCTGTATTATATAATATTACACTTTACCCAGCCTATATTATACAATATTACATTTTATCCAGCCTTTATTATACAATATTACACTTTACCCAGCCTTTATTATACAATAAGAAATCACAAAGAAAATAGTTCTTGCTTACATTCACCAATTTAATAACCCAAGTTTCCCATTTAAAACCTTAAGCATAAAGTCATATTTAACTTGGAGGCACTTTAGTCGGTTGAATGTTTGTTTACTGACTGTACATTATTTCCTGTTTTCACAGTTTATTTTATTTATTTCTATGATAATACTGTGAAATCTGAGAATTGCCTAAAAGGACTAAATTTCACTAACTTTCCAAATTAAAAATAAACATAAAATGTAACTATCTAAGAATCTAAGTATCATATAGATTTTACAGAACTAAAAGTAAGAATTTGCCAATATTCACCATATTTACTCAGCTATAAGACGGGGGTCCTAATTTGTTTCCTTCAAAATTTTTGATTTCTCCAAAGTTTGGACTGGAGAAATTATCTGATTTCATATAAGCATCACATTAGAAATAAACTGAAACTGAAAACACCCAATTTTGACCATAAAAGTTTGAATTTTTTAAATTTTTTTCCACAAACCTGGATCATTATGAGAATGGGGTACAACAAACACATTGAGTTTATTCCCAGCATTCCAATGGTTAGCCGCATATTCCACTTTCCAGCCTTGTTTCCAGGCACCTCCATCAGGATTGTCAAACGGTAACTGTTTTATTATCTCCTCCATCTTAAAACAAATACAAGATTATGATCATCATTAATTATAATACCATTACATTGCTGAATACAATACTTAATTCTATTTGACAAGTACACAGCTGTCAAACCTCTATTGGACAAGGCCCTAGTTTTTTTTGTTTGTTTGTTTCATTTTACGCCTTTTCCCCAACAGTATTTCAGTCATATAGGTGGATAGTTTCCTAACCATCGTTCCTGGAGTGTTACACCAGTACTAGACTACCTTCCTCCGCGCTAAACTACCAAAACATCTCCCGGGGACACACGCCAGAGAGGTAACTGGATTAGAAGTCATCTACTCTAACCCCTTGACTACAGAGGCGGTATGCACTAAATGTCATAGATTTTGAGGCTGTGCAGGAGTCCAATAGACTCAGTATTGATCTCAACCCACGTTTATTGACCTCTTTATTCACACCAAGATTTTTGTTTTAATTTTTACAGAACTTTGTTACTTCATTTACAATCAGGATTTGATATGGATTTTGTGAAAATGAAAATGAGACTTTATGGAGTACAATATGGATTTGATATGAAACATTGTACATAATATATTTATAAGAGTACCTGGATGTCTGGAAGTTTCGTGGGAGCATCCGTCCATGAGCACATATTCTCCGATACCGACACCGCCGCCCTTAACGGAGCAAAACTACCTTGCCATGAACTCTTATCAAACTTCTCTCCTGTGTTTGAAGCTTTGGGGATCTTTGGTTTTTCCATCACTACTACATTCTCTTTGTCTTTACCAACTTGTTGTAATTGTTGTAGTTTGTCCTTGTTTTCTTTCAGTCTTACATTTTGAGAATTCAAAACTTTCTGCAAAGACAAGTTGGTAAATAAATTTCACCTTAATCAACTGGACATGTTCATCTTGATAAGACCATTCATTTTTAGGGACCATTTTTAAAATGTTTACGGTAAGAAGTGTTGCATGTAGGCCGCGCGATTGCGCGATTTGCGCATTTTTTATGCAGATCGCGCATTTTATTGAAGTCAGTGCGCGCCAAGTCGCGCATCTGACAATCTTTTCAACTTAATTCAGTTTATCTTCATCGTATCTTAAACGCTTCAGCCATGTTTGTTTTCACTCATGGTTATGACTAAAATACGTACTAAATCACGTGTAGCAGCCGTGTCATCTCACGTGTGAAATGTAGTATTCGTCAATATTTTATTTTTTCTACTTCCCTTTTTGAGCGGACGTTAGCTGTCAAAAACGCCTGAATGTAAAATAAATGAACTCTATTCGGTATGTCATATTGTAAGGTCAATGTATGTCCCCCACATCTTTTTCAAATCCCCCACATTTTTCAATTGAGTGGGGGACAATCCCCCATAATTTTGAAATTCTAGATGCAACACTGGGTAAGCCATTTTAATTTTACCTGAGTAAAGTTCAGTAATCTCATTCCTGGGCAGACTTCAAGCAGTGTACCAGTACTAGATGCCTTCCCTAGGAACTGATATTATTACTGTACATACCAGAGCAAAATTAAATGACTGTATAAAAAGGATTAAGTCTAGTTACTAAAATTTATTTTAGTTTCATTGTGTTAGAAACTATAAGCTTATTGAAACACCCCTGAATCCATTCCTGGCACCATCCAGTACTAAGCAATGAGTGTAAAGTTTCTTGCTAACAGAAACAATGGACTTCATGATCAATCACAACGAAAGTGACCTGCACCATGCGGAAATCGAACTTGAGTAACCGAAGTCACAATCCCACTCTCTACCATTTGAGCTAACTGACCGATACTTCCAACAGTTTTGTGAATTGGAAAGAGGCATATATTAGGTCTATATCCTATGCAAAAAATCGGTGTTTATGATATATAAATTACCTGAAGTTTATCAATGCTCTCCTGTTTGCCATTGGATACATCTTTTACTGCAGCTTTTATCTGGTCTATAACTTCTTGATTCTTCTTGATGTCTTGTTCTATACCATTTATCTTCTTCTCAAAGTTTAACAACGATTCCTGTACAACAAAAAAAAGATAATAAATAAACTACATGTTTTCATATATATAAATTTTTATTTTGTTGGAAACTATAAGTTTATCAAATACACTCTCAAATTAATTTACGGAACAAACCAATACTGAGCAATGAGTTTAAAGCAGCACGCCTCCAGATTCATGCTAATTTTCATGAAAATTTTTCAATATATTTGAATGTACAATTTTGTGAAATAACCAAAAGGAAGCAATTTACACATTATCAATGGCACTTAAAATCCACCAAAATTGCCAAAAAGTGGTCAAAATATGCATAAATAGTAACGCAGTAATTTGGTAACACAATAGAAATATAGTTGTAAAAATACTGAAAAATCAGTCATTAACCGCACATAACATGTAAAATATTACTTGAATCTTGAATCATTTTATTTTTCCTAAAATTGTAGTACATATTTCTCAAGTTTGATTTTATTGAAATATTTTGTCTCGTCTGGAGGCGTGCAGCTTTAAAGTTTCTTGGTCTAGGAAACATAGGCTTGAACCAGCTTATCAGCAATCCTTGTTGTACATCAACATGTATATCAGTTTTTCCCCACTAAAAGTGTTTAAATTTTAACTTAATTTTCTATATACGTCAATTAGTCAGCACTAATGGAATTAAAAACAACAATCTCAGGTTTACAAGTATTGTGCTTTAAAAGTTCTTCTCAAAATAATGAAGTATAAAGAAGTAACTTACGGAGTCAACATCATTATATCTGTTTGGAGATGTATTTAATGTCTCAAGCATCAAGTATAAAGATAGACAAATCACACAAAAGAACATAGCACCCCATGCTGCCATATACTTCTTCATCTTTAATTGTTGCTAATAGTAACTGCCTAGAACAAAGAAAAACATCTTTAACACATCAGATATGTCCATTTAAATGTCACCACTGCCATGTAATCCAACTAGGAGACATTGGCCGTGCAATATTCACCAAGCATATCCAATTGCGATACAGTTACAGTAGATTAGTAAAATCAAATTTAAACAGATTTTTTACTTAAGTTTTATTTTGATTAATGATACCCATATATTTTGTTCTTCTTGAATAAAAATGATTCTTTTAATCTAAATTGCTAATGCATCTTATCAACATATTTGTATTAGGTATAAATATATATTTATTACATAGGGGAAAAACATTTCTTCTAATGCTGATGCATAAATTGTATTACACCAACATGTATAGTTTCAATATGGCTGACAATGGATGGAAATATCAGTGATGAAAATTTAAGCTTTCCAACCAATATAGAAATGATTTAGAAATTGTAAGTTTGATGATGACACATTTACTGCAGACTACATTGTACATGAACATTTATATGCGATATTTATAATGGCGAATCTCTGTGACTTTCCACCAGGGATTGCAGGGATTTTTTTAACCAGTCTGCGGTGATTTTCCACTGTGACTGACCATAGTATGTCCCCTGCAATTTTCTGTTCGCCGTTAAAAGTGTCCGCAGTGACCTGTACTGTACATGTATATAACATACATGTGATATCCTGGCGGGATTTAAAAAAATCCCGATATTTGACACTGATCCCGAATCCCGATATTACAGCTTTAATTCCCGATATATATATATAAAAAAAATAATCATAAAAAAATCAAACACAGCACCTGTTTCTAAAATGTAAACCGTGCCTCCGGGCATTAATTGTTATCTGTCCATATCCTAAATTATAGCGGATTAAATGTTAAGTCACTAATTGATAGCAAGGTGACATAATAAACAGTTCCATCACCCAGTTATTCGTGTGTCAGTCAATAGACCTCTTTTATAATTTGGCAGTAGGTATTACATGCTATGTCATTAAAACAACCCTGTTAATTTACATGTATGAATTCGGCTCAACCTTTGATTTTCTTTGATTAGTGCCGCACTGATAAAGATTAAAGGTGGGCAGAATCATTTAAAATGAATCATTCAAAAACCTGTTTGAGATGCGGCAAAACCATGTCTAATTAACCTATTTTAAGTGAGTGGGTAATTTTTTTTGTTTTGTTAAGGAATTACACAATCATCGAGGCAAAAAAATGGATTTAATTAACGAAACGATTCTTGCGTTTATTTTCAGTCTTCTTCTTGAGTTACGTTATTTAACTGTCAGAGTCTTATGTTCATGAATAGTTGTTGCACGTTTTGAAATAGGGTAAAGGGTCAACTCTGCCCTATACCAACTCGGCACGGAGAAAATTACTATAAAGTTTTTCAGAAATATGATCACTTACAAACAGAAATTGAAAAAGTTGGCATTGTACCTGTATGTGTTTTTTGAAATTATCTTTGTTATAAGAAGATATATCAAGACAATATATGTTAATTATTGATCAATAAATAGAGTTTTTAGATTGATCTTTTTGTGACAATAAATGTAATTGTATTTAATACTGTTTGTTCTTTAACACCACCAATGCTTTTTTAACGATATTTTTTTTTTTAAATCTGGAGTAGCAAAACATGCGTATAAATTGTAAATTCTTTCTTTCTCTACAAATTCACATACAAATTTGTACTTTCATCAATAAAACTTTTCAATATCCTTGTGAGGTCTGTTAGTGTGAAAATGTTAAACCATGAAAGTTATGATCAAAACATATCAAAAGTAATAAAAGTAATCATTACCAGTAATATATAATTATGGGCCGAGTTGACTCATGCCGAGTTGGAATAGGGCTGAGCTGACTCGAGGGCCGAGTACCTTTTAGGGACGAGCTGACCCTGATTCTTCAAATAGCTGTGTTTTAAATTATTAGCCAATTATTGTATGACTGAAAAGACAGATATAATTATTCAAACTGAAAATAATGAAATGTGAAAATGTGACTGTTTTAGAAATAGCCTATATTACTACATCTATTTATTTATTTTTTGGTGAAATAAATTAATATTGATCAACAAAAAAATCATTAAAAAAAATATGATAATTTAATGATTTTTAGGACAATATAGATTCTTTAAACCAAATGTGCCAAACAAGCATAAAAATTTGAGTCGATAAAAAAATCCAGTTTTGAGCCTCAAAATCCAGCTGAAAATCCAGGTTTGGCCCATTTCATTTGTCTGCTTATAAAAAACTATTCATACTTTATTTTTTCAAGTAACAAATATTCACTAAGGTAAATCTTAATTGTAGTAAATATTTGTCCCTATGCCAACATTTTACGAAAATAATAATATTCATATTCGGTATTCTCTTCATATTTGTGAACATGGATTTATATTCCATATTTAGTCATACCCGACACCGATGCATATTTCAGAAGTAAAACTTGTATATATCGTCGGGTCATGTGTTTTGACGCTCATCTATTTTGACGCCATTTTTGTTCTGACCTAACAAATGACGAAAACGACCTCGTATGATGTCATAATTTGCTGACTGCACTGCAAGCATGTATTTTCAACGTATAACTAAAATATGTGGAAAGACAGAGACATTTCACTGAAAATACTTCACCTTTATCATATGTACTGTATTTTTTCATCTTTTTACTAATGCAAATTCAATCGATGTTTATGCAAGCCATAATTTTGCAAATATGGCCTTTGAAAAATCTTGACCTGCCCTTTTCTGTTTCTATCCTCCATTTTAAGATGTCTAATGAGTGTCATTTGATCAAAACTTTGCAAAGTGTCCTTAATATTCACTGTAGCATAGGGTGTACAGCTTATATTGTTTGAAAATGTTAATTGGTTTTTAATTGATACTGAGTAAAATTCATAATGGGTTAATTATTGTATATAAAGTTTAAAAAAGAAAGAAAAATATCATTTTTCAAATCAACATTTTCATATCTTTACAACATCATTCATTTTAGATATATTTTTCAGCCCTGTATGCCAAATACAGATGCTATTCATCAAGATTAATGGTAAATACATTCAAGGTTAAAGAGACAGGTGCACCTATTAAGACCACTGCCAGGGAATATGGCATTCCTAAATAATGGATAGTTTTATATGAAATAAATTATAATTTTAAGTTTTCACGATGTTGTTACATTGAAGGTTTGCTCATTTAAAAACTTCTTTTGCTGTTCATATTACATTACAGTGAAATATCCTTTTAAAATATCCACCCAATGAAAAGGCGTCATTTCATATGACTGTAAACAACAATGGATGCCTCCACGATCTGTTTACTTATGTATAAAAGTTAACTGATTTTGATTTTTAACAAACATAAAAATGGTTTGCAGTGATAAACAACATCCCATAGTAACTTTATATTGTATATTATTTAATGATCAAGTTCAATGTAAAAAAATGCGCTAGTTAAACAGCTTAAGGGCGTCAAAACTAATGACTCTAGGATAATACACTTAATAAAACAGAATGAACCTTATATATACTCATTGTTAAGGCTCTGGGGTATATTCACGGATATAGCTGAAGTTAACACTAAAATTATTTAAATTTAAAAGATTTGAAAGCATGGACTTTAATTATACTTCGCATTACTTATACTATCCGAAATCTATTTATCCGAACACAGGGTAGTTATCATAATCGCTAGTACATTATTGACACGCTTCGCAACAAAAACCTTCCTACTGCATCGGAAAATAAAATCTAGAATTAATAACAATCTATCAAAATAATTTAAATATTTACATTACCTTCCTTATAAAATAGTTATTCTCAATTCGTTATCTGTGTTGGCAACTTTCTAGGTCATGACTAATGTATGTAATGTAGTGTATCGTTATCGTTATCGTCATTCTACAGATCAATAAAATTCTGGAAACAAAGTGATCCCTCGGAAGCATTAATCGCAACAAAATAACATAAGAATTGCAGACTCGGTTTGATTGAGTCTGTACATGAGGGATAATGATTAAGTGCAACATCCCTCACGCCCCCTAGCACCGGCCTGAGCGGTATTCAATTCTCAACACTTTATAGTGTTGGCAAAAGTTCTGTATCGAATTAAAAAAAAAAAAATGAATAAAAAGAGTTTTTGGCGTTCAATATCTATAATCATATTTTACCACATTTTACTTTGTAAATGTCAATTTTAATGTAGGTTACATGTGGCTATGCTATAGATCTAGCTATACAGACTGAGTACAGTAGAGTTTAAAATTATTATCATGCAAGGTCTTTCATTTTCTATTTTATATATATAACAGAGCTATACTATTTTGTATATAAACCACTGCTCTATTCCAATCAGTCTTTGCTGCCGACTGCCGTTGTATAAGATCTATCTGTCTGCGACGTAATGTTTGCTATTTGCTCATGAGAATGGGGTATACAATTATTCGTTTAATCAATTATATAACGTTATATTGTGATTTTAATGAGGACATTTGCTGATATTCTCAGAGCATATTGATGTTCTATTCTTTGCTTTTTTATAATACATGTACTGTATAGGCCCTATTTAACTTTTATAGACATATAGACATAAATATAATTGTGTATCATGAATTACACAAGATTACGCATGACCCAGAGTGTATCTATACATGTAGTACTGTATATATAAGAATACAAAGTTTGAGGACGAATTCAAGCTAGATTAGTATGCCAAAGGAAACAACAATTTTACATGATTTGCTCTAACGTATCAGCATTCACTTCACCTATAATAACGACACTCGACAAACTTACAGAAATGTCGGTGGATCTACAGATGTGCCCACTTTTGGCTGTTTAATTGAAGAAGAGAAGAACGAGCTCTCCACATGCCACTAAAAGCTCAATAACTCGTGATTACCTACATGTAAATAGTGTACAAAATTTTAAAGGCCAATTATGCCCCAGAAATGCATTATTATTTTATTTCTCAAAGGCTTTTAATACATGATCTACTGTTTTAGTTTCTATAAAGGTTACTGATTGGCAATTTACCTGAACCATATGTTGCCTATGTGAAAGTTTTGGCAGATAGTGCAGTTACGGTGATTTAAGTAGTTTATATGGAAGTCAAAATACTACTTTGTTTACATTTTGGTAGGTTAATGACAAATATAATTTCTCATTTAGCGCTATGTCTTTCAATTTATAAGAATCTAACATGCTCTTAAACCATTATTTAATCGTTATAAAATTAATATTTGCCTTTTATGAAGAAGTTGAAATTTATTCATTTCTGAGGCATAGTGTGCCTTTAAATATAACATATAGCATATCTACTTTGTCTGAAATCAAAACATGTTCATTTTATATTTACAAAGAGACTGTGTAGCAATTATTATCAATATTTTCTATTATAAAATTTGAGCAAAGTATATCTTTAAATATAACCTACTGCAGTGTCTTACAACCTAAGAGAACATGTATATAATATATAATTAAATTTTCAGCTCATTTTATGCTATAGTATTTTATTACATAAGCTGTTATAGCCCCCCTACAATAGGTACTGCACATGTCACTATATTTTGTTTTAGTTGTCATCTTATTGCATGTTTTTCTTAAATCTTATTGTTTTTTATTCATGTACTAAATGTATTTTACTTTTTAGATTTGTTATATGTTATTTAACATGTTTAATGGTATTTAATTATTTTTGTTATTGTCGGTAAATTAGCGTATCATATCAATTAGTCAGTATTTCCACGGATTTATATTACATTCCGTGGTATTTCTTATAATTTGTAAATCGACTCAAAAATTATCTTGTAGAGAATTGATTACTTCAAATATGTATAGAATATGCTTTAAGCTAGTGTAAGTAAGTTTTCTGCCATAAATTACATATAGTAATAGTATCGATAAAACCTACCATACGATAATAATTAATAATAATATCCTGATTTTCTAACTTTGAATAGCCATTACGTTTCGACACAAGTTAAACATTTACACAAATAAAATGTTCAATTGTCAACCTGATATCTTGAGGCGATTTTTAATAATTAATATGACTTGAAATCGTTATTGACTGTCAAAGTTTATAAAGTTCAACTTCCGGGAATTGTTTCCCTCATATTGATTTTTTTGTCAGTAAATACCTTGAAGACGGAACAAATTTAGGAATGAAGAAGAAAAAAAACAATAACAACAAAAAACTCTGATTAAAATCTATTTCCATCATAGAAAACCTGTAACAAGTAGCAATAATTCAAATTTTGAACCTAGTGTAAGATATGAAAAAAAGTTCTCTATAATTTTTATTGCAAAAGTTGTTTAACAAACTTTATGACCTACTAGCTACAAACGGCTGTCAGCTAGTATAACATCGAACGCTAGTAATGATAACATAACATATACGAGTCGTAACCTGAATTTTATTAGGCATTAAACATATAATAATATTGTACAATGTTTATAGCCAACATGAAAAAGGTTAATAATGGTACACGCAGTGAGAGTTTTAACTCTAGGCACTCAATTTTCACAAAATAATACTGAAATATGTTTACTCATACAGTACTATATCACCCAAATGGCACAAAGGGCATGATGTTACCAGCTTTGTATAGAGCCGGCAAACAAGACAATGCTACATGTCAAGTATTTACACTTTAAGCGTGTAGTTTCACCAATAGGTTAACATGTTTTCCAAAAGAATAAAAAATATCTAATTCAGACATAAAGTAAATTTGGTGACGTGGATTGTAAAAAGAACTCAGCTTCTGGTACGTACATTACTTACAGTTATCGCTGTACAGAACCATCTCGCAAATGTGTGTGTATTTGAGTTTACTCGCCAACGATTGCTCATATGGGCGAGTCCTCCAGAAGAGTATTAGTCATTTTATATTTTTGGAGTCAGATACAGATAGATGCCCCAATTCCAGAAGCTTCCCCTGGTTCTTTAACGTGCCAAGTGTTTTTAGCACTCATACACGATTTAAAGTCTCATCCGAAAGACTGATTAGTAATTTTAGTTGGCCAGCCCGGGAATCGAACCTAAAATGTCGAGATTACAAGTCTCGCGCTCTCTAACCGATTGAGCATTGTCTTGTTTGCCTTTAATATTCGTTGTGGGTAATGCACAATTTTAGCAGTCTGACAAAAACGCAATAGTGCCCGCTCAGACAGTCACTAAGACCTTCATCGATATTGTCATGTTATGTTTGGTAATCCGTTTAATTGTTTTGTATGTCGACATGTACACTGTCCATTGCCTTGTAATATGCAAAAGCAATAGTTTCTAATTTAAGCAATATTAAGTTGTAATATGCGTATGAATATGGAATAAGAAGAGAGGTAACTCTGTAAGATATATTGGAAATTCTTGCATAGTTGCCTCCCTTCCTTTTCTATTCTGATAAGAATGGCCGTACATAAATAACTTTTGTTTTGTAAAATTATTTAATTGAATTGTTTTATGTTGTTATGTATGGATGAAACTCAAATAAAGAATATATTTAATATGCTATCACCGTGTCATCAAGGACTTTATAAGCCATCTTTTATTGAAACAAATGTATGTCTGACTGTCTGTTTGTCTGTCTGTCTGTCTGCGAGTCTGTGTGCATTTAGAGCATAAGATAAAAAAGCATATTTAAATAGGGTGTATTAAATAAATTTAGTTAAAACAAGGCATGCGATGAGCCATAAATTATTTATCAAGTAATTATAATATTATGTCGGTTTGATTCACCACTTACACGGGGAGACGTTTTATCAAACACGTTTTTTTTCTCGTTTATTAAGACCACCTCAGTTTGCATATATACAAATACTTTGTAGGTTCCATTTATATAAGGTTTTGCTCTTGTATTTGTATATATGAAAACTGAGCTGATCTCAATAACCGATAAAAAGAAAGAAAGAAAAAACGAAACGAAAAAAACAATCAGACTTTAAATACACATTTACGGAAGCGTGGTGCCATTTCGTATTGTTCTATAAAAAAAACTAGAAATATGTCCATAGGACACGGATGCCCCCACACGCAACAGTTCTGTCAATTTTATGACTCTAGATCAAATAGTTTTTGGACTACATGTGCAACAAGTTGAAAACTAAACTTCAACAAAGGGCCATAATTCTGTTAAATTTGGTCGCAGCAAAAATTCCTTTCTTTACTGCTATCTACACGTTAAGGTTGTTCATCCCTGGAAGTTTAAGCAAAATCTGCCATCCGGTTTAAGAGGAGTTGCGTTCACAAAATTTCTACATAGTATATAGTGAAAAGTCAACAAAGGGCCATAATTCTATTAAATTTGGTCGCAGCAAAAATTCCTTTCTTTACTGCCATCTACACATTAAGGTTGTTCATCCCTGGAAGTTTAAGCAAAATCTGTCATCCGGTTTAAGAGGAGTTGCGTTCACAAAATTTCTACATAGTATATAGTGAAACAATCAACAAAGGGCCATAATTCTGTTAAATTTGGTCGCAGCAAAAATTCCTTCCTTAACTGCCATCTACACATTAAGGTTGTTCATTCCTGGAAGTTTAAGCAAAATCTGCCATCCGGTTTAAGAGGAGCTGCGTTCACAAAATTTCTACATAGTATATAGTGAAAAAAATCAACAAAAATCCATAATTCTGTTAAATTTGGTCACAGCAAAAATTCCTTCCTTTACTGCCATCTACACATTAAGGCTGTTCATCCCTGGAAGTTTAAGCAAAATCTGCCATCCGGTTTAAGAGGAGCTGCGTTCACAAAATTTCTACATAGTATATACTGAAAAAAATCAACAAAGGGCCATAATTCTGTTAAATTTGGTCGCAGCAAAAATTCTCCCCTATACTGCCATCTACACATTAAGGTTGTTCATCCCTGGAAGTTTAAGCAAAATCTCCCATCCGGTTTAAGAGGAGTTGCATTCACAAAATTTCTACATAGCATATAGTGAAAAAAAATCAACAAAGGTCCATTATTCTGTTAAATTTGGTCGCAGCAAAAATTCTTCCCTTTACTGCCATCTACACATTAAGGTTGTTCATCCCTGGAAGTTTAAGCAAAATCTTCCATCCGGTTTAAGAGGAGTTGCGATCACAAGATTTCGGGACGTACGGACAGACGGACGGACGGACAGACAGACGTACGGACGGACGGACACTCGGACGGACAAGTGCAACGCTATATTCTCCCACTCTGTGGGGGCATAAAGATCCTAGGACTTTATAAATCACAGATAGGACTTTAAAATTTCTACGTAGGAGCATTATAAGGAGTTTAAAACTCCTACGCATCACTTATTTACTCTTACGCTCGACTTTGAAAATTCCTACGTAGAAGATACAAAAGCATACAATTAGGAGTTAAAAATTCTACGTAGAACTTTTTATCTCCTACGTAGACGTTTTATAAAAAATAAGGAGCATTACTCGGTGCAATGACTCAAATGTTTCTATGTCCGAGTTGTACATTCCTAATTAGGCTTTGAAATCACCTACGTAGGACTTATTAAGTCCTTCATAGGAGTAATATGAGTTTAATACTCATAATTAGTTTTTTGTATCCCCTACGTAGGGGTTTAGGCTTTTTTTTTTATCTCCTACGAAGGAGTTAAAAAGCCTACGTAAGAGTAAAAAAGGTCCAGCTTAAAAGTATTATGTCCTAATTAAACTTTTGTATCTCCCACGTAGGAGCTATGAACCCCTTATTAGGTTTTATATTTTTATAAAACATGATGAATTGGCACCAGGAAGCTTCCGTACACATTGGAATGTATGTATGTGTGTGTCGGTGCAAAATTAGTTAAATATCGTCTTACCGGACGGAAAGATCGTGTGAGGGCACTAGTCTTATCTTACAGATCATAGTGTCGGTTTCCGACTACAGGAGTGCGTGTAGTTGTGCTGGTGTAGTGTGCAGAATAAGCACGGTAAGTTCTTATTAATAATATTTTAGTTATTAACACTTAGTAAGTTCCTCATCACTTAATGCTCCGCGCCCACTGGCGTGGAGCTATTTGTGTTTGTTGTTTTTCTGTCCATTGACCCGATTTTAATCAATAAATCTCTTCGATTTACAGTTTAAAATAAATTTCCTTCCGATTTCTATTATGTAAAGTAATATATTGGTTTCCGCTTCGGTGTTTCTTAATGAATGACAACGAACAAATTTTATGGAAAGCAGTATAAAAGACAAAACAAAAACTTTTTTTCTTGCATTTGTATCTTCTTTATGAAATTACTAATTATTTTGCAGTAGACAGTGGGTTATGTATCTTTTTAACATCGAAAGCTATAAATAATCATAAGTCCGGAAATCTATTTAAAAAGTAGTTTTAGTTTAGCGAGTCTGAAACCAATTGAATGTGTCGCGCTATGGTAATAAATAACGATCTGGAGAATTTTGCAGAAGATGAAATGCAAACATATTGCATATTCAACAATAAATTGCGCTCTTTCTAAATTTATCAAAAAATAATAAGTAGGCCATTTTTACGAATTATTATATCATAGTCTTTTCATTTTCGCATGAACATGATGTATACTGAATTTCTTCATACTGTCTAAACTTCAGGTAACAGTCTTCCATTATATTGATATATAATGTTTCACCATATCAACATGCCATGCAAATTTATTCATAATTTTTACTGAACCATTATTTTTGTTAACGCGTGAAATTGGTCTTTTTAAAATTCATCCCAAATTTTTCATTTAATATGTGTTCGCCTTTCAGTTTTTATCTGTGACTTAACTACTTGAGTTCCGGGTATTAATAGAAACCATTTTTTTAATTTGACATGAAAAAAAATGAATGTAACATTATTATTTTAGTCCCTTTTGTTACTACTTTTACATACTGTTTGTACATAAGTTACGATTGTAAAAATAATAAAAAAAACAGACTTTGTTTATTTTGACTACTGTTCTGTATTTTAAAAAAAAAATACATTAAATATTCTAATCTCTAGCAAATCTACCAAAGTTATGATGAACAATGTCTTTCGTCCTCTTATTTATCTATGATACAAAATTCTGGTAAAATCCAATTAACCATTGAAAAAAAATCTGGTCATTAGATATCTACAAGTTCATCGTCACTTGCTGCATTTCTTAATGCTTGGACGACCTTTTATGCTTTGCATCAATACTTTTCTTGTTAAATCATGGTCTACCATTTGCCGCGAAACATGTAACGGACATGCGATGAAAGGTTTTGTTTTGGCTTATTTACATATGTATTATATTTGTAGAAAATGAGTACTATTGTAGCTGAAGAAGAAAAAAGTATAAATGTACATTGTACATGCTTTGATATTTGTTGTCATCTAATATTATACTGACTACAGAAGTGACACAAACAGAACAATGTTGCACTACTGTCATGTCACATTACAAGTCTTGTTTGTATTGGAATGACTTTCCTTACCAGATAGGCATATTTTTTTTAATTTTTATATCTGCCCCCACTCTCATTGACACTTCATAGATAAGTATAATTATGCAAATGTAAATGATTTACAAAATATCCAGAATAATGTACAATAGTACTTAATCTTAATAGGAAATGACATGTATGTAGGAACGATTTGGTAAGGTATCTGTAATGAGCGCATTTTTTTTTTGCGCGCGGAGCTTCTTAAAATGCAGCGTTGCAGCAACATTTGTAATTGTATACCCTGTCCTAAGATGATATATCTTTAAAATGGCAGTAAATGTAGTTGAACTTATAAGTTGAATTTATAATATACACATGTACTCAATATGATCGTTCTATTTTTCAAATTGTTTGATACTGTATGTGTATTTAGTCTATCAAATTGACACTAGGTTATCACGAAATAGTAACCTAAGTGACATTAGCCGCATTTCTGCACTATCAAGTTGAGCTGATTTAGGTTTATATTCCAAAAGATTGACTATTATAATGTTCATTGACTTACGATTGATAATGGCAACGTTTAGGATAAAAATAAATAAAACTACCCAAAATATAAAAAAACTGCCCTCTTTTTACCAAATTGACGTTACTGATACTTTCCTAAGGCTATATAGAGAAATTTTCTTAGGTTATGTGACAATTATAGCAATGTTGAAAAGCTATTTTGTCGTACTCGGCGTTCAAACTCAGGACTTAGTATAAAATTGACTAAAGCTATTTTTGCCTTACCTTTACACTCGCAATTCACATTTATGTCACACAGCTTTTCAAACTCAGTACTTGGTGTTTGATATTATTTGCTGTCCGATAGGACATTACAGTATTTCAAATGAATCGTAAAAAACACTTTAGTTACCTTGATTAAGTTAATTAATCAGTATAGTAAATCGACTTTTTTAAGATTAGAGCTATATATCTGCAATTAATATTAGAACTGGTCTAAACCTGCTAAATTTCCCCCGCCATGAACCTAAGTACAATAAAGACTGGTTTGATTTTGAGAAAAATGTTATCCCTAAAGGCATTTTTAGCACAAGCCAGTTGTTGTGCCTGCTTGCCTATTTCGAGTACGCTGAATTAATTTTCAGCTCTACCACGGCTGTATTGTTAGTCCTTGACCTTTAAAAATCAAATTCAAAATGGCCGTCATCTTTTTTATTTCTTTACTCTAATTCACCCATGGGCGAGGTAAAACATATTTTTATTTAAATAAATATTATAAGACTGTGCTTATTTTAGTCGAATGAAGTGTGGACGAGAAGAATAGCTACAAACAAATATAATGCGGCAGCCATCTTTGGATTTCAAAGTGACTGACGATTGTCTTTGTTTATATATACCGTATTACATTTAACGTTAACAAGCACATGAAAGCTTTTACTAGGGTTGTTTCCTGTTAATTCAAAATGCAGCGATACTTATTAAAACTATCAAGCACAGACTAAGAAAAACATCCATTAAAACTACAATCTTTACGGTGCAAATAGGTCACATACTAAACCGAAGTAATTAAGTGAGAATCATATTAGCGTTTGTCATTTAGATGTTTAGATGCTATTTCAATACTCCCAAGCATACAATAAATGTTCTTTAAACTATTGTGATGCTTTTTAAATTAGTTTTTATCGCCCTAAAGGAAGGCATGCCCAAATGTTTGTCCGTCTTTTTACCAGTCTAAGCGTTTCATGTGCCAGGAAGGGGTACTGGTGATCATAAGTTGGTTTGGGATTAATTCCGTATACGCCCAACCTTTAGAATGAATCATTGATTATTGAAGGCAAAAACGATGATTTTGGAGTTTGAAAAAAAATGAAGATCACTGACATCGGCACAGGTCATTGTGGAAGAACTTGTCCGTCTGTCTGTTTTAAGCCCTTCCATAAGGGTTATTCTTGGATTGATTTTGAATTAAATTGCATGAATGTGTTAGGTTTGTAGCTGAGACAACACTTCAAGTTAGACTTGAAAGTGCTTAAAACATGTTATCCAGTTTAGGATTTTGTCACACATATTTGGATTATAGAATAATCTAGCGTAAATACACGACTTGATAAAGGATACGAAAAGGATGTACAATATATCATTACATATCGTTCACACATGGGTACCATGAAAATACATTGGTATCAAAGAGAAATGACATTAATTGCTCAAGAACATGTATACTAGATGTAGTGTCTAAGAGCCAGTTCAACATCCCGAATATCTGATCAGGGTAATGTCTATCTAGAAACAATTAAGTTCATTAGTGGGGATCCGAATAACAATTTGCCATTCACGATTTAACTAAATAAAACAAGTATTAGCATTCCCAAAAATTATAGGAATCGCAATCCAGGCGGGCATTTGAAATTCTTTTTTCATGAAATAAAACGCCTTCCCTAACAGGACGACCCTTTAGGTCAGACACTCCCAATTATTTTCCTTAGACTTACATTATCAGAAATGACACCAAAACAGACAGTAAAGTTGAGTTTTCATCATAGTGATGTGATTTTTCTGGAAGAATGACATGCCTGACATATAAAACTCATCTCGTTAAATAGGGTTAGCCAACCAAATTTTTCGTAAAATGACTTCAAAGAGGATTACCCCCCCCCCCCCCCCCTTTTCACTGTAATTCACTGCTGATACTATATCAGAGTAAAAATTATCCTTCAGACTTAAATATGACAACATACTTCATTTTTTTCACAAAACATGGTACTGTTAGTTTCAAAAATAGTTTTTATACTTATACACAATAACTTCTCATCCAAATCACCTAATGCCCAATTGAATCTTACGGTTTTCCCTGCCCTTTTCTTGGCCAATCGCTGGCATTGTAACAATACGATACCCTGACCGTTATGAGGATTTTGTCGTCCATTTTGATATCATGTGGTGTTAAATTCTCTGTTTTGATTGGTCTAGGCCAGGCGGTGTACGTGTAGAAATGGTCAAATCTTGTTAATCGTATATGTTGCCGTCCTGGAACGACACAAACTTAAATGTGTAAAATGAAAAAGTAGCGTAAGAGCAGGGTCAGCATTGTTATGGTTAAAATTAAACTTCTATATCATAAATCATGATATAAATGTGAAAAGATGGCTGTGTCCGGTTTATAATTTTTTCATTAATTGATGCCTTTAAAACAATTTTGTATAAATATATATGGCACATTGAGACAATGAGTCACATGTGAAACCCAGCGCTGGTGATGTAGATCAAAGATCAAAGTCATACTTAGAGTTCGAACAAAATATTTCCTAAAAGTAGTCCGGTCAACGATTCTGTCATTCATTGGTGAATTTAAAAATAATTCGGCATAATGTAAGACGACAAGTAGCGAAAAAGAGTTCCTAGGCCACACTTGAATGTCAAAAGTCATGATGTGAGAATGCATTGGCGGCCATGTTTAGTCCATGTATGTGTTGTTACTCAAGACCTAAGAATAAATACAATAAAACAATGCGCCGTGAGTGAGAGAAAATAATTGTAGCTTAAAGTTATTAATGATGTTGATGGTCTTGTCCGGTCATTAATTTTGTCATTCATTGTGCGGGTATTGGCATAACTAGGCATACATTTGTGGTCCATTAGGACAATTTGTAATGCTGAAATACAAGGTTGAGAGCTAGATATGTCAAATTAGAACATTGATGGTGTATCTATTTATTTGTCATTCACTCAGTGATGCTTTTTAAAATAATAAGACATACTAAAAATATAATTAAATGCTCTTAATCTTACTAAATTTCTGTAAGACTATTACAGTTACCATGTAAGTCAAACGCCATGGTACCTAAAATGATTTAGTTGCCATAAGGGTTTCACACATACAATTTTATCAAAACAAAAATTTAAACATCATATGTTAAGTTTGATTGTGCAGGTTTTATGTTACACAATTGGGATCTCGTATACCTGACTGTCCATAAATAATGACTTATAATATTTTGTTTTTCTTTACTTCGATTTTATTTTACTTCGATTCAATTTGCCTTTTTTAACAAAACGTTATATTGAAACCATCATTAGTTTAAGTACAGGTTTAAGATAATTCTTCTATTGATCCTTTTTAGTCATCAGATAAATCTTTAATTGAAAATATCAGCACATTTCGTTAAAATCACTAAACTAGAAATGTTTCCATAGGATACGGGTGCCCCATACACTTCACTTAATTTTTATTGACGTACAGCTGCACATTTAGACAGAGGAACAGACAATGGAAATTCTAAATAACTCGCACTACCCCTAAATAGCTGGGAAATAAAAACAACATCCAATTTTTTCAATGTTGACATCCTGATTTTTACCAACTGCAAATGCACAAATACATAAGCTGGCCGACAGTCCTGTAAATATTCATATTTAGGTCAACTACGTTTTGAATTACATAAGACACAAGTTAAAAATTGTGAGGGTTTTTTTGTTGTTTTTTTTGTTTTTTTTTCCAAGCCAATGGAAATAACTCTACAAATACTGAATAAATCCATAAGAAAACCCCCAGGTGCACAACCTCACATGCTGACAAACATTTCTGTAAATATTATGATGATATGTCAAAAACCTGTTGGGCTACGCGCAACACAAGTTGAAAATAGCAAATTATTATTAAATCAAGGGCAATAACTCTAATAACAAAACTAGATTAACCCCCATGTGCACAACTTAACATGCTGATCAACATTCTTGTAAAGTTTGTTGACCCTAGCTCAAGCAGTTTTAGAGGTACAGGTGACACGGACGTGATAACGTACGAACGGACACACGTACGGACAAAGGCGCATCTAAATGTCCCATCCAACCAGAGATTGGCCACACACATGTTCGTGTAACGTTTGTGGCAAGGTTGGACAAGGGATTATGATTGTAAATATAAATTGTTTAAAACCCGAAGTTTTAATTATCCTGCTATATGAATATATGTTGATTATCTTTGAAGGTCAAGATGATGTATATTGTACTAGTGATTTTTGCTGTGACCTTACTTAAGCATGCGGATGGTAAGTCATTTCTGATATAACCCTCATTTAAACCTGTTTATTGTCGAGGTCGTAAAGGTTGTGAAGGTCACGTGGTGAATTTCTAACCAGACACTGGCCACTGGTTTTTCTTCTGCAAGCAAACCTCATAATTTCCTGCAGTATCAGTAGCCGTATACGTGATTTTGACAGACTGTAGTCGTTTAAAGTAGTCGTTTAAAGTGATTTTGACTGACTGTAGCCACAGTGACCGAGTATGTGGTTATACAACAAGCATTAACTTTTGTGAGTCCAAAAAGATGTGATAGTGCGGGTAAAAATGCCAATATGCAGTTAAAACGTTAACTATTCCAACAAGCTAGAGCGCACATCTAGTTGGCTATTCATTCTTTTATATAGATACATTATATAAATACTTATTATCTTTGAATATTGTCAGCTAAATTGTTGGCTGGTCACCCATTGTTTTAACGTTACAAATATAGGCAATAATAAAATTTTGTTACTTTATGATATGACATTACTTTTCTTGGCTTATAATCATACAGCATCAGTGAGGTGTTTTGAATGTGCGGACATGCCTCATCCTCAGGATTGCCAAGTAATTACCACGTGTTCATCTCACGAGATTTGCTTCGTTGAACAGTTTGTCACGAGCGGCGGGCAAATATTGTACAGTTCCGGTTGCCTCTCAAAGGAGGTAATGTGTTAATGGTCATGACAGAAGCTTTGTTTATACAAATACATGATGATTATTGCCAACCCTTTGTAGTACATTTCGACACTAAGCTAATATTAGTGTATAACATCATTTGCCAACCAATGAAATCGCTCCAATTAAAAAAAAATACCATTCTTAATCGTATAGACAGGCAAATGTTGTCATTATTCATTAAGTCGAACACTGAAAAATTAAGAGTTTGAAACGAAGTGGCATGTGTTAAGTGTAAGTAGTACCCCACCTCCCCTCATTAGGGCGATGTAACATTGGAAAAAATGTAAACGATTTTTATGTCAAAGTTTCTTCTACGGTAACAAGTGGGGTCAAATGAGGTTTATTACTAAGTAAGTTTATGTATGGGTAAGAGTTTGTATTATAACGACCGTAACTCTAACCCATATAACTGCAAATTGGCCTTACAACTTGATATCAGATAAAAATATAGAAAGTGTCACCTCTTTAATTAAGCATGACATTGTTTTTCCCCAGCAGTCACGTACAAACAAGGATAGGGTCCAATTACTAAATCTGGCATGTAAAACAATGAGTTTTCAACAATACCTAGGATTGTTAATGCAATTCATTCCTGTCATATGAAACAAAATAATCTTTTGCTTACTTTTTCTGGAAAATATAAACAGTCAGCAATTAATAATTGACATTTTTCTTAGAGTTAAAAGGATATCAAAAAGTTACTGTGTACTCATATTTGTCTCTGCGAGCTGAGCCCAATGTGTATTATCTATGTAATAATTTTGAATGCTACAGTGTTATCAGTCTTTTTAGAAACACCTGACCTGGCTAATTAAACTATGCCAATAACAATTTTCACTATCAGCACTGGTTTCTTCATGAAAAAAGTGGCTACACTAATTACTGCCGGGTCAGATGTTTCTAAAAAGGCTGATAACACTGTCTATAGCTTGGACTCGCAAGTATTGTTTCGCATAAAAGACGTATATACGTGAAAAGATATTTCGTATAGGTGGTTGGTTAATGATGTGTGTTTGTTTTGGGTGAAAATAATAATCAGGGTTTGTTGTTTACATGTATATATGGATTTGAGATAGAAAAATATAAAAAAAACACCTAAAAATAGTGTTAACTAAACAATTACATGCTAGTTTTCCAACTGAGAATATTTCAATTTTATGTCAGGCGGTGCTGCCCAGCCCCAATATCTTGAAAACTGGTTCTAGTTTTTATTACTAAATCTTTCCTTAGATTAAATTACATCAAGGCAGTCATTCTTTTGACATACACCAACATATGAATGTACTAAAAAAATTTGATGGCAACGATGATGACAAGAACAATCATAATACCTCTTTAAATGTTATATAATAAGTGTGCGGTTCAACATAGAGTTACTAAATACCTATTCCGGTATATAACGGACAAAGCGCTTGAATGATAAAATGCTAAAATATTTCCTTTTACCCAACGGATTGAAAATAAAAAGGTCTAATTCTTCTTTTCACTCACTTATGTAAGATAATGAATGACAAATTTAATTATTGGCAAAAAAAAAACAACAAAAAAAAAACAACAAAGAAACAAACAAACAGCAACTTAAACAACGATATTTGTCAATTTTGAGATCATGATTTCTGCAAGCGTCTAGAATTACTGCTCAAGTCTTGTAATGAGTTATATCCTCCAACTAAATCCTTGAACTAAAGCATTAAATTAGTTTGACAAGTATTTAATGTGTGTGTAATACGTTAATGTTGTTTCTTTTATCTTTTATATTTTATAGAGATGTCAAACCAGTGGCAAACGTTCAGCAATATCGAACATTGCAAATATCCGTAAGTCCTACCCGATCAGTAACGCACTGTCAGCACCGCCACGTAACAGTCTGTCTAGACGACAAGACACGGGATCAAAGACGGACATTCCAACATGTGTTGAGTGTTGTAACGGAGAGTTTTGTAACGTGGAGGGATGTGGAACAACAGGTTATAGCGGTCACATTGCGTTACAAAAGTGAAATCTCAATTCGATATAATAGATATACGTTTACATTTATATCTGTAGTTAACCGCCTCCGTGGTCGAGGGGTTAGAGTCGATGACTTCTTATCCAGTTACCTCTCTGGCGTGGTTTCGATCCCCGGGAGATGCTTTGGTAGTTTAGCATGGAGGAAGGTAGTCTCGTACTGGTGTAACTCTCCAGGAACGATGGTTAGGAAACTACCCGCCTATATGACTGAAATACTGTTGGGAAAAGGCGTAAAAAGAAACAAAGAAACAAAAACTATGAAGTTGAAACATAATAATGTTTTTTGTTGATTGTTTTTCTGGGATTTGTTTTCTTCTTTTTCATAAATCTTGGCCAAGTGAGGATAGAAACCAGAAGTGAGCGTTATTTTCTTTAAACAATAAGTTTTATCAGCCTTGACTGTGACAAAACGGTGGTTTCAAAAATACATGATTTAATTTAGATAAGTACACTAATTTTGAACTCTCTTTCAAAGATGTCAATGGCTGAAATTTTAAGCAATGAAACATAAGTTTCAACATGTTTCGAAGATATGACAAAGGTTTCATGAAGCAAGTTTATTTAAAATTTTCTGTTGTGAATTTTTACCACACACAATTCTTGATTCATAAATCTTCAGAAAAATATCGTATTACATCATTAATGTTATATTTATAGCGGTTCCAAGAGCGAAACGAGGTCCAAGATGCTTTTCTTGTGATGCGCAGGCCGACCAAGAATCGTGCAGAGATACTATGCTATGTGATTCTGAGCAGGTGACGTTATCGGTCTCGTTCTTATGATGAACACCACTAATTCACTCAGATATTTACAGTAAAATGAAACATTTTTATTCATGATGTCAGCAACAATGTTTGGACATGTAATAATATTCAAATGAGCTGACAAAATAAATATATGTACTATAATAAATTATCGTATAAAGGTCAAACTTGTAGATATTTCATACACATAAACAGTATTTGAAATTGCACAAAAAAAATGCAAATTTATGTCCGCAATAGTTGCACAAGAAATTGCACACCTGGTAAGAAGCGAAGCAAGACTACGAGCACCTCAACTTTTATTATATCCGAAGTTCTACGAAAAGGGCCGAACAGTTGCGATTTACGTTCTAGTAGGCGCGTATATTGCTTTTCTGGTTTAAATGTTTAGGTTTGCCAGTTTCTACTTTCAGGTCTAAATATTTATAATTTCAATTTTTAGGTTTGCGGGTCTAAATGTTTATTATTTCTTTTTTAGGTTTGCGGGTCTAAATGTCTATAATTTCTATTTTTAGGTTTGCAGGTCTAATTGTTTATAATTTCTATTTTTAGGTTTGTGCTATTTTCATTCCTCTGAACAGTTTAGCACAAAACGAATGGGCGTCTGACTGTATGTCGGAAAGGGTAAGTAAAACATACATATTAAGATATAGTAAGATATTAACAATGACGTTATCACCATGACTAATTTGTTACCTAAATATCCTGGCCAGTGAAGTAAAAGAAGCTGTTTATATAAAAGTTACATTGTCCAATGAAAATGCATGATCGTACTTTACTATACCTTATTACAACGTGCCTTCTAGTTGCCCTACTTGGGTGTGTCGGGGGCTACGTCCTGTGAATGTTGCCTTTGCCTTGTTGATCTTTATTCTTGTTTTTTATATGTGTTTCGTCCCCTCGGCTTTAAGTCGTTTGCAATCGTAAGTTTTCTCATATGACTCTTAGTCTGCTGCATTGAAAATGATTTAATAAAAGTATTGGAGAGGGTGAGTGCTGGCCCCCAAAAACAGCACAAGTGTGCTATTTTTCCAAAGACCCGCCTCAGAAAAAAGTTCAGAGGGTTTAATGCCTTTAAAAAACCTGTAGATATTGCGAATTCAAATTATATTTGCACAAACTAATTCCCTTTAAGGATAGTGATGTGTCGAGAAACAAAAAAACGTTCTTGATGCGAGCGACCAGCAATCTAATTTCGTACCGTCCGGCATTCGGGACAGTTTTAGGATTGACGAGTTCGTTAACCCTATTTCTACAAAGTATGAGTAGGCCAAGTATATCTAACTTATCAACAGTCAAAACAAACGGCAGTTCAAAAAAGAGAATGCGATGACTAACCCTGATCTGGTCACATTTACTGGACTGTCTGAGCCTATGACGACAACAATTACTCAACCAAAGTCCGTCCTCTGGGCATATGGACTATCGTCTATTGGGGTGTTGATGTCGTGAAGGAGGAATGCTCTTGACAATTGTACCCATTAAGTAGTCCTTTTCCTTATCACTTACAGACATCAAATTGTCCGCAATGTGCTCTAGATATGGCCACTTCTGACAAAATATGGCCACTTCTTGACTTTCGTGGCCGACCGAATATGATATCGATTGCTGACATTTTATCTTGGCGTGTACTAACTAGAACCCGGAAACACAAATGACTATCAAAGGCACGTGCAACTAAATTCTTAATTTAGTCTGTGTCGTTAATCTGGTACTAGTTTTGCTCACTGATTAACAGTGTGATCATAAGTGTATTACCACATCTTATTTCTGTATATCATCATCAGGGAATAAGTGTGATATTCAAACAAGTTTTAGTCGTTTTACATTTCCTTAAAACATGGCAAGGACACACGAAAAATAACAAACTGATTTTTTCATATAAGCGTTTGCGAGAAAGTGAAAGAAATTATCCAAATTGTAATTATTTAAACTGACTGTCAAATAAGGATGACATATGATAGACTTCTCTGGCTTCTCAAGCTTAAAAGGCCTGTCTAAATTACATGGTTCGGAGCGAGTAAGGTCGGTTGACCTCCTTTCAGAGCACGCAAAGATGTCACTGGATTACACGCCACATTGGCTTCATAAGCAGTAAACTTGCCAAACTCACAAAACATTGTAAAAATAAACCAAGCTTAACTTCCTACAGAACAACTGAACGATTTCAAAATGTTACAATTAGCCTTGTGAGTTTTACTAATAACTTTCTGTTTTCTGTCATTAGACAACTGAGACTGTTAATACTACGCATCGAAGTTTCGCATTGTCACAATTAATGTTCAACCCCTCCCCCCACCCCCACGCCATCTTTGGCCATTTTTCTTATTTGACACAAATAATTAGCCATACATACGGATCGCCATGTAACGCTCTTCATGGGGTCCTTTAGCCTGATCATAAAAATGCCGTTAGTAAAAAGAAGTTTTCAACCATCTCTTTAACTTGAACACCAAAATGTTTTTAAAAATAACGATTTTTTTTCTGATATGACATTTTTCGGCAGCTGTATGAAAGGTAATTTTTCAGAGAAAGGCAACTTTGCAGACATTGTATTTCAGAGGATCACAAAAGACACTAAAATCTGCATGTTGGGGTAATCTATTCAAACTAACTTGTTCTGTTAAAGATTTTGCAAGTTCTACAAACTCTCGTTCTACGGTGCTTGACCGTTTATATTCGCCATGAACTTGATCACACGAAGACGGAATATATGGTGCAGAAAGTTTTCCATCAAGGAGATTTACTCTAGTGCTTAATGGCATAGAGTTTTGCATTACAACTCTAGACCTAAAGGAATCTGTATTGCATGAGGATTTGAACGAGTTATTGAGGTATGACAGGTTTCAACAGTAGAGACCTCTAGTATCAGATATCACAATATTAATTAGTCAGATATTTAGTCTGAGTGTTTTATTATTATTAACATGAGAATGTGTGTCAACAGAATCTTTTTTAGTTTTGAATAATGATGCGTCTGTTCCTCGTCAAAATCCCACTGTTGTGTTTCGTACCATTTATCTTAAATCTCTTACCTTTTTTCAACCTTTTCTTAACCATTTCTCCATTTTTGATGGATGTAAATTTTCTAAAGGGGCCCGAGACTTAGCTTCCGCATCAATGCACTTATCATCTTTTTTTAAAGCAGCTGATTTAAATGATGGATGTGCATGCTTAGTACTGAGAGAAATATACGACCGACGCAATCTACTACTTTTGAAATAATGCACGGAGCGCATGTCATCACAAATTATAAGTTCCGAAATCCTCTCAGAAAATCTTTACCTGATTTTCCATCCATTTCTTTTCAAACGACTCATTTTAAGATTTTAGGAATTCCGTAATTCCGTTTAAACCTTTTAACACTTGTCAGGATTTGTCTTTTCACTTAATTCTTCTCGGTATTGCATGCCTCTCTCAGATAAAAGCAAGCCGTTCCCTTGAACTTGAATGTAAATGTACAGTGTCAGAGTTTCAAGGTACCACCTAGTCAAATGGCTGATATTTTGATTAAATGTCCCATACTTTACAGAGGTATTTTATTCATTTTAAGCCTCTTTGGAATGACCAGCATTGAGAATTAAAGTGACATTATGTCCATACAAGTGTAGTGAGTGAAAGTAAAAGGCATTTCACCTCAGCTTGGCAATTAAAAGATCATATCACGGTGATTTTTAAGGCCCCATTATTATTTTTTGCTTAAAATGTATATGATATCATACTATAGGATCATGCAAACTGAAAGTAAATTCTATCACATTTAGTTTTCATTCTGCTTTCATGTCTATAGTGTACCTCTTAAACATTTCAGCAATGTAACACGATAGTTAATTTAGAGATGCAGAAGTTAGGTATTGCTATTGGTAGACGTGATCTGATAACAACAAACCTGTGTCCAAGATGTTGTACTACAGATTTCTGTAACCACAGTTGTCGCCAAAACGTTACCGTCACACACGCTACAGCTGTACCAACAAAACCTTCAACTAAACCTACGACTAAACTAGTTGTGAAATACCCTATACATCATTCGACACAGAATGTGCACGTTACACCAAAACCAACAGTTGCTCATGCGCATCATACTACAAAATCAATAGCTGCACATGGGCATCACACTACAAAATCAACAGCTGCACATGCGCATCACATTACAAAATCAACAGCTGCACATGCGCATCACACTACAAAATCAACAGCTGCACATAGACATCACACAACGAAATCCCAAACCACCGCAGCAAAAGTCATCATCACGCAAACGACGCATCCTTTACCTACCACAGACCCCGCCGGTAGGTATTGATAGCTGCAAAATAGATACATTCATTACATAAAATTTAAAGTGACATTATGCCCATTCAAGTGTAAGTGATTAGTGTACTGGAAAATGTCATATTTTATTTGAATTTGGTCCAAATTGTTTTCAATTCATTAATTTGTTGTACACAAATAGTCAAAAACACGATTGACTTTAAATTTAAAAACCTTGATTTATCGATAACGTCTTATGATAAAAAGTGTAGCGCATTCTTTTTATATGTTAGACAGTTTTTATATTTTATCCTTACCATTAGTCTTTATCAATGATTAGTCAAACTCAATCATACCCGTGATAGTCAATCTTTTTAAATATAGAGCTAATTCAGCGTAACTTACCAACCAAAAAATGAGCGTTATGTCAATTAAATCAGTATACGTGCTGCAATGTAGTTCTTATTTATTCAAACAGTTTTCATATGCTTACAATATTACTTTCCGAAATGTTACTAAACATTGTAAACATTTTCTGTATGTCCAATTATAGGTATGTGATTAAATAACGTTTCGTATCTCTAGTTCAATGAGTTATTTGTCATAAATAGATATGATTAATTGAAACAAATACAGCAGAAATGATTGTCCATTAATATATAATGGAAGACGGTTTTCTTAAAAAAAAACAGTTTCAAACTTACCAAACGACCGTTGATCAGGGGGAAGAAGCCGCTCAGCTGCCTGCGAGAAATGAGATACATGTGTTAAATGCAGTTTTGTTTTTCAGTCGGATGTAAGGTCGATGGTTACATTTACGATGCACCAACAAAACTGTGCCTGAAATTTTTTGAAACTCCCAAACTGAACTGGACAGATGCCCAGCGTTACTGTAACTCCAGTAAAGGTCAACTAGCCATCATCACGGGGGACCAAAAAATTAAAGACGTGCTTGCTTTTTACAAGTCAGGCGGACGTAAGTTGTTGATGAAATTTATAAAATACTTAGCTTTTTTTTCTTATCAAACAGTGCGGTCGAGTGCATTAGTTAACGATTGTGCACATTGTTAAGACATAATCATAGGGTGCTCTGGTGAATAATAATGCACGGGTCGAATGTGTGTCGTTCCAGTTCTTGTAAAATAATACACGGGTTCGAATTCGTGTAGAATAATATACAGATCGAGTGCGTGTAAATCGAGTTCGTACAGAATAAATCACAAATCGGATGCGCAGATCTAGTTCGTGTAAAATAATGCGCAGATCGAGTTCATGCAGAATAATGCGCAGATCGAGTTCATGCAGAATAATTCGCAGATCGATTTCGAGCAGAATAATGCGCAGATCGAGTTCATGCAGATTAATGCGCAGATCGAGTTCGTGTAGAATATAATGCGCAGATCGAGTTTGTGAAGAAAAATGCACGGATTGAGATCAAGTAGAATAATGAAGGATACAATTCGTGTAGAATACTAGTAATGCACGGATAAAGTTTGTGTCGAATTATATGTGAATCTAGTTCGTTTAAACTTTTGCACGGGCCAAGTTCATGTTTAATATTGCACGGATTGTGTTTATATGAAATAATTCGCAGATTGAGTTCGTGTAGAATAATACGCAAATCGAGTTCCTGTAGAATAATGCTCGGATCGAGTTTCTGTAGAATAGTTACATGGAATGAGGTCGTGAATAATAATGCTCGGATCGAGATCGTGTAGAATAATGCAGGCATCGAGTTCGTTCGTGTAGGATGATGCAGGGATTGAGTTCGTGTAGAATAATAAACGGATCAAGTTCATGTAGAATAATGAAAGCATATGCATTAAAAGAGTTCCATTTCAAGATACTTAAAATTTGAAAACAAATTTAACCTCGGAAAAACATAACTATAATTTGACTTTGAAATTCATTTAAATTACGGAATTTTATCAGTCGATAGTATCGTGTATAAAACATGTTTCTAATTAGTACATGCAATTTTTCAATTTGAAACATTTCAGACAAAAGTCCTCTGTGGGTTGGTGCTACTGATTTTGGAAATGGTCACGTGTTCACATTCACCGACGGTTCAAAAATCACGGTTGACCCGTCAAAAGGTCAAGACCTGAAAACCTCCAATTGTCTGTACGTGTTTGGTGGAACTTACGAGGGATTCGGTCCCTGTCCCGACCTACATGGCTTCATATGTGAACGTAGTAGTACTATTAGAGCATGATTAAAACTTGATTAGATATCGTTCCTACCTGTTTATTGTTTTCTTGTAAACCTGTAGCAAGAGGGTATTGAATGAGTTAATATTCAATACTGAATACTGAATTTATTGAACGAGTTGAATAATATTATTTTATTGAACAAGTTTAATACATTTAGTTAAGAACCTACACGAATATTTTTATCACATATCCAAAAATAAGAACTGTTCACGTTAAAAGTGAACAACTTTTTCTATTGACAAGCCTAAAGTGTAACGCTAACATTAAGTTGTTTTACGCAAACGACCTCACGTTAAAATAATTATATGCACGGACATGCAATACAATATTTCCGGCGTCGCAAAAGCGACATGGGTATGTGATAAACACATTTATTTCAGCTCGACTCTTATGAAGGTTTGAAGCTTATTTTAAACTACCCTCAAATTCACATTCTGGACACTACCAGTACTGGGGTCATATTATGTAACAAGTACAACGCATTAATAGTCAATAGTAACATGCAGTACACCGTATTATTGGTCAGGCACTGTAGTGTCTTATAGGTCATAATGAACAATGTTCATAACTGGTAAACGTTTGTCCAACGCCTTCTTGATCAAGTACAATATCTGTTTGATCTACTTAATATGTACATTCTAAAAAAGAAATATCCTACGAGCTAACGTGCAATGACTAAAAAAGATTTGATTGGTCAGATACTAGCCATGGTCTAATGATACTGTACAGGTCTTATATGTGAAGTACTTAACATTGTCTTATTGGTCAGGTACTGTACAATGTCTTATAGGTCTACTGTACAATGCCTTATAGGTCAGGTACTGCACAATGTCTTATAGGTCAGGTACTATACAATGCCTTATAGATCTGGTACTGTGCAATGTCTTAATGGTCAGGTACTGTACAGTGTCTTATAGGTCAGGTACTGTACACTGTCTTATAAGCCAGGTACTGTGCGATGTCTTATAGGTCAGGTTCTGAACAATTTTTATAGGTCAGGTACTGTACAATATCTCATATGCCAGGTACTGTGCAATGTCTTATAGGTCAAGTACTGTACAGTGTCTTATAGGTCAGGTACTATACAATATCTTATAGGTCAGGTACTGTACATTGTCTTTTAGGTCGGATACTGTACAATGTCTAATAGATCAGGTACTGTACAATGTCTTATATGCCAGGTACTGTATAATGTCTTATAGGTCATGTACTGTACAATGTCTTAAAGGTCAGGTACTGTACAATATTTTATAGGTCAGGCACTGTACAATGTCTAATTAGTCAGTTACTGTACAATTTCTTATAAGTCAGGTACTGCACAATGTCTTACAGGTTAGGTACTGTACAGTGTCTTATAGGTCAGGTACTGTACAACATGTTTTAGGCAAACCCATACAGGTCAGCTACTGTATAACGTATGTTAGGTCAGGTTCTTTACAATATCTTTAAGGTCAGGTACTCGTATGTCAAAAGGTGACAAACTGTCCAATGTCCCAATGCGTCATGTTAAAGAAGTTTGACATATTCCAAAATGGATTGTTAGGAACAATGACAAATTCAAGATAATCTTTTGACATTCAACTATGCAATTTTGGTTAATTATCTTGGATGACCTGTATACTCAACACTTCGAAACTGTCATTAAAGTACGGTTTTCTAGTGATAAATTGATCTAGATTTATCTCAAGCAATGAATACAGTGATGAGACGTATCAGTTATGGTGAGTTGATTGTGTTGGAACAGGTTTACACACTTTTAAAGATCCGTAGAAATCCAATCAACTCCGTCATTTAAAACGTGATTGTTACAAAGAAGCTAACAATTCAAATATCTTAATTGTGAATAATTATAGCTCATGCAAATGTGTAAAGGGAAGTAACACAACTAATTGCATGAAATTTCACTTAAAGAGTTACCTTCCTTGATATTATTTTCAATTGAGGGTTTGGATTAATTTCGCCAATGTTTTATTAAAAAAGCGTAGGGAGTATTATCTTACAGATATATCTCTGTAAACGAACACAGTCATTTGGATACACCTACCATATGACATGTATATTATAATATTTGTTCCTTAAATAGTTATGATCCTACCCTATAACTATAGAGCTTATTGGTATTTTTGACCTGAGGCCTTGCAATGCCCTGAACATCGTTGTTTGTACATCCAAATTACAACGGTCAATTCTATGTTAGCATTTTGAAAATAATGCGAAAAAGTTTTGTTGAAAAATAATCTAGAACATGGTGCTCTACAGATCAGGAAAATTTAACTATAGTAGTAGAACTTCTTCGACTGGAACATGATGACCAACATCACATCACCAGAGGATAAGAAAACAGTGAAATCAATATATGGGCGTCCGTCCTTTTATTTCATTGTCTTAAGAGCAAAGTGTTTAGGTTAACTTGTAAAGATGTTTTGAAGAAATATATTCTGTTAACTTTCCAGATATTAAAGCATTACATATATCTTCGAAGATTTTTTATGGAACTAATAACATTAGATAATTTTCATCTTCCTAATGCATACTTTTCGCAGCCCCATGAACTTAACGTTGATGGACTAAGACAATTTTTAAATGTGGACAATGATGAATACTATTTCCAACATGGCCATGCTACAACAAGCAAACTTTGCTGTAAGCTTAACATATATATAACGATCAAGTGTATTGAATTAGCATTAACAGTAATGTAGACTTCTCAAAATTTTGTTTTCCGGATAGCTTAACATAACAAGATTACAAGACAACTATATTTTGTTTGGTTAATAATTGAAAAATAAAACACATTTTTCTGGTCATTACCAATTCTAATTTAATAGAAAATATGGTACCAGATGTTTTAAAGTTCAATAAACTAAAAACTACACGGTAAACGTATTTCATTATTTGAAAGACCAACCATGATACATATGAGAAAATTTAGGCACACTTTGAAAACATCCCTTCATTGTGAGAAATATTTGGGATATTTCAAATAAGTCTTTTTACATAGCGAAATGGTCAAATAAGTGTTAAAAGTGGATGGGGTAGGGTTACATTTTTATACAAATAAAATATTTCGTGAAACATACATACATTTTGCTTGTTTAATTTGTTACCTAAATGTCATTATTTGTTTCTTCACAATGAGCAATAGGAAAACATTTTTCCAAATGATGATCTTATAGATTATTTAGAGTTTCCTCATTTTTGAAAAAAGCCCTTCTAATGGCAAAGTTTTAGTTCAGAAAAATGTCCATAACTCATAAACCACACGGAACATTTTGTTTAAATTTTGCATACAGGTGACATTTGAGGCATATAACTGTCCTATATTGTCAATTTTGCAGTTCCTAATAGTGCCCATTAGGGGTGTACTACCTTAATACTTTGTATTGCATTATCCAGTTTACGCTCTGAGGTCATCGGAACAAAACGTTACTTTCAGTGTTTTAAATCTCCAATAACCAATGGTTGTATCAATCACGGTATAAATGACGGAGTTGATGGGATTTATACTAAGTATATGTTAGTGTTCATCCGTGCTGTTACAGACATGTACAGACTTAATCAAACCGAGTCTGCAATTCTCTTGTAATTTTGTTGTGATTAATCCTTCCGAGGGATCACTTTGCTTCCAGATTTTTATACTTCACAACAGCAGGTGTCAAGTGCTGTGTGGCAGCTGTAAAAAGTTGCCCCGTACTTCACTTCAGTGTTGTTATATTTTTCTGGTCCTTCGGGATCATTGATGCCAGCACTATTAAGTGTTGAGAATTGAGTACCGCTCAAGCCGGTGCTAGGGGGCGTGAGGGATGTTGCACGTATTCATTATCCCTCATGTACAGACTCAATCAAACCGAGTCTGAAATTCTCTTGTAATTTTGTTGTGATTAATGCTTCTGAGGGATCACTTTGTTTCCAGATTTTTTTTTCTATTTGCTCGAAATTGAAACATTTATTTTCGGAAAACATTTTTGATGAGTTGATTATTTTTACCTGATATGATTTTTACATTTTGATGAGTTGGACAATTAATACTTAGTAGCTAATATCTTATATGATTTATACATACACTAAATGTCCTGTGTTAACGAGGTCACGTAATATATTTTCTAAAAACATAATGTCTTCTTTCATTTTCTGTCTACTGAAAAAAAGTGAATAGACACACGTGACTTTCCTCTTAGTTACAAATTAATTAAGACTGTTTTCTACATTCTACATTTTGAATTGGTTTTTACTTTTACACATGCAGTAATTTTTATTTAAACCTGAACTGCATGTAAATCCTTTATCAATAAATGCACAAGTTAAATGTTGATGCTGCACATTAAAGACGCCGCCAATGATGTGAACAGTCAATCAGCATTGAAAATCGTTCTCTATTACAGTTGAATATCAGAAGCACAAATCAATTTTCTCTCCATGTTCTTGGTATGTGCTCGTTGTTTAATAATATAGTTGCATATTTTTGTAAAAAAGTAGAACCTAATGCATAAATTCACAAAATAATGTCTGAAATTCTTAAATGTTTGTCTGTTGCGACAAAGGCTGAAACGTCTGGTCGAATCAAAATAAATTGGATAACAAATAAAATTGAAATGATTGGTATACTTACAATAAATTCAAGACAATATTTGCCGAAAATATACCCATTTAAATGTTGGTACGAATTGCATAATGTTCGAATGATTTTGAGGACAAACTGCAATCGGAACACCTCGGGCGACTTCAAGAATTCCGAACTTGACGGAGATTGCCGAGTTGTTACGATTGGACAAACTATTCTGCAGTGCTCACCCCTTACAGGCCGTAGCGTAACCGGTTTGCTGAACTTTCTTAACGATTGAGTGAGAACCGCCTCTCTGATAGTGGGCCTGGTTTAGGCTTTGTAACTTGTAATTTAATTATTCGACAAGTGATATTGATCTAAGTTGTCCTCGTGCACTTCTACCCCGTCAATAAAGACTAAATGCTAGCATATGGAGCATAATATCAAATTTAATATGACAATTTAAGGCGGAGTCGAACTTCAACAGAGGCGAAACAAATGAAGTAAGTGACACTGCCTCAGTTGTCAACCCTCTCAAGGTTAAGTTTTAGAACAATCGATTATAGACTGGCTCATTGGCACGTTATTTATTATGTAGATAAAATTAGATAATGATAAAAAGAATATGATATTCAAACATGGCACTATCACTTCAGTTAAACGTTTATGCTCTGTGACATGTTGTACATCATAAAAGCTATTTTTATTAGAAAATTTAAAAACAGTGTGATTTTGTTAAAAAAAATACACAAAATCAAGTCTAAAATTTTCCCCATTGCCGTATGAACAAATGCATACTACACGCCGCTTGCAAGCGGCGTCTAATAATTAATGTAGGTTGACGTCATTTTTACTTAATTAATATTCAAAAGCGGCCCACGAAAACGCATGTGCAAATTTATGCAAATGACTATTTTTACAAATGCGATTCTATGAAGCACTATGAAAAAAAGACGACGAATATGAACAGAATTTGATATAGTATCGACTTTTGTTCTTCTATGAAACACTTATTATTTTGAAGAAATACAGCGTTTCCATTGGATGACAAATAAAGTTGGACACTAATACGGATAAGTGTCAAACTTTATTTGGCCTTATAATCACTCACTTTATTACACTAATCCGTTAGTGTCCAACTTTATTTGTCATCCAATGAAAACGCTGTATTTCTTAAAAATTATGTTCGTTAATTTTCATAGAAGAACAAAAGTCAATACTATATCGAATTCCGTTCATAGTCGACTTATATTTTTCTTAGTATTTCATAGAACGACATAGTGACGTAATAAAGTGTGTGATTATGAGGCCAAATAAAGTTTGACACTAAATATGTTAGTTTTCATCCGTAGCTGTTCTACAGAAATTAGAAACATTCTCCTATCGCTATCGCTCCCGTCGAAGTTTCTAATTTATGTAGAACAGCACGGATGAACACTAACATATACAAAGCGGTATTACTGGGACGTGCATATAATTATTTTGACGTGACGTCATTTGCGTTACACAAGAAAGTGTATTATTAAGATGCGCTAAATGTTAGCGTTACTCAATAGGCGCGTCAATGAAAAGGTCGTCAATTTTACTGTAAACAGTAACTGTTATTATTTATGATATGTGATAATAGGAATATTATGTTCGTGTAGCTTGAACTAAACTTATAACTAAATTTATTGAACACGTTGAAGAAGCTCGCTATATAGAGACTCGAATAATGTAATTTTATTCAATTTGTTCGATTATTTCAGTATTGAATATAAACTTATCCAATACCCTCTTGTTACGGTTTACACGAAAAAAAACATAAACAGGAAAGAACGATATCTAATCATGTTTTAATCATGCTCTTATAGTACTACTACGTTCACATATGAAGCCATGTAGATCGGGACAGGGACCGAATCCCTCGTAAGTTCCACCGAACACGTACAGACAATTGGAGGTTTTCAGATCTTGACCTTTTGACGGGTCAACCGTGATTTTTGAACCATCGGTGAATGTGAACACGTGACCATTTCCGAAATCAGTTGCACCAACCCATAGAGGATTTTTGTCTGAAATGTTTCAAACATAAATGTTTGTTAATAAATACATATGATAAAAGTTTAATGTATTATCCTACTATCGACTGATATGATTCCTTGATCAAATGTATTTTAAGTCAAATTACAATAATATTTTCTGGAGATATTATTTGTTCTCTAAATCTAAGTGCCCCTTTTATCTTGTTTCACAATGATTTATTCTACAGTTATTACAATAGACGCGCAAAATGAAACTATTTGAATGCACGTGCTGTCATTATTTAAACGAACTCGATCCGTAAATTATTATACACGAACTCGATCCGTCCATTGTTTTACACGAACTCGATCCATGCATTATTCTACATGAACTTGATCTGCACAAATTCAGACCGTGCATTATTCTATGTGAACTCGATGCGCGCATAATTTAAACAAACTCGATTCATGCATTAGGCCACACAAACTCAATCCGTGCATCACTTGTAACATAACATCGATCTGTGCATTATTCTACACGAATTCGATCCATGCATTATTATACACGAACACGATCCATGCATTATTATACACGAATTAGATACATGCATCATTGTACACAAACTCGATCCGTGCATTATTGTGCACGAACTCGATCCGTGAATTACTTGTAACATGACCTCGATCTGTGCATTATTCTACACGAACTCGATCCATGCATTATTATACACGAATTCGATACATGCATTATTGTACACAAACTCGATCTATGCATTATTATGCACGAACTCGATCCGTGCATTATTTTACATGAACTCGATCTGTGCATTATTCTACACAAACTCGATCCGTTCATTATTCTTCACGAACACGATCCGTGTATTATTGTACACGAACCCGATCCATGCATTATTATACACGAACTCGATCCATCCATTATTCTTCACAAACTCGATGTATGCATTATTATACACGAATATGATTCATACATAATTATACACAAACTCGATCCGTGCATTATTATACACGAGCACGATCCATGCATTATTATACACGAACACGATTTATGCATAATTATACACAAACTCGATCCGTGCATTATTATACACGAACTCGATCCGTGCATTATCATACACTAACTCGATCCTTGCATTATTATACACGAACTCGATCCATCCATTATTCTTCACAAACTCGATCTATGCATTATTATGCACGAACTCGATCCGTGCATTATTTACATGAACTCGATCCGTACATTACTTGTAACATGACCTCGATCTGTGCATTATTCTACACAAACTCGATCCGTTCATTATTATTCACGAACACGATCCGTGTATTATTGTACACGAACCCGATCTATGCATTACTATACACGAACTCGATCTGCGCATCATTGTTTATAAACACAATCCGTGCATTATTTAAAGCTGCATGCATCCAGATGAGCGAAAATTAAATTCAAACTTGAGGAAAATGTACTAAGAGTTTAAGAAAATTAAAAATATTCAAGATTCAAGAAATAAAATGTGCGATTAATGACTGATTTTTCAGTATTTATAAATATTCTTCTACTGCGTTATTTAAACAAGAAGGCCATTTTTTGCATATATTGCCTTCTTTTTTCTCATTTACGTGGGTGCCATTGATAATGTTTAAATTGCTTATTCGACTAAATACTACTTTTAAACAGATTTTCAAACTTTTCATGAAAATTAGCATGAATCTGGATGCGTGTTACTTTAAAATGAACTCGACCCGTGCATTATTTTAAACAGACCTTGATCCACGCATAATTCTACACGAACTTGATCCGTGTATTATTTTACATGAACGTAAAGAACACAAACCCGATCTATGATTTATTCTGTACGAACTCAATCTGTACATTTTTCTTATTCACAAACTCTGCCTGTTGTTATTCTACACGAACTTTACGAACTTGATCCGAGGATTATTCAACAAGAACTCGAACGACACACATTCTAACCGTGCATTATTATTCACCAGTGCACCCTATGATTATGTCTTTAAAATGTGCACTATCGTAAACTAATGCACTCGATCGCACAAATTGATAAGACAAAAAAAGGTTAAGTATTTTAGAATTGTCATCAACAACTTACGTCCGCCTGACTTGTAAAAAGCAAGCACGTCTTTAATTTTTTGGTCCCCCGTGATGATGGCTAGTTGACCTTTACTGGAGTTACAATAACGCTGGGCATCTGTCCAGTTCAATTTGGGAGATTCAAAAAATTTCAGACACAGTTTTGTTGGTGCATCGTAAATGTAACCATCGACCTTACATCCGACTGAAAAAAACAAAACTACATTAAACACATGTATCTCATTTCTCGCATGCAGCTGAGCAGCTTCTTCCCCCTGATCAACGGTCGTTTGGTAAGTTTTTAAACTGTTTTATTTTTAAGAAAACCGTCTTTCATTATATATGAATGGACAATCATTTCTGCTGTATTTGTTTCAATTAATCATATCTATATATTTAAGACAGATAACTCACTGAACTTGAGATACCAAACGATAATCAATCACATACCTATAATTGGACATACAGAAAGTGTGTACAATGTTTAATAACATTTCGCAAAGTAAAATTGTAAGCATATGAAAACCGTTTGAATGAATAAGAACAACATTGCAGCACGTATACTGATTAAACTGACATTACGCTCACAGTTTTTGTTATAAAGTTAATCTGAATTAGCTCTATATTTAAAACAAATGACTATCACGAGTATAACTGAGTTCAACTATTAATAGATAAAGACAAATAGTAAAGGTAAAAAATTGTTAAAACTGTCTAACAAATAAGAATGCGCCATTCTTTTTTTCTTTGAACGTTTTCGATAATTTATGAACTTCAAAGTATTTTAATTTAAAGTCACGCGTGTTTTTCATTGTTTATTATGTGCATCAAATTAATGAATTGGAAACAGTTTTGACTAAACTTAAAGTAATTATGACCTTTTCCAGTACACTTACCACTTACACTTTGATGAGCATAATGTCACTTTAAATTTTATGTAATATATGTATCTATTACGTCTATTAGCTATCAATACCTACCGGCGGGGTCTGTGGTAGGTAAAGGATGTGTCGTTTGCGTGATGATAACTTTTGCTGCGGTGGTTTGGGATTTCGTTGTGTGCTGCGTATGTGCAGCTGTTGATTTTGTAGTGTGATGCGCATGCGCAGGTGTTGGTTTCGTTGTGTGATGTGCATGTGCAGCTGTTGATATTTTAGTGTGATGAGCAAGTGCAGCTGTTGATTTTGTTATGTGATGCGCATGCGCTGCTGTTGATTTTGTAGTGTGATGCGCATGTGCAGCTGTTGATTTCGTTGTGTGATGCGCATGTGCAGTTGTTGGTTTTGTTGTGTGATGCGCATGTACATCCGGCGACTTCGTTGTGTTGTGCGCATGTGCAACTGTTGGTTTTGGTGTAACGTGCACATACTGTGTCGACTGATGTATCGAGTATTTCACAACTTGTTTAGTCGTAGAATGAGTTGAAGGTTTTGTTGGTACAGCTGTAGCGTGTGTGACGGTAACGTTTTGGCGACAACTGTGGTTACAGAAATCTGTAGTGCAACATCTAGGACACTGGGTTATTGTTATCAGATCACGTTTACCAATAGCCATACCTAACTTCTGCATCTCTAAATTAACTATCGTGTTACATTGCTGAAATGTTCAAGGCGTACACTATAGAGATAAAAGCAGATTGAAAATTAATTGTGATAGAATTCTCTTATAGTATGATATCACCGTGATATAATGTTCATTTTTTTTTAATTGCCAAACTAAGTTGAATAATTTGAAATGACCTTAATTTTCACTCACTATATATCCTTGTTTGGACATGATGTCACTGTAATTCTCAATGCTTGTCATTCAAAAGAAGCATAAAAATGAATAAAACACCTCTGTAAAGTATATAAAATTTAATCAATACATCAGGCATGTGACTTGGTGGAACCTTGAAACTGAAACTCTGTCATTGTACCGTTACGTTCAAGTTCAAGAGAACGGCTTTTTGTCTGAGAGAGGCATGCAATATTAAGAGTAAGTAAAAAGACAAATCCTTAAAAGTGTTAAAAGGTTTAAACCGAAATACGGAATTCTTAAAATCTTAAAATGAGTCGTTGAAAAGAAATGGATTGAGCATCAGGTATAGATTTTCTGAGACAATTTGGGAACTTATAATTTGCGAATACATGCTCTTCATGCATTCTATGACAAGTAGTAGATTGTGTCGATCGTATTTTTCTATCAGTACAAAGCATTCACATCAAGCAGTTGAATCAGCTGCTCTAAAGACAGATTATAGGTGCATTGATGTAGAAGCTAAGTCTCAGGCCAATTTAGAAAAACCCACGTTCATCAAAAATGAAGAAATGGTTAAACAAAGATTAAGGAAATGTAAGAGTTTTAAGAAAAATGGTACGAAACGCAACAGTATGATTTTGACGTGGAACAGAAACAAGCACATTTCTTCAAAACTAAACAAGATTCTGTTGACACACATTCTCACGTTAATGATGATAAAGCACTCAGACATTTAGACTAAACATCTGACTTATTAAAATTCTGGTATCTGATACAAGAGCTCTCTACTATTGAAACCAGTCATACCTCAATAACTCGTTCAAACCCTCATGCAATATTAAATCCTGCTTCAGATTCTTTGAGGTCTTGCTTTTTATTGCGAAACACTATGCCATTAAGCACTAGAGTTACTGTTCTTGATGGAAAACTTTCTGCACCAGATATTCCGTCTTCGTGTGATCAAGTTCATGGCGAAAATTAACGGTTTGGCACCTTTTGAACAAGAGTTTGTTGAACTAGCAAAATCTTCAACAGAACAAGTTAGTTTGAATGGATAACTCCTATATGCAGACTTTAGTGTCTTTGGTGATCCTCTGAAATACACTGTATGCAAAGTTGCCTTTCTCTGAAAAGTTGCCTTTCATACAGTTGCCGAAGAACGTCATATCAGAAAAAAATCAACATTATCTTTAGAAATACATTGGTGTTCAAGTTAAAGACATGGTTGAAAACGTCTTTTATTGACGTCTAGTCATTCCTATGATCAGGCTAAAGGACCCTATGAAGAGCGGTACATGGCGATCAGTATGTATGGCTAATTCGTTCTTGTGAGATAAGAAAAATGGCCAAAGATGGCTGCGGGGATTGGAGAAGGACATCTCATGTTTGGAAATTGATTGTGACAATGTGAAACTTCGATGTGTGGTGTTAACAGTACCATGTATCTTAATGAAAGAAAACAGAAAGTTGTTAGTAAAACTCCCAAGGCGGATCGGATCGTTACGTGTTGCAATCGTTATGTTGTTCTGTAGAAAGTTAAGTTTGGTTTATTTTCACAATGTTTTGTGTGTCTGGAAAGTTTACTGCTTATGAAGCCAATGAGGCATGTGATCCAGTGACATCTTCGCAGTCTCTGAAAGGAGATCAACCAAACACGCTCGCCCCGAGCCAGGAAATTTAGACAGGCTAGTTAAGCTTGAGAAGTCAGAGATGTCTATCTGAGGTCATTCTTATTTGACAGTCAGTTTAAATAATTATAACTTGGATAAATGCTTTCAGTTTCTCGCTAAGTCTTACGTGGAAAGAAACGCTTATATAAGAGAAAATAGTTTGTTTTTCTTGTTTCTTGTTCATGTCTCAGGAAAATGTAAAACGATGGAAAACTTGTTTAAATATCACACTTCTTCCCTGATAATAATTTACAGAAATAAGATGTCATAATACCCTTATGATCACCCTGTTGATCGGTGAGCAAAACTAGCACCACATTAACGACACAGACTGAATTTAGAATTTAGTTGCACGTGCCTTTGATAGTCATTTGCGTTTGCAGGTTCCTATTGCGTACACGCCAAGATAAAATGCCAGGTATCGATAACATTTTCCGTCGACCCCGAATGTCAAAAAGTCGTTATATTTATGTCAGAAGTGGTCATATGTAGAGTACATTGCGGACAATTTGATACCTGTAAGTGGTAAGGAAAAAGGACTTCTTATTGGGTACAATTGTCAAAAGCACCCTCCCACACAAGATTAACGCCCTAGTAGACGATGGTTCATATGCCCAGAGGACAACTTGAGTTGAGGAATTGTTGTCGTCATAGGCTCAGACAGACCAGTGTCTGTGACCAGATTGGAGTTAGACATCGCATTCTCTTTTTTGAACTGCCCTTTGTTTTGATTGTTGATAAGCTAGATATACTTGGCCAATTCATGCTCTGTAGAAATAAGGTGAACGAACTTGTCAATCCAAAAAATGTCACGAATGCCGGACGGTACGAAAAAAAAGATTGCTGGTCGCACGCATCAAGAACGTTTCTTTGATATTTCGACAATATCACTATTGCTGGTAAAGAAATGCAGCTTTGGACAAAATATAATGGTTTTATTCTGCAATATCTGCAGAAATTATAGTGCATTAATTATCCTCGAGGACTATATTCATGAGGTGTTGTTCTTTTGTTAACTAGTAACACTTGTGCTGCTTTTCAGGGGCGAGCACTCACCTTCTCGAATACCTTTCTTTTAATTGGACATTTAATTATTTTCATTGCAGCAGAGTCATATGAGAAAACTTAAAGCCGAGGACGAAACACATATAAAAACAAGAATACTGATCAACAAGGCAAAGGCAGCGTTCACAGGACGCATCCCCCCGACACACCCAAGTAGGGCACCCAGAAGGCACGTTGTTATAAGGTATAGTAAAGTACGATCATGTATTTTAATTGGACAATGTAACGTTTAAATAAATGTTTCTTTTACTTCACTGGCCAGGATATATAGGTAACAAATTAGTCATGGTAATTATGTCATTGTTAATATCTTACTATATCTTAATATGTATGTTTTACTTACTCTTTCTGACATGCAGTCAGATGCCCATTCGTTTTGTGCTAAACTGTTGAGAGGAATGAAAATAGCGCAAACCTAAAAATAGAAATTATAAACATTAAGACCTGAAAGTAGAAACTCGAAAACATAAAATAGAGTCCAAAGACATTGATATAATTATCCATAATATACGTGCCTGCTCTACGTAAATCGCAACTATTCGGTCCTTTCCGTCAAACTCCGGGCATTATAATAGTCGAGGTGTTCTGGCTAACTCTTCACAGTTTTGCTGCTTTTCTAACCAGGTATGCGATTTCTTTGGCAACTTTTGCGGACATACATTTACATTTGTTTGTGCGATTTCGATACAAATATTGTTTATGTGTATGAAATATCTACAAGTTTGACCTTTACTACGGTAATTTATTGTAGTACTTGTATTTATTTTATTTTGTCAGCTCATTTGAATATATTACAAACATTGTCGCTGACATCATTAATAAAACTGTTTCATTTTACTTTACATATCTAAGTGAATAAGTGGTGTTTATCCTAAAGACAAAACCCATAACATCACCTGCTCAGTATCACATAGCATAGTATCTCTGCACGATTCTGGGTCGGCCTGTGCATCACAAGAAAAACATCTTGGACCTCGTTTCGTTCTTGGAACCGCTATAAATATAACATTAATGACGTCATGTACGATACTTTTCTAAAGCTTTAAGAATCAAGGTTTTTTTGTGAAAAAGTTCACAACAGACAATTTTAAATAAACTTGCTTCATTAAACCTTTGTCTTATTTTATGATCTTATTTATCTTAGGAACTTATGATTCATTGGTTACATTTTCAGCCATTGATATGAAAAATAGTTATAGTTTTATTCTTATTTAAATTAAATCATGTATTTTTGTGACAGTCATAAAACTTATTGTATAAGAAAAATTATCGCTCGCTTTTTCTCGTTTGTTTCCTCCCTATTCATGCATAAGAAGCAAAAAAAAAAAGAAACAGAAAAAAATATTATGGTTCAACTCGATGTAGATCTATTGTATCGAATTGAGATTTCACTTTTATAACGCAATGTGATCCCTTTAACTTTAACCTGTTGTTCCACATCCCTCCACGTTACAAAACTCTCCGTTACAACACTCAACACATGTTGGAATGTCCGTTTTTGATCCCGTGTCTTGTCGTCTAGATAGGCTGTCACGTGGCGGTGCTGACAGAGCGTTACTAATAGGGTAGGATTTCCCGATATTCGCAATCTTCGATAATGCTGAACGTTTGCCACTTGTTTGACATCTCTATAGTATATTAAAGATAAAATAAACAACATTAAGTTATTACACACACATTAATAACTTCTCAAACTATACGATTAAATGTTCATTTCGTTGTGTAAAAAGGCAACATTTAAGCATTTTATCATTCAAGCGCTTTGTCCGGTGTATACTGGAATACGATATTTAGTGTGGTGCTCCAATCCTTTTCAGTCTCACTCCATGTTGAACTGCACACTGTTCTTGTCATCATCGTTTCCATCATCATCATTATCATTCATTTTTTGTAATGGACATGTTTAATTTATTAAGTAAACTTTTAACTATCAAGAAACCAAAAGGAAGCGACCGTAGGTTCTTTATTGTTAAAATGTTCGCTTTATAAAAACTAACTTTCTTAATGTTTAACCTAATTTGACCCCACTGGTTACCGAAGAAGAAACGTTGACCTTATTCTCGTTTAGAATTTTTTCCAATGCAACGCCGCCCTTATGAGGCGGGGCTTCAACATTCAGTTTACACATGCACTGTCAATTATTCAAAATCCGAATTAATGAATAAGTGACAACATTTTGCCTGTCTATACTATTAAAAAGGGTGTCTTTTAAATTGGAGCGATTTCATTGGTTGACAAATGATGTGAAACACTAATATTAGCTTAGTGTAGAAATTTAACACAAAGAATTGGCAATAATTATTATGAATCTGTGAAAACGTAGCTTCTGTCAAAACCATTAGCACATTACCTCCTTAGAGAGGCAACCGGAACTGTACAATATTTGCCCGCCGCTCGTGACAAACTGTTCAACGAAGCAAATCTCGTGTGATGAACACGTGGTGATTACTTGGCAATCCTGAGGATGAGGCATGTCCGTACATTCAAAACATCTCACTGATGCTGTATGATTATAAGCCAAAAATGTTACATCATATCACATATACATGTAGTATTATATATTTTATCATTGCGTTATAACAATGGATGGCCAGCCAACAATTTTGCCGACAATATTCAAAGATACTAATTATTTGTAACTGCATAATTGACACTTTTACCCGCACTATCACATCCTTTTCGACTCACAAAAGTAAGCTTGTTACTTCATTCTGCAGTATAATCACATGCACGGTCACTGTTGTTACAGTCGGTTAAAATCAAGATTACGACTACAGTCGGCCAAAATCACTTAACGACTACAGTCGGTCGAAATCATTTAACGACTACAGTCGGTCAAAATCATTTAACGACTGCAGTCGGTCAAAATCACGTTTACGACTACAGTCGGTCAAAATCACGTTTACGGCCACTGATACTTCATGACGTTAAAAGGTTAGCTTGCAGAAGAACGATGCTTTTCAAATACCAATGGTCAGTGTCTGGTTAGAAAATTACCACGTGACCTTCATCACAACCTTAACGACGTCGACAATGAACAGAGTTAAATGTATGTTATATAAGAAATGACTGTCTATATATTATATAAGAAATGACTTACCGTCCGCATGCTTAAGTAAGGTCAAAGCAACAATCACTAGCACAACATACATCATCTTGACCTTCAAAGATAATAAACAAACATTCATACGTTTAACAGGAGAATTAAAAGTTCAGTCTTTAAACTATTTATTTTTACGATCATAATCCCTAGTTCGACCTTGCCAAAAATGTTTCACGAACATGTCTGTGCCCCCACTCTAGGGGGAGTTGACATTTAGATATGCCCTGATCCGTACGTGCGTCCATCCGTGCGTTTTCATGTTGTGTCACATGTACCTCTAAAACTGCTTGAGCTAGGATCAACAAACTTAACAGAAATTCTGTTCAGCATTTGGAGTTGTGAATCTGAGATTTCGCACGTGGATTAATGTAGTATTGTCAGAATTATTACCCTTGATTCGATTATTATTTGCAATACTTGTGTCGAGCGTAGTTCAAAAGCTTTTAGACATATAGCCAAGAAACCTTCTTCGGTATTTATTAATATTTAAACATCCATGCATAGTTGCATACACAAGCCAACTTCAAAATGTGTCCTTTCACTTTCGTATGAAATGTACACTATAATAATTATATTTTCCTATATTTATCAGATTCACTGATACCTTGTTTTAAAATGATATTATAACGTAACCTAATGTCGCGAATTAAGGTGACATTATGTCTATCCAAAAGTAAATGGTGAATGGTTAAAATAAGTATACAATTTGTCAATAGTTGTTTTCAATGCTATAATTAGTGTCTCCTGAGCAAGCAATAATCCCCGTGACCCGCATAAATATATCTATAAATATTGTTTAGAAATATCGGTAAAGTTCAGAATATAAAACGAGTGGGGCAAACGCAGTTGTTGTTGATTTTTTTTATATTTAAGACATTTTTGAACTCCATTCTAAACGTTTGTAATGATCAATTATTTTACAATTAAAATATTAACATTTAACATTAGAATAGCCAATCTTTTAAAATACACAACTCATTTATCTCGGCTCGACAGTGAAAAAAATGAACCTAATGTCACTTTAACAATAAACAGTCGAACCGTACTTCAGTGCTTTGATTGTATTTAGGTTCGTAGCGGGAAACTTTAGCAGATTTAGACCAGATCTATATGTGGCGTACTACAGTTTAACATGTCCTTATCTACCGTATACTTAGGGACATGAGAACCAGAACATGCATTTTATGTTGATTACTGATATAACGAAAAGTTGGCAATTTTTTTTCCGACCAATTCCTGCAATGATGTCACATAAGCATTTCCCTCTAGAACAATTTCGTTATTATTATATTACAAGATATGTAGATATATCTTATGAAATATTTTTATAAAATTTATCAACAGTAGAATTATATTGCTAAGTCCATTCTCGAAAAAGTTGTTAACATAAGACGTGTCTATGAATTTTGTACGTAAACAGAACAAAAAATGTTCCGAAAAAAAAAACATATTTTTCTGCTACATGTATCTTATAAATTTAGCTATGATTTCCAGCATGCGCCATAAACTTTTAAGGAAATTAATTACCATATTCATTTCATATAGTATTCCGTTTTAAAATTCCATTTTTTTTTTTGCTTTATACACTTTATATCATTTTAAAGTAGTCGATTTACTAGGCTGTTTAATAGTTATAATATAGTATATTTTGCGATTCATTTAAAATATTGCAATCTCCTATAGGACAACAAATAATTTCAAACACTAAGTCCTGAGTTTGAATGCCGAGTATGGCATAATATCTTTTTAACATTGCCATAATTGTCACATAACCCAAGAAAATGTCTATTTAGAGCCTTCAGAATTTATCGGTAACGTCAATTTGGTAAAAAGGGGACAATCTTTCTGTACAGTCTTTTTTATATTTTGGGTATTTTTTTCCTAAACGTTGCCATTATCATTCATTGGTCAATGAACATTGTAATAGTCAATCTTTTGGAATAAAAAACTAAATCAGCTCAATTTGATAGTGCAGAAATGCGCATAATATCGCTTTGGATACTATTTCGTGACAACCTAGATAAGTGCCAATTTGATAACTAAATAAACAGTATGAAACAATTTGAAAATAGAACGATCTTATTGAGCAAATTATAAGTTCAACATGTTGAAGATATGGCATCTTAGGACAGGGTATAAAAATGATGAGGAACATATCGAGTGTTAATAAGTAAAATATCATAAATTAGAACTTACCTGTGCTTATTCTACACTATACCAGCACAACTACACGCACTACTGTAGTCGGAGACCAACACTATGATCTGTAAGATAAGACTAGTGCCCTCACACGATCTTTCCGTCTGATAAGATGATATTTAACTAATTTTGCACCGACACACACATACATACAAATATGTACGGAAACGTCCCGGTGCCAATTCATACAGGTCATAATATTCTATAACAAATATAAAACCTAATAAGGAGTTTATACGAGTCTAATAGAATAAATAATATAAAGCCTAATTAGGACGTAAGACTTTTTAAGTTGGATTTTTTTACTCCTACGTAGGGCTTTTGAACTCCTTTGTAGGTATGTAAACCCCATATGTAGGCGATTAAAAAAACTAATTAGGTGTTTAAAAGTCATATTACTCCTACGTAGGACTTAATAATTCCTACGTAGAAGATTTCAAGGCCTAATTAGAAATTTACAACTCGAACGTAGAAACATCGGGGTCATCGCATCGAGTAGTGCCCCATATTTTATAAAAAGCCCACGTAGGAGTTTAAAAGTCCTACGTAGGATTTTTAACTCCTAAATGTATGCTTTTGTATCTCCTACGTAGGAATTTTTAAAGTTCAACGTAGGAGTTATTAAGTGTTGCGTAGGAGTTTTAAACTCCTAATTAGGTATTTTATCTCTTACGTAGGAGTTTTCAAAGTCCTACTTAGGAGTTATTAAGTCCTAGGATTTAAATTTCTTATAGAACATTATGAAATGGCTCCAGGACGATTCCGTAAATGTGTATTTAAAGTCTGCGTGTTTATGATAAAACGTCGTTTTTTGGGGTTTTTTTTATGTTGTTGTTTTTGTTTTTGTTTTTCGGTTATTGAGATCAGCTTATAATTACAAATACAAGAGCAAAAAAAATTATATAAATAATACCTACAAAGTATTTGTATATAAGCGAACTGAGCAGATCTCAATAAACGAAAGGAAAAAAACGTGTTTGATAAAAACGTCTCCCTATATAAGTGGTGATTCAAACAGACATAATATTATAATTATTGGATGCATAGTTTAGTAATTAAATATATAGCTCATCTCATGCCTTGTTTTAACCCTATTATATTTAACACACCCTATTTGTATATACGTTTTCATCTTATGCTGTTAATGTACACGGGCTGACCGACAGACAGACAAACAAACAGAGAGATTGACATTTTATTTCGATCATATAAGGCTTGCTTATAAGCCCGTGATGACACCATAATAGTATATTACAAGGCAATGAACAGTGCACATGTCGACATGCAAAACAATTACACGGATTACTTTACATAACATCACAATATCGGAGGTCATAAAGAAAAAAACTCTTAGTGACCGTTTGATATGGCACTATTGCGTTTTTGTCGGACTGCTAAAATTTAGCGGTGTGTAACCGAGAGAATATTGAACAAAACGCCCAATACGTAGATCTCTGATCTGTCGAATTCTTATTATCAAATGGGTGGATACAATAACAATTTCATCACAACCTTTTTTGTTAACAAAAGAGCACATGTCAATGTTTGTGGTTAAATCTATTGTTATTCAAATGAAAGTTCAGATTAGCGATTTTACTAGAAATCTTATTGAGTTATGTACTATACTCGTATTATATGAAATAGGACACAGTATCGGAGCCCGGTAGCAATATATATAGAGTCCCCCCAGTCAGACTCAGGCATCAGATATACCGGAGCCTCAGTACTGTGTTATATTTCTTAACTATTATATTATGATAAAAAATTGTATGAACATTTTTTTTTATTTGCAACTGCGGAAGATTTGTTTAATATATCAAATGGCAGGAAAGTAGGAATTTCTGGTTTGCCTAATTGCATTCTGCTAACAACAACCGCAAGTCTCGACTTTTGCTTGGCCAAAACACGGATTGCACACATCAGCCACCATACATGCTCCCCTTTACGTCTTATGAATAATAGCGAGCTCGAAGAGCTGGCCCGAAGGGCCTGCTCGCACAGCGAGCTTTTGGTAACGCGAGTACCTGCTAGATAGTGATGGTTTTGAAAACTTTCGTCGGAAGTAATGATTTGACACATCGCAACTTTTCGAATTACAAGATAACGATAAAAGCCGAGGTATTCTGATTGAAAACGGAAGCGTAGACTGGTGTCCTGCGCACTTATATGGGAACCATAATAGGACAGGGAACCAGAATAAACGGAAGCAGTGTATAAAATACCGAATGACAATTTTAAAACGGAAAATGTAAAATAAAAATGAACGATTAGTAAAAGAAGGAGCATCGACACACGAGAATATCTGATTTGTACAATGGGCGTACTCCCCTAGTATTAATCAGATTACCGAGTGTTTTGATGTTCTTTTCTCTTTTGTATCATAGTCTAACATTAAAACACGTTCCTTGTTGTCACAAAATGAAATCCAAGGATAAAAATAACCAATGAAGGAGCATCTGAATACGATATTTCTGTCGCTTTCCCTTTCTCTGCCAACAAAATAAGTAAACCCCGGCAAAAATGAGACAATAAATGGACATGCTCTGGAGTGCGGGTAACTAATAGCTGCACTCCAGTTAACGCACTGTGCATGTGAATGTATACGATTTAACTCTGACACATTTCGACAGAAAGGTTCCCAAACTATGATATAATTTTATACTATTTCACGGTAAAAGTAAATCGAGCTCGCTTTAAGGCTTTGAATTTTTTATGTTAGCGAGCTCGAAGAGCTGGCCCGAAGGGCCTGCTCGCAAAAGGAGCTTTAAGGTAACGCGAGTACCTGCTAGATAGTGATGGTTTTGAAAACTTTCGTCCGAGGTAATGAATTGACACATCCAACTTTTCGAATTACAAGATTACGATAAAAGCCGAGGTATTCTGATTGAAAACGGAAGCGTAGACTGGTGACCTGCGCACTTATATGGGAACCACAATAGGTCAGGGAACCAGAATAAACGAAAGCAGTGTATAAAATACCGAATGCCAATATTAAAAAGGAAAATGTAAGATAAAAATGATCGATTATTTTATACTGTTTCACGGTAAAAGAAAATCGAGGTGGTTGTTTCGATTACTGCAACATAACGGCTATTTTCGTCAGTGTCCGGATAAGCTCTCGATCTTATAAGGAATAATCGGCGGGGTGTTCCGAAGTTAAAGGAGCAGAAAAATTCCGGTACACGGTCACAAAATAGTGCTTGGTGATATCGGAGCTAAAGAGTTTTACTGTTACTGTTTTTCGAAACGCTTTTCAGAAAACAATGACCATTTTATACATTTTAAAATTAAAACCGGAAGTTACCACTGTTCGTAGTGTTAAAGTGGAGCATGCGCATAACAATTTGTGTAGACGTAGACTGGTTCCAATGATTTAAGGCTTAGATACATAAAATTCATTTTGATACCGCCAGCAACCATTCTCAACACGAGAGATCCAATGACCTCTTCTATAAATCAGAACGTCCGTATTTAAAAGATAAGAGTATTTAGTGTAAGCGTGAAGGACTATAACAATAAGTCAGGGAAGAAAAGTTTTATCTCTTCTGTTATGTTCAAGTTCACTTGGCTCAATGTTATAGATATTTGTCACATATAGTTAAACATTCTCCACTAGATAACCTTAGGGAAACTTATAGAAACAATTTTACATATGCTAGAACGTAATCTATATCAAGAAATGATAACATGTTATTTCCACGTAGATGTGTGTGTGGGTTTACTTACATTAAGAATATCATCCCGGGAAAAAATTGTTAGAGAATTTTACAAAGAATAATATTTATACTGTTACCCACAAACTTATATTATATGAGATATATATACGAAGTGTGTTCAAATATAGATACATTGACCAAAGAGGCATGTTTAAAAAAAAATTCTCTGGAGGCCTATCAGGAAAGAATTCATTCCAATTATCTAAGCCTTGGACATTGTAGTCTCACATATGGTTTCCCATGTAGAAGTATATATATAAATATGTGACCCCGAGGTTGGGCCAATATTGACCCCCCGGGGGCATGGTTTATGTTAATTTTATTGAGGTCAATAACGTCACATGACAGATATTTTAAGTCTAGGCGCTCAATTTTCACAAAATAAGACTGAAATATGTTTTCTCATACAGTACACAAGGGGCATGATGTGTTCTGCATATCGTTTTATTAAAAGTAATATTTCTGTCAATTTTGTTTAACTTCTTCCAATCGCTTTAAAAGATACAGAGCGGGCACGAAATTTTGAAATTCATACAAAATAGCTGGGACCTTGACCTGATGAAGGTCAAACCTGCGCTCTGAACACCGTCTCATTCTGGTTAACATTTCTTAAAAGTACTGTAATTTCACTTCCCTTACACCGGTTCAAATAATAAAGACCAGACACGAAATTGCTAACAGACGGACGGACGTTAAGGTGCATTACAATATAAGCCAATTTTTTTCGGGCGTATAAAAGAAACGTGAGCGGTAATAATCTATAGTAAGATAAAAACTGCCATTCCGTATCTCCAAGCATAAGGTTCGAACCTTGAACATCAAATACATGTCAAATGGGGGAAATTTGAATAAATGTTACGAAACAAATCTTTCAGTAGGACAGACACTGTTTTCAGTACTTTTGAAAATTAAATCACTTTATAGGAATAGCGCGGATTCTTGTCCTTCATCATCAATATGCGAATGTGATTTGTGTAGATTGGGTCAAATATGAATTAATATAAATTAATGATGATGATAATGATGATGATGATAATGATTAAATAAACTATCGAGTACATACAGTGTATTTATTTATGGTTTTTTTTTTGTATAATATTTTAACAATCAAATAGCAATAATCAATAGTATTACCGCGATAAAAGCCTATAAATATCGGCTATATGATTAAATAAAACTAAATGTTAAATATTATAAAAAGTACCGTGAGTATCACGTCAAACGTGACTTTCTTTGGTTTTCAATTTACACACAATACAATAATTTCATAATTTTCTATACAATGTACAATCGAAAAAAACCCGGACAACAGTTTGTGTTGTCGACAACAGTCAACATTACTGTATATACATTTTTTGCGTAAAATCGATAAAACATACATGTCCGGTTAGCTCATATAGGTAGAGCGTTGGACTGTGAATCGGGCGACCGGAGTTCGATTCCCGGACGATGCAGGTCACTTTCGTTATGACTGATCATGAAATCTTTCCTACGGTCATTTGCACTGTACCTTTGCTCTGGTATGTACAGAAGTTTCAGATTCTAGCGAAAGTAAAGGCAACTAGTACTGGTAAACTGCTTGACAGCATGCCCATGAACGATGCGGTGGTCGAACCGTGCTGTGGCTTCCTGTCATGATCCCGAGTGAAAACTACCAACACCACCAGCAAGCCCACACGAGTCATGGCAGATCCTATGCGGTTGTTGTTCATTGAAGTAGCATAGAAGGTAATTTAAAAGCCATTTAAACAATGTTTATATCAAGTATAATCTATATAAAGTTATAATTTGTATTAAAGTTCAAATGTATAAAATATATGTGATTTAATTATATACATTCGTTCCTTTGGATTTGGCTTTTTTTGGGATACAAGACAGGTGTTTTTATTTCAATCACAAAAGGCCATGTTGATATGATTACAGCATGGTATAGGTATAAAAAAGCAGTTTTACAAAACGATACCAATTTAGTAACATAACATTCATATACTAAACATATATAATGAATATCCAGCACTTGTCAACACTTAATTCAAACATTTTAGAGATAAAACTTCATATTTTTCTTATAACATTTTCATTTTGTAATGCTAACAATTTATAAATAATGACACATTTTTTTTTGTTGTATTTTTTTCCAAATACTTGTTTGTTTTTTCAAATCAATACAGGGGAGGTTGCTATATTGCATGAAATTCATCTTCTAATTCACAGCAAATATTACATTTTCTTTCATTATGAGGTATTGCTTAAGATGTCCACCATCTACAAGTTTCTACCTTTAATATAACAATGTGAAACATTCTAAACTTTTCAATACTGTATGTGTAGAAATATTCGCGGGCTTCAAATTTTCGCGATCTTCGCGGTGACATTCGATCCGCGAATTCATGTTTAGCGCGAATATTTCTACACCAATAATTTCTTAATAGTCATATTTTCGCGCTTCTGTAGAACAATGTATATCAGTGTTTGATATGCTTTCACACTTTTTATTTCAATCTTCACTGAGTAATTGGGTTTTGTTTTCCAAGTTATTCATCATTTAAAATCGTTTAAGTTTGTGTTTTTTAATTGTTTATTCAGAAAAACCAAAACATGATCTGATCAGATGTCAAGACTTTTATGACGCAAACTGTGAAAAAAATATGCACGTTAACGGGCATTCTTTTGTTTGCTATAATCTGTCCGCTAGACAATGTCTTTTTCTGTACAATAGAGTATCGTTTGACACCTGGTATTGAAAATAACTGTGAACTCCCACGATAATTACAGTAATTTTTCTTTTTAAACCTGAGTGGTCTACGCGAATTAATGATTTTCGGCAGTCACCTCCGCGAATTCAAAATAGCGCGAATATTTGTATAGACCCCCAAAGTGGACCTTTCCGCGAAAATTTGCTTCCGCGAATTTAAATACACATACAGTATTCACCTATGACATGTATATTTTGTTTAGTTTATAGATTATGTAACTGTTTTGTCCGACCTTTCCCCTGGTACAGAGTGTAATGGCCATCCGTCCTCGAGCTGAAAATATAAATAAAATACATGTACATGTATAAACATATTACTGAGCGAAAAATATGGACGTATAAAGTATAAATTTACATGGAATGAAAAAGTGGGATGCATAATTTCGACAAGTGGAAGGGCAATGCATATTCCAGTGGGGATTTAGCACATAACTCGTTTTCCAGAGGGTTCATGGGTCATTTTTCCCTGATTTTCACTTTTCATTAAATTTTGCGTGATTTTGACTTTAAAAGTAGTAAGTTGCTACCCAAATCTTAGAGTGGTTTCGGAATGAAGTTCAATCCTGTGGGGGAGGGGGTGGGTCATGACCTCGTAACCTCCTCCTCTTTCTGGATCCGCGCATAATGGCAAATATCATTGCGCAACGGAATACAGCCCAAACTTAAAAATACGCATGCTTTCACATACGGTGCTTTCACATACGGTGCTTTCACATACGGTGAAGACGAGAAAGGTAGACTTATTTTTGTTTTTTTTGTTTTTTGGTTTTACGTCACATCGACGCAGTAAAGGTCATATCGCGACGTTCCAGCTTTACTGGTGGAGGAAGACCTCAGGTGCCCTTCCGTGCATTATTTCAGGCACGAACGGGCACCTGAGTAGAACCACCTCAGTAGACTTATTTAATCGTCAATGAAAAGTAGTTTTCCTTGATATGGCTTAAATCATATTATGTCAATATAAGTAAAATAACTCATTTAAGTCATATAAGTTTATAAAAAAACTTGTTTCATTTTGTGTATTTTTATGGACTATGTTTTTTATATAATTTTGCATTGAACAGGCACCCACTTAAATTAGATAAATAAGAAATTTGTCTCGAATCGAGGTGAGAAAATTTGTACAAAATGTTTATTCATTGGAAACTAATTAATATTTTTGTATAGATAGATACTTTTACAAGGTAATTTACTTTAGATATTTTGGTTTGTACTACTTTTGGCTTAATGGCATCTACATCTGATTGTTACCTATGTAGCAAGTAGAGCACCACTCCGTTAAATAAATGATTTGTTTTTGTCATTTCGTGTTTTTTTGGGTTTTTTTTTTTGTTTTGTTGTTTTTTTAATGTTTTTTAATCAATTTATTTATTTATTTATGTATTATTTTGTTGTCAAACAAACCTGTTCTCGACGGGTAAACAAAGAAATACTAATCAAACAAGCCTGTTCCGACATTTATGAGTTTACAAAGAAATACAAATCAAACAAACCTGTTCTCGGCATTTATGAGTTTACACAGAAATACAAATCAAACAAACCTGTTCTCAGCCGGAACTACTTGTGCTCCTCCTATGAACGAGTCGGCGGATGGGTTCACTTTCAACACTTCAAAATGGCCAGTATCTATGCGTCCTAAATCGTTGCCAACTAAACGGCTGGTCACGTGTCTATTCCCATCTAATTCTGTAATTCTTGGAGACGATACAACTCTGTTACTATAGGAACGCTGCAATCCATTTAGGTCCACATTTACTACTTTAGAAAGTTGGTCCAGTGATATAGGCGGTAAGCGTAGCAACCCGTCCGTGTTAACATGTCCAGAGGTGTAATTTAACTTTTTCCCATCTAAAATAGCCCCGCCACTATACTGTGTACGTCCGCCTAAAATCGCCCCGCCACTATATCGCGTCTGACCGTCTAAAATCGCCCCACCACTATAGCGTGTTTGTCCCCCTAAAATCGCCCCGCTACTGTATCGTGACTGTCCGCCTAAAATCGCCCCACTACTATACTGTGTTTGTCCCCCTAAAATCGCCCCGCCACTATATTGCGCCTGTCCGTCTAAAACAGCGTTATTGCTTAAACCAACATGGTAATGTTGTGGATCGGAATAATAAACTGGGTCTAAAATCTGTGCCGGACCAACGTACCGTTGTGTTTCTGCCCCGGAATAATGAACAGTGGGTTTGTTGCTGGAGCTTGAATATTCAAATGATGTGGGTTCGCCCTTAATCATATGGTGTCGAGAGTCATCATATCGTATTATATTAAATGATGGCTTGTACGAGTCACGTGATGCCTCGTGACCATACCGACCATATTCCGATCTGTACATCATCGGATCGGAATATCTGCGTGCCCGGCTGTAATGTACGTCATCAGGCCGGGAATCATACGAAGCTTCGCGTCTCGTGAATCTTTGTCGCTGGGCAACCAGTGAAGAGTCGGAATACCTCCGACCCCGCCGTAAATCATCAGGGGGCTGCAAGTCGTCATTCGAAAGACGTCTTGATCTCATTATTTCCTGTTTATTCCCGTTGGAATATCTTTCATATTCTTCTTTGTTGAAGCCTCTACCAGGGTAAGAATTGTCTGCAATAACAATAATAATTTTTATACTCAGAATTAAATATTTGTTCGTTTGTTTGATTGGGTTTTACATCACACCAACACAGTATATGGCGACGTTCCAGCTTTACTGGTGGCTCTTCCGTGCATTATTTCAGGCACGAACGGGCACCTGAGTAGAATCACTGACTGTAAGCTAGCTGGTTAATAAGCTTCATCATATGAAAGAATCCAAAGTCACTGTCGGGATTCGAACCCACAGCGGTGAAGGGAAAGTGGTTTGGAGTAAACGGCATTTACTACTCGGCCACGGACTCCCCTATGAAATAAACATGATTTTTTCAGTACCATTACCAATCTAGTTGATCTAATCATGATGCAAAATTTCACTTCCGTCACACTATCTAGAGCATATCTAACATACTGTTCATAACACTGTTGTCTTTTATCATACAAAAAATTAATGCACCTTACTCTGCATTGCAATATATTAAAGTACATGTAGATCTAGTACTTACATATCACACTCAGTCTGTACAAAGTTATTCTCTACTTTTCATTACTTGCTAAGTAAGTTAAAATTGAAAACTAGACTAACAATTATCATGTTTATGTAATTATATTAAATATGTTACCATAGGCACGGTCGTGTCTTCTAACAGATCCGTCTGCGGGAGAATCTCCAAATGTTCGACTCCGCCAATCTATCCAATTCTCTCTCAAACTATCTGTCCATCCTCTCCATCCCTTACGTCTTCCTTCCAGTTTATCACCCGAGTACATACCAGAGAACATGTTCCTACCCGAGTACTTGTTCCTATCCGAGTACATGTTCCTATCCGAATGCCAGCCAGATTGGCGCACAAAATTTGAACGCTTAGACACATCTTGCCTATGAACAGATAGCTTATCCGCATCAGAATATTTTCCGGATTGTTTTAGAAAATTTGTCTTCTTATGAATTGAGTGTTTATCAATATCCGAATATTTTCCGGAGTCTTGCAGAAAATTTGACTTCCTTAAAAAGTCATGTCGGTGGACGGAATGCTTATCATCGTCCGACATTTTCCCGGAGTACTTTTTGGAAAATATTTCTCTGTCTATGGAATGTTTGTCACCGTCTGAGAAACGCCTTGAACTTCTAAAGAACCCGGACTTTTTCGAAAAGCTGCCCTTTTCGCGGTCCCCTCTAGAGTAAGCGAATTCGTTCACAAAATTTTTAGATGGACCGGAGGAGTACTCTGAAATACATTAATTTATAAATTCACTGAAAATTGAAGATGGATGTCATAATTCTGATTCATAGAAGGATATCTGGTTCCATATACGGCTACTGTGGTACAATATATTGAAGAACTGGAATCATATATTGAGAAAATCAACTTATATATTGCTATCTCGGTTTCATACACTGACGGTATGGTTTCATAAAGTGTAACTGTGGATTAATATAATGAATTCCGGTTAAATAAAAACGGTGTTTCATATATAGTCGAAGTGAACTTATAATCCAAATGGTTAAATAAATTGAAAAAGAACAATATCAGACAGCCATGGCTTTCCATACAATACAATATTACAATATGTTCCGCTGTCGGCTTACATATGGAAGCCTCCAGAAGAACCAAAATAATTCAAGAAAATCAAACTTAAGAAAATGCACTAAGATGAAAAGAAAATTAAAATGGTTTAAGATTAGAGAAATAATTTGCATGTTATGTGCGATAAATGACTGATTTTGCGGTATTTATTACCATATTTCTACTGCGTTTCTAAGGTAACGCTGTAAGCGTCAATTGTGCATATTTTGATTTGTTTTGATTATATGTGTATGCTGTTTGCAATGTGTAAACTACATTCAATATTCACTTCATAATATTTTAATTTTAAATAAATTTTCAAAATGTTCATGCAAATTAGCATCAATCTGGATGCATGCTGCTTTAAATTATTTTACTGTTTTTGTTTTGTTTTGTTTTTGTTGTTGTTGATGATGATGATGATGATGATGATGATGATGATGATGTTGTTGTTGTTGTTGTTGATGATGATGATGATGATGTTGTTTTTGTTGTTGTTGTTGTTGTTGATGATGATGATGATGATGATAATGCTGTTGTTGTTGTTGTTGTTTTTGTTTTTGTTTTTGTTGTTGTTGATGGTGATGATGTTGTTGTTGTAAAACACAATACCTACTAGATGACAATTCAGTTTTACAAGCATCAGTAAAGGATAATTTTACTCGTTTGTATGTTTGAAAAAAAATCAACATATTTTGATATTACTGTGTAATACATCTTTTGTGGGACAGAATACATTACCATGGAAATGATTACTTTTCTTGAAATCTTTGGCATCCCCCGAACCCTTGAACCAACCAGTCGTCCATCCCGGCCACCTGTCCCTCCAGTTATCACTCGAACCTCGCCAACCGTGGTATCTGGCAGTATAAATATCGCATTTTAACAGATCTCAAAGTATCAAGACACGCCCATTATATAACAACACACAGAACGCTTTTTCGTATTTAACATGTATATTAATTTCTTTTATTATATACTTATGAATGAAATATTGAGAAATATTGATGAAATAAAATGCGTATTTTCATTTCCCGTATTTTCACTGTGAACATTTAATTTTCACTGCAGTGAAACATATTTTCCGTATTTTCACTGGTGTTTTCTGGACTACGTTCTTCTAATTTCTGCCATTACACAAAATCTAAGGGAAGGTCTATCAAATTGTAATGTCAAAAAAAAGAAGAGAAAAGGGTTTATAATAAACAGAAAATTCAGGGTTTTTTTCTATAAATACAGGATATATTTTCATCATGTAGTATGAAAATTCTCATATTTCACTCGTGACTACCGCCACATACGAACTATTTATTTTCATACAACTCGATAAAAATAAATCCTGTATGTATAGAGAAAAAAAACTTGAATATCTCTCTATGAAATCAGATAAACCGGTGAAATCTGTAAAATTTGAAAGTCGTGATATTTACCGATGGTGATAATGTCTGCGTCGCCGTCTGCAGCAGCAAGAAATACAACAAAGGCAGACTATGATGATGATAACAAGCGCGGCGCTTACTGCTGCAGTACCAACTATAACCTTTTCCTTTAAGTCAAGAGCAACTGAAAACAAAAACGTATTTTTTGATTACATAAAATGTTTGGAAAGTAAGCAAACAAATAGCTAGAAAGGACTGATGACAAATGCATTGTTGATATAGCTGCTCGCCAAACGTTCACTTGAAATACTTTCAGGGAAGGGCCCACGATAATGTTGCCCAACCCTTTTGTATGTACACTTCACTATGTCTGTAAAATTATGAAATTGTATATTGTGTGTAAATTTATTCAATACAATACTACATGTATTTAACTAGAAGTAAACTAAAAACTCTCCTGGACTCATATCAATGGACGCTCATGATAAGATCCTAATATGTTAAACATCTAAGCTAATAATAATATGATTAAACGGCTCTCTTCCTTTAGATTAAAGATCACACGACTTCCGGTTTCATAAAATTTGTTTATAAAACACATCGTAATATGTAATATCGATAACGCCCTCTGGCACCTGCCAAAGCAGTACTGTATCAACAACCCAAAGTGTAGGTATTGGGAAAAAAAAGACCATTAAAGATATACTATACTGTTCCTTGGGTATAATATTTTAATCACAGAAATTTATTGAAATTTATGAAATTCTTACTGAGTATGTCTAATTTGAATAAAAGAATAAATAAAATATGTATGAGAAGATGCTTCCCTATTACGGGACAAAAAAGTAGGTCCTTCATAAAAAAGCTTCAAGTTTCTTTTAATGACACTATATTGTAACTACTTATATTGTGCAGAACTTTAAGCATAACACAGGGTGAAAACACGTTTATTTATGCATATGAGCCGCTTCATGACAAAACCAACATAATGGGTTTGCGACCAGCATGGATCAAGACCAGCCTGCGCATCCGCGCAGTCTGATCAGGATCCAAGCTGTTCGCTATCGGTTTCTCTACTTGTTATAGGGTTTGTAAGCGAACAGCATGGCTCCTGATCAGACTGCGCGGATGCGCAGGCTGGTCTGGATCCATGCTGGTGGCAAACGCACTATGTTGGTTTTGTCGTGACATGGCTCATATGTACATACACAGAAACTGTGCAACAATTATCAATATTTTCTAATATGTTAAAGATCTAGGCTAGTAAACTATGACTGTACAATTCTCTTCCTTTAGATTAAAGATCACTCGACTTCCGGTTTGAAGTTTGTGCATACTCTATTTTATATTTTTAAAAACGATTATGTTAAGGTTTTAGATGACAATGTTTCATAGTCATTTGTAACTTTATATTATTATTAAACTTTATCATATTTTTAATACAAATATAAAAAAGAAAGTTTACAATCTTGTTTGTATGTCATGTTAATTCAAGTTATGTTTTCATCATTTAAACAGTTTTACAGTTTTACTTATTTCATCTTTATCTAACTTGAAAAGAAACACTCATAGTTTTGAAATGAAAAGAAGAAAACCAAAGAAAAACATATCGGAATAAAAAAGATGGCACACACACATAAAACTGACATGTTTTTATATTAAACCCCGTTAAGTATTTCCGGAATTTTTTTCCTAAACAGTATATGTATTGTACTGTATTTTCAATGGACATTCTAAAATTGTTTTCAAGAATATATAAAAACGTGCTCTTTGGTGTTTATCAAATGCCATGATATAGATCTAAATAAGATATAACGTTAAATATTTGTGTTTCTAAATACTATTCATTTTCCCCCAAACGACAGCCAAACTGGAGGAGTATAAAATCAATTTGTTTATGTATTCTGAATAACATTTAGAATATTTACTGCTTCACCGCTTGAGAAAATAGCGTCTGTTGCGGAAAGACGTCATGACGTCCAATAATGCTGCAATATGATTGGACGGCGCATTTATTGATTGTGACGTCACAAACATCTAACGTAGTTACCGCAATTGAAATGTTGCTCACTTGCAGTGCACACGAATATATCTGCTGTTGAAAGTTAATAAGAGACAAATTTCCAGAAAAATGGAAGAAATCTCGGCAAATGATAACCGACGTGCAGCGAAAAGCACATTTAAAGGTACATTAATTTTCTTAATATACCTCAATTTTGAAATTTATCAATTTTATTAGTGTTTTACTATAGTGTGTTTTCATATGGCACCTACTTCAAATAATAAAAATAATAATAATTATAATAATAATAATAATAACATGTATTCCGTATTCATACAGTCCGCGGTCATTACAGTTATTACAAGAAGCCCGCCGTTCATTCGTGTATATATTAGGAAAAGTTTGTCCTCTTATACGTTCTGTGTTCATTTCTAGGTATATCTATATATTTAAAAAATGGCCATATTTCATGGTCCACAACCATTCCTTAGTATGTCTAGAGGCATCTTAAACATTGGTGCTGTTCATCCTTTACATAATTTCTCAGTATTAGCTTGTGTTTAGTGACTGTTTACTTATGCAAATATCTAGAAACTTACATTTTGGACTCTTGTTTATCTTGGTGTTACATATCCATCATTCCAAATATCGCGCTATTTGGAATACTGACAACCTTATAGGTATATAGTGATGTAAACTTTATAAAATACATCTCTATTCGAGAGAAACAGTGTGACATATTTATAATCCGTCGTCAATCTTAGTGTTAAATCAAAAACGGTTCCGAAAATAACTCCATTACTATATTATTCTTTATTTTTATTTTTTTACATGTTATTTTAATTTATTTATTTATTTATTTATTTATTTATTATTTACATTTGTGTATTTGTTTTCGAAAATTTAAAATAAGGCCGTTTATATTTTACTTTATTTGTTTATTCATTCATTTATTTATTTAGTTATTTAGTTATTTAGTTATTTATTATTTATTTTTCGTTACAGATATCCTCATTAGTCCAAACAATGATGACGTCATCATTCCAATCAGTACGACGTTCGACAAAGCCGTATTACACATTGGTATAGGGAACGGATGTGGTATATTTATAGAGAAGTTTGGTATGAAGATTGGTAAGGAGCTGAAAACTTCAGTGAAATATGCCACCCGAAAGTTCACAGACGCTCGTAACCAAAGGAAAAACAAAGGTAAATACATAAAAGCAAGAAAAAGAGAAGATATTGAGAAGATTGTAGATGAAAGTGGTGAAATGTTTACGAGAGACATTCCAAGTATAGAAGAGACTGATAGACAGCTAGCTAAGCTAGCCGACTATGTTTTGGTTAGGGCACCAACGGAACACAAAAATGCTATAGATATAATATCAGACACTAAGCCCCTGAAAGAAATCAAATCTTTAGATATCGACAGCGACGTTGCTGACACTGATGAAAGAATTCAATCTACGATAGGGAAAGTTTTCACATCGGACATCAAATATGACAAGCGGCGAATACCAATGCATGAAAAGGTAATTGCTGAAATTACTGCACCACATTTTGATTATCAAACCATGGTTGAGCCAAACATGAAAATTCATTTGTACAAGCTGAATGAAACACGGTTTAAAGCAGAGAGGACAAATTCATTTGAAGCTATTGATAAAGCTTATCAGGAGGAAATGTTACAAATTGCAATTGATAAAGAGGCAGGTGCCCATGAACCAACTAACATTTGGCCATTGGCTGAAAGTGGATCAGGTTTTTCACTTTCAGAAGATATGCATGTATATTTGGATGAAGTATTTGTTTTCTCAAAACGAAGCTCTCAAATGTTTGATGACTATGTGTCAGAAACAAAAGAGAAGAACAGAAAAGAAAAACAGCAAGAGGATGTATCCGAAAGCGGTACGACGAGAGGAGTTGTTGACATAGATAAAGATTATCCTGTAGCAGACGGCAATTTGTTTGGACGCGCTTTGGACAAAGGTCAAAGAAGAAAAATTTCATCTGATACAATTTTAGATAGAGCAGCCGATAAGGACAGTGATACTTTGAATGGTATGGATCCGGATACCTTTGGTGAATTTCTAGATATAGAGTCAGATAATTCAATGAGTAAAGATATGAGTGCAGTTGGTAAAACGTCAGACAACGACACAATAGATGAAATCGTAGATATAAAATCAGATGATGAAATCGTAGACATAATAGAATCAAATGATGATATCATAGACATCGTAGCAATAGCTCTACAAGATCAAGATGAAGCAGACATAACAGCAGCTAGAAATGACATTGATGATACATACAATGATGTGGTTGACGATGATGATAACCTGTTTGGAATCATGGACCTCTACATTAACAGTGAGCTACACTTCGACTTACACAACGTAAGTAATTTGCACATTAATGATTGATGTTTTATAAGTATAACCTAAAGTGGATTGGTCTTCATTCATTCATTTAATTTTGTTTGTTTATTTATTTATTTATTTATTGCATTTTCAGATGCCAGCATCACCCGAGGAATTTGGCCAGAAGAAGGACTTTGGATATAAATTCTTTTCATTTTCAACATTCTTTAAATAATTAAATAAAAATTAGAAAAACGGGTTTCAACTTTGTTAGTTTTTGTGTACCTGAGCTTATGTCTCCATCAGTCAAAATCTTACATACATATCTATACATGCATAATTCTATATAAAGTTTTTAATAATAATAATAATAACAACAACAATAATAACAATAATAAACACTTTATTTGAGCCGCGTCACGACAAAACCAACATAATAGGTTTGCGACCAGCATGGATCCAGACCAGCCTGCGCATCCGCGAAGTCTGATCAGGATCCGTGCTGTTCGCTATCAGTTTCTCTACTTGTAATAGGGTTGGTAAGCGAACAGCATGGATCCTGATCAGACTGCGCGGATGCGCAGGCTGGTCTGGATCCATGCTGGTCGCAAACCCATTATGTTGGTTTTGTCATGGCACGGCTCATTTCATGAAAGTAACACATTAAGAAATACATATCTTATTTACAATATGGTCTTCATAATTATATAGAGAAAAACACTTGTTAACCTACTAAATCGTTAAAGGTTATTCAAGGCTAAATCAAAGCAGCAGGACATTTTCGTAGTTCAATTCTTTAGAGACGCCATCTTGATTAAAAAGCAGTTAAGAATAATATTATAAAAAAAGCAATGTTTCCGGTTCCTTTAGTGACAACCATTCACATGTCTTGTGTCACACAATGCAGGCGCTTTCACCAGTCCATAGAGTATACAGTAAAAACTCGATAATGAGACCACTGAAGGGACTCCGCATATCTGGTCTTAATAGCAGGTTGGTCTCATTTATGAGTATGGTCACAGAAAAAAACGGACAGAACAGATTTTCTACACATTGAAAAAGTATTTTTCTGGACAGTTTTTCTCTCTCTTTATTGAAACATTTGTTACAATTATTTTTGTATTAATAAAAGAGACAGAACTTTTTGATAGAGAATGATTCAGGCAGTCACACACTTGTAACGGTTTAAGTTTAGAGCTTTGGCGCCGCAGTTTTCTGCGGTGCATTTTAATGTACATGTATATATATATATTTGTTATTTTGACCGGTCAGAACTGTTGGAGTAAATATGAAAAAAAGGGAAACAAAATAAAAAAAACAGATAAAACAGATTTACTGAGTTTGTACTTAATTATCATCGAAAGAATAATGTGGACATTTATAACTATTACACTTAAATGGAATATTATACTACGGAGAAAATACGACACACAATTGTTTGTTAAAGAATATCATGGACACGGAAACCTACCTCCCCCCTCCAGCCCCAATACCACCCCGATTAAACCCCGCACCACAATACAAACAGTATCATTGAACAAGGCTAGGGGCGTATTTTATTCTACTAGTTTACTTTTGACCAGATTTCGAACTGACACTTATAAATATAAGGGATAACAACTTATTAACAAGATGAAAATTTTAAGTTGCTCAGCAAACAATTTATGGCGCCTGTACAGATACGACTGTGTAGGTTAGCCTGTCTGAAAATCAGTGGCTAATGCTTTCGAACATTAAAGATATAAGAACTATGCTCATCCTTGCGTAAAATATTTTTATTGAATTTATTGAAATCTATTTTATTGTTACTGAATATGTCCAATTGTAATAAAAGAATGAATAAATTATGTATTGGAAGCAGCATTTCCTAATACAGGTGAAGTAAAATTGGTCTTTTCTTTAAAATATTGTAACAACCTATATAGCGTGTAGAATTTGTAACACAGCATATATACTTTGTGTGAAGTTAAAACATGTTTATTTTATAGTATTGATAGACTCTGTAGCAATTGTAAATATTTTCAAATATGAAATTGAGCATAGTATATCTTAAAGTATAGGAAATGTCAAGAAAGCATGCAACAAAAATACTTCCGCCTTAATGTAACCTAGCTCTACAGCCATTGTAGATGCGTGCAGTACAAAATGCCATCTACAATATGGTCGAAATATGTAAAGAAAAAATTTCTAGTTCTGTTTCGCAAAACGTTGCCTTTCCCTTTTTTGTCTGCCATCTTGGATAACCAGGCCATGCCACGTGACGATCACGAGTGTTACATGCCGAGCAACAGGTAATATTAATACATTCACTAAATTGTTGACGGAGGGTAGGTAAATGTTAAGAAATCCTTTGATATGTTACACACGTAAGCGCAGCTCACGATGCGCTCACCGACTTATCAACATCGAAGGGGAGTCAGGCATTTCTTGAGCTACATTATGTCATCACGGATTCATATAACCCTTGCCCCCCCCCACCCCTCCTACACCTTTTTGAAATACAGCCACACATATTTAAGTTCTTGCTAAGGAAATTGGAAGTTTTCCTTTGATAGGAATCGAGCCCAGATTACTTCAGGAAAGTTTCATTGAATACAAACATTCAGCCTCATTATTTCATAGTCGACGTCATTGATTATTTATACATGTATTATAATTAGAATATAAACTGTGCATAAACAAATCAGCATTTTCCTATATCTACATTTTGCTTAAGACCTACTTTTGTTAAGTTGAAGGGTTTATACGAAATTAGTTTATAAGTTTATGACAAGCTAAATATCGACTTAAAATGATTATTGGATACCGCTATATAGACCATTATAGATATATAAAATACCATCAATAAGCCTCCAAATTACCATATTGGAGTACTTTCTTTATCTGGGTTTACTACAGATGATAGATGTAATGAATACAAAACCTTTAGATTAAACATGCATATAAAATTGATGTGTAATCGACAAAACTTGATTTTCCACTTTTTCAGTTAAAAATGCCCACCGCTGTTAAATCACTTAATGGAGGATTAATAGAGCTTGAACTATATTTACTTTTTCTGATAAAGTAGTATATTATGGTAGAACCATAAAACATACGCAGACGCACAAACACACATGATTCATTTTTTAATACCTCACAATGTCAAGGTTAAACCTCACTTTGCGTGTGTTAAAGTTAACACACTCACATCGCTATGTAGGTAAACAAACGCACGCACGCACACACACAAAAAGAGTTTCAGATCTTTTTGATAAACTACATTCCGTGTAGGTGTTATGTACATGTTACACTACATGTATATTCTATATACAAAATTTGACTAAATTTATTCAATAATTACCAAATTTTACCCTGTTCCTGACGTAATGTTGATTTTTTCATATTAGATGTATCTGGGAAATTTATACGCTGTTAGCGCCTGACGCTACTTTAATGTATTTTTCTGATTTTTTTTCCCAAATTTGTTGGGAAATTAATACCGTCCAAATACCTTAGAAATTATCAAATCCTTTCAAGTACATTTTGTCATACAGAAAACTTTGCAGCAAAAACAAGCAATTTGTTTATAAAACATTAAAAGATATAATTAAATGTAGCAAGTCTTTAAACTGAAATTAAAATCACTTTATTTGTTTGTAGGTTCTTTCTGAGATTATATACCTGTCTGAGGTTTTTGGGGCTATATCCAATGAAATAAAACATTTCAAAATTTCTATGGACAATTACTACAAGTACTGTATAATAACTGCACACGCAGGTTTACATTTACGTACATGAAAGATAAAATCGCTTAAACGCGTGCCGTCATTGTACTTTTTTATATGCATGATCCAGGGCGTCATGTAAAAAAGATGATTGCAATGACGGCCCTGATAATTTCATTATCTAAAAATAGGTCTCACTTGATATCGCGAACGCACATGAATAAAATACGGAATACAAATGACTAAATGCTGAATAAACAAAAGAAGCATACTTTTCTACAAGAATAGCTCTACTTCTTACTGCACATAGTTTTCGAGAACATCTGCAAAGAACTTTTTACTCTACGTATCAAGATTCAGCAAGATTTTATATGGACTTCTCCTAAAGAAGATGTCAATATTATGCTTGGTTTTGTGTTTTAGTGAAGAAAGGCAGCTTATTTTCATTCATTTTGGTACAAAATTATACCGTCTCGTGTGAATTACTAGAGCTACATTTGCAATTTTCACACAACTCAAACAATGTTCTCGAAAATCATAAGTCGACATTACTCGTTTGTATTACTATACAAAGTCACGTGATCCCCCATGTTAATGTTACTGGTTGGAGACCACCAAAACCGGACAACCATCAAACCCCGGACGGCCCCAAAAATGCCTGATTTAGATTTTTTTGTTTGTGCAGTAGTTGTTGATCTACCGGACGCTTTTATGCCAACAATAACTGCATGTTTGTTTTAATTTTATTTCAATTTTCGTAAACTGCAATATTTTAATGTCTATGTCAAGAACGTTGACATTGAAAATTTAGACGTCAAGAGTGCAATACCTGTTTTCTTATACAAGCTTTAATCATTTGCAGAGTAAATAATAGGATATCCAAAACTTCAGCATTTGCTGCTGAAGTATATTATATCATGTTAAAAATGATAAAAAAGAAAGCTTTTATTGAATTAAATCAGCATCATGGACACATGGTCCGGACACATGGTACTGTAGTGTGGACAATTTAGGTAATTTTGATACCCTCCTTCACAGGCCTCAGAAATAAGAGTCAATATAATCAGAAATAAGCAAACTAGTCCATTTGCTAGGATGATAACCTATCTGTACTGTGTCAAATTTTCAGATATCTAGCTTTAAAAGTATGAAACCTGTATGGAAAAATGTTCAAAACGTGTCTGGTTGATGGTCCCTGACCAGTAGTATTAAAGTTCTCCATAAAATTTTAATTTGCATACTTACCTTTGCATTTAAGATTCGGTGTTTCAGACCACGCCCCAGTGTCAAGACACTCGACAGAGATTGGTCCAGAAATATGACGTCCAAATCCCTTACATCCAATCAGAACCGTCGTACCATTTGTCCTGTCATACGTACTCAGCTCAATGTCTGAATGACTTTGTTTGGCTATTTCTGGACAAGCTGAAAATGATAAAGCGATGATTTGTTATCTGTTTAGATAATAACTAATTAAGTTACTGCAACCATTACCTTATAAAGTCAAAACCTGTACTAACGGTCACCTCCTTTCGGCGGACATCTGACTTGAACGGTTATTTTGTATGAATATAACCTCTAAGCAAAAGAAAAAAAAATGTTACAGCGCTAATTCCATGAAACAAAATACCCAGTGATTATGGTAATTCCGTGCATAAAAATATGTATTCACTTCTGTTAATCCATTCGATCAGAGTACCAAGAGACCGCACTTTTACGATTAGGATATTTTGACATCGTTTACTAGTAGTCTATTAGAAAATACCTAGTGTTTAAAGGGACTCCACTGAGTTTGTTTTTTTCTTCTTTTTTTTCTTCTTTTTTTGGACACGACGGGATGTAGGTCTAGACCAACAACTTGTGTACAAAGTTTCAGATCATTCGCTCACTCCCACATAATAATTATTGTAATTATGAAAAATGGCAAAAAATTGACAAGCGTTGCAATGCTTTCAGCCAAAATCGGACTACAAATACTAGTAGGTTCAATTTATTTCTGAGTATATCTTAATTACCTTTTGCTTATCTTTCTGTTTTAAGTGCCAAGCCGATCTGTATATAAAATTCAAATTTTATTTTTTATAGCTTTTATACCTCAGTGGAGTTCCTTTAAAAGAAATATCTAAATGTAGTGACTGTGCTTATTCCGTTTGGGAAAAAAGCACAACCACAACAAAGTGATTGAGCTGAATAACTTAACATAAATACCTCGTGAATGTTCATATCCATCAGTAAAATATAAGGAGACTTTTGTTTCTTAATATTCCGTTAAAAGAAAACACCTAGTGGTTGCATTTAACACATTCGTGTGGTTCCCTCAGATTAAATATACAATTAATATATAAAATATATAATATATATAATTCGAATAAACTCAAGTGATTGTAATTTAATAACCAGCAGAAAACAACAACAGCAACAACACCATATACCGCAATATTAGTGAAAGATCACGTGACTTATAACGGTATGATTGATAGAGAGCTTGTCATTGGATGATAGATATTATGGCCTTGATTTCATATATATTTAACCCGCAGTTTAAGGTCTGTTGAAAAAGTCCATTTTTTTCCATTCTATAGACCCCATTTTTAAGATATCACTATGCGAAATAAACATTCCCATTTTGCAAATCATATTGAAAACTTAGGTGTAGTTTTGTTTTGTACCAATTTAGTAAATTTATGATAATTTTGAACATATCAAACAAAGCAATCCGGATACACAGCTGTACTTATGTGTTTTAGATGCTAGACTGTTTAACGTGAACTAAATCTTAACCTGAACAAAGATGTTAAAAAATTATTATGTTTCTTGCAGCGCGGTGAATATAACTGATATTGTCCAGTAAATAATAACACTTTGGACGTGTTATTGCTAACAACATGTTACTGGTAACCGGACAAGGTTTGTATGGTCTAAAAATACCCTATCCTGTATAATTAGTCATTTATATGAACCATTTGTCTTCATTATGAATACCAACGGGTACATAAAGGCTATCATCGTGATGATGATTATCACCTCCATCATCATCATCATCATCATCTTCATAATCATCATAATCATCATTATCATCATAATCATCATTATCATCACGATAATTACTATCACTTTTATCATCATTATTATTGTTTTTTCATTATCATCACCAATATCTTTATTATTATTATCATCATCATCATCATCATCACCAACATCATCATCGAGAACAACAACATCATCACCAACTATAACAACAACATCACCATAATTTTCATTATAATCACTTTCAACATCAATATTGTTTTCATCTTCATTAACGACAACAACAACACTAACATCAACATCATCATCATCACTACCACCACCACCACCACCACCACCACCAACAGTAACAACAACAACATCATCATCATCATTAACTACTACAACATCATCATTATTTTCAATATAATCACTTTCAACATATTATTGTTGTTTTTCATCATCATTATTAAGAACAACAAAAACATTATCATCAGCAGCAGCGGCAGCATCATCATCATCATTATCAACAACAACAAAAACAACAACAACATCATCATCATTATCATCATCATCATCATCATCAACAACAACATCAGATTAAAGCGTAAATGATCTAACTAAATGATAAACGTTTATTGTCATGACTTGCAAAGATTTATTTCAAAAACATATGGACAAATAGAAATAAACTTACTCGTCATTATGAATCTTATTTTACTCCGGAAAAAATTAACAACCTGAAAGTCAATTCAGAAAATAATTTTCCCTTTGAAATTTTATCGTTTTACTATCCATAAATTGATTAAGAATGTACAACCCACTGTTGCTCCATCAAAACCACGGATCAATCAGTAAACGCCCATCTTAATAATAATATAGAATTTATTTCAATTGAAAAACCGTAGACTTATTTCATAACGCTCACGCTGTCCCGTTCTATAGAAGCGTCACGCGTGAGTCACGTTCTATAGAAATGTCGCGCATGAATTGAAGTCAGAGTAATATATTTTTGAATAAGTTTTCTTCTTTAAGTTTTTTTCTTTTAATATCTTAAAGCGACTACTGTGCATTCAAGATGTGTTTCAACATTTACTTTTGAAACACAATTTATTTGATTCTAAAAATTACACATATTATACATGTTTAAGACATTTTTCTACATATATAATCATTTATGAATGTTTTGTTGTTGTTATTTTTCTATTTCAAAAGGCCACATTGAAAATAAGATATATATGATTGATGTATACATGTATTCTTAAATGTGCTGCCTTCTCTAAATAAAGATATTATTAATTATTATTATTATTATTTATTATTATTATTATTATTATTATTATTATTATTATTATTATTATTATTATTTTTTATTTATTATTTATTATTATTATTATTATTATTATTATTATTATAAACAATATTATTGAAAATGTTTGAAATTAACTCGTTTATTCGTTTATTGTTATTGTTATTATTATTATTATTATTATTATTATTATTATTATTATTATTATTATTATTATCATTATCGTTATTATTATTATAAACAATATTTTTGACAACATTTGTAATTAGGTCGTTTATTTGTTTAATTGGTCCGGGAAACATCACACGTGGTCAACGCCAACATCTCATTACATACCAGTTCTCCCCTTATACCAATTCACGTAGACTCGACTGTTAAACTTAGGAATCAAACGTGGTGTTTGTTTTTACCTAAATAGATATCTGTATATTATATAATGCCAAAATATACGTTAAAGTCACACTTTAAAACAATGTTAGGCCAGGACTATATAAAAATGTTAACAGTTGTGGCATTGTTATGAACATTTTACTCGTCTTTGAGTAAAATACTTTTATCGTAAAATATCATTGAAATCTATGAAATTCTTACTAATATATCTAATTTAAATAAAGGAATATACAAACTATGTATTGGAATCTACACTGCCTAGTATGGGTCAAAATTGCTGGGTCTATCAAGTTTTAATGAGACTTAAATTCATATAGTCATGTCCAGATAAATAATGCAGTGTGTAGTGTTTTAACATAACATATTTACTTTGTGTGCGGTCAAAACATTTTATTTTAAATTTGAAAAGAGACTGTGTAGCAATTAAGAATATTTCCGAGTTTAGAATTTGAGCATAATATATCTTTAAAATAAAACACCAGAAACCTTTATTTAAAATAGTTAATGTGAGCGAGCTTCCTTAAAACTGAAAAAAGTCATTGACATTTTATAGGCGCGTCTTCTTTTTAACAGAAATTATTCAATTTAAGTCCACGTAGGTTAAACCCGGCATATACTGATTTTGTCAGCATGGAATGTACCTATGTTGTACATGTTTATGTAGGTACATTTACACAGGAAACTAATACGTAATATACACATACACTTACCTTATAGGGACTCCACTGAAGTTTTTTGATATGATGAGACTATTTGTTTCCAGATAAATGCACCATTTGATGTAGGTTTAAACCACTAATTTTTCTGCAAAATTTCAGCTCATTCGCGTACTTCGTTTTTCCAGAATAATAATTCAAATTGTAAAAAAATGACCCAAAATGAAAAGCGTTTAAACACTCTTCTCTTAAATCGGGCTAAGAAAAGCATAAAAAATTTTGATTTTCAATTTATATATTTATATATATAGTATATATTTCTTAACTATCTTTGCATATATTTCTGTTTAAAGTGCCCCAGCTCATTTATGTAAGAAATTCAAATGTTATGTTTTTAGGCTTTTAAACCTCAGTGGAGTCCCTTTATTCTCCTTGTGACAACTGTATTTTCCTGTGGAAAGTATTATCTGATCATCGTTATATTGTATTATAATAATATAATAAATAAATTTTTTTGTCTAATTGAAAGGGAACAATCAATTTTAACTTTTTAGGTGAAATAGTTTTAGGCACTTTACTGAGTCTATATTTTAAAAAAGGTACTTAAGGCTTAAATCAGTTTGCTTTGGGGGACATTCCCCAGTAAACCCAAAAAAAGTTTTTTTGGGAAGCACAAAGTGTGGATAATTTATTTCACTACCAGGCAGTTTTCAGAGAATATTAGCCATAGACAAAAGTAGTACCCCTTTTTCTGTCCTTTGACAAGAGAAATAGCGACTTACAGTAGTGCGTTAAATGTAGTACATACCAATATTTTGTTAAGTTATACAATACTGTACAATTTCAGCGTTTTTACTCGTCCGTCTTTGCATAATTTCAGGCATGTCTGGGAATCTGTCTGTTCTTGCATTGTTTCAGGCATGACACAGCACCTGTCCGTCTTTGCATAATTTCAGGCATGACAGACCACATGTCCGTCCTTGCATTATTTCAGGCATGTGCGGGAACCTGTCTGTCCTTGCATTATTTCAGGCATGACATAGCACCTATCCGTCCTTGAATTATTTCACCTGTCCGTCCTGTCTGTCTTTGTATTATTTCAGGCATGTCCGGGCACCTGTCCGTCCTTGCATTATATTCGGGCACCGTCCTTCGGGCCTTAAATACGGGATGTCCGACACCGTCCTCCTTGAATTATTTCAGGCTTTCCCGGGCACATTCCCCCCTTGCATTTTTTAAATGCCATGTCCGGGGGCACCTTTTTCCGTCTTGCATTTTTTTCAGAATTTCCGGGCCCCTGTCCTCCTTGCATTATTTAGGCATTTTCGGCACTTGTCCGCCCTTGCTTATTTTGGGCTTTTCCCGGCATCGTCCTCCTTGCTTTTTTCACTTTTCCCGGAAAACTGCCCGCCCTTGCATTTTTTTAGGCTTTTCCGGGCATCTTCCGCCCTTGCTTTATTTCGGGCACAAGGGGCACCTGTCCGTCCTGCTTATTTCAGGGGAATGGACCCTGGCTTTTCACTTTTGTAGCTAGCGGGAGGATATTTTTTTTTAATAAAAAATTTAAAGACCTGGCGGGATTTGAACCACATCAGTCAGGGGCAAGTAGTTTAAAGTCAACGACCTTAACTACTCGGCAACGGACGCCCTATTATAGATAACACTTCTTTTTGGATTATGTCGGACAGGTTTAATCGCTTGTTCTAAACAATTTTGAAATTTCAAAAAAATATCAACACAAATTTGAAGGTGTTCTACTTTAAAAAGAAAAATGTTCACCCACGGTTTAATTGATAATTATATAACTTATCACGCCCCGGGGTATCCACTGAGTGTTACACTGAATTCAATAAGACATCATTTCTGATTTGCATATTTATAATCATTGAAAAATAATGTTAATGCGCTTAAAATATTCAGATTTTTTTTAAAGACGATCAAATCAATAAACGCGGTGTTTGTTACAACGCCCTGATAAATTTGACACTTTGATTTCATCCCGAGCCGTAACATTTCGTTTTATTTCGTAACTTTTCGTCATACTTCGTCATTATCGATCGCTTATCGGCGAGGTCTTATAATTATTATTTGGTTTTTGTTCTGGAAGTATCTTTTATTTATTTCAATTAATACAAGTACGTGAAAGAGTGGTTTTCAATTGTTTGCTACTATAAAAATTTTAATAAGGTCACAGTCTTTTATTTTAAAATCCCTGGTAAATGCCCGACGTGGTATGCCTGTGCGAATCCCGCGCTCAGAGAAATATTTTTATATGAGCCGCGTCATGACAAAACCAACATAGTGCATTTGCGACCAGCATGGATCCAAACCAGCCTGCGCATCCGCGCAGTCTGATCAGGACCCATGCTGTTCGCTATCAGTTTCTCTACTTGTTATAGGGTTTGTTAGCGAACAGCATGGATCCTGATCAGTCTGCGCGGAAGCGCAGGCTGGTCTGGATCCATATGCTGGTCGCGAACGCATTATGTTGGTTTTGTTGTGAAACGGCTCATATAAATAATACATTATTTTTATCATTTTTTTCATTTTGAGAATTTGCAGCGTCTAAGAAATTGTCTGTTTGATATCTGGGCTCTTTTAAATAGATGTTTAGTCCATCTAAAAATGTAATACTACCATATTTGTTTTATTCGTTTACCCAATAAAAATCATATATATTTTGGGATCTAGATTTAGCACTTTGAAGTCTCGCCGGGTTGCCTTAACCAATAATTGCACCAGTATGCAATGAAAGGGCGGAAAAAGATGAAATTTAAATCACAACCTATGACTATGTACATGTATAGAGCTGTAGCGGGTTCGAGTCCTATCTTAACACCAATTTAACTCCAGTATTAGCATACCCCAATTTAAATTCGCAATTTAACCTTTTGGTTTTAACTGGACACATAATTGGGATCTCTTATTTTGGTTAACTGAAAACAGCAAAATTCGGCAATGTAACCTACTGGTTAACTGAGAAACAGCATAATTCGCCAATGTTACCAACTGGTTGACTGATAACATAATTCAGCAATGTAACCTACTGGTTAACTGAGAAACAGCATAATTCGGCAATGTTACCAACTGGTTGACTGATAACATAATTCAGCAATATAACCTACTGGTTAACTGAGAGACAGCATAATTCAGCAATGTAACCTACTGGTTAACTGAGAAACAGTATAATTCGGCAATGTAACCTACTGGTTAACTGAGAAACAGATTAATTTGAAAAAGCAACTTACTGGTTGACTGAGAGACAGCATAATTAGGCAATGTAACATACTGGTTGACTGATAAACAGCATAATACGGCAATGACACCTACTGGTTGAATGAAAGACAAC